ACTCTACTTTTTTGTTTTTCTTTTATATTTTTACATTTGTTTTTTCACCTGCATCTCTAATTCCGCTGACTTTTTTATTATGATGATGATTTGGTTAACGGTAACAAAGTTAAGCTAGAATGACTAACCGGTTATACAAATGACATCACTGGCAAAGTCAATCATATCAAGAGGTCCTTAATAGATTCAGTTCTGGTAGTAGGTAATTTTACCTTTTTAGGTTAATTGTCATGTAATTTGCTACTGATTTGGTTAATCGGATTGGACATAAATTGGTTTATAGAATTAAATAAAACAGTCGAGAAAGGGGTTGTTAACCTTACGTCTACGTTACCAGTTAACACTCGTATCTATAAATGTGAACGGCACGAAAATTAAGTGTGGCATCCACTTTCTACATTCTTTTCTGAATTTAAGACTACTTATCAATATTACGATAACCATAAAGCTTAAGATCTTAACCGTCCGGTTTAGTGGGTTTTCTCTCGTCATTATTGTATGATGTCAAACTAATAATTTGGCTATAAAACACGATAAAGAGAGTTTTATTGATCCCTTGTTGTAAAAAAATATATTCAGAGGGAGCTTTCGAAAATGTATAAAAACTTTGATTATTGACCACCATGAGTAATCATAGCTTTGAATACACCTTTATGAAGACATGTCTTTCGAAACTCATCTCCCAGATTCTTGCTTTATTTCTTCCCTTTTGATCTTCACGTCTTTGTGATGCTTTTAGCCAACATTGTTAGTGGTAATTATTTATAATTAATTATGTTTTGTATATAATTATAAAACTTTTATTCACGGTTTTATCTTTTCCTTTTCGTGTAATCATAACGCAAATTAAGGGTCGTATCTTTTTCACATCCACCACTAGGAAGAAAAGATATGTGTTTTTTTTCAAATATCATCTTCTCTCAATTTTTCTTTTACGAGAGGTCAAATCACAAATGGTAAGCATATACATGCATGGTTGATTTTTTTCGTCGTATCATTGATTTAGCTCCTAAACAAGAATCCAAACTAGGACAAAGTTTCATATTTTCTCCCATTATATATATAATGAGTGGTGGGTGACTTGATCTCTCAACAACTCTTATTCTCATGGACCATGGTGTTGAGGAAACGAAGAAGAGCGAGTCTTCAGGGACGTGAAACAGATCAAAGCGACTTATTTTCTTTTTTTTTTTTTGCTAAACATAAGCGACTGATTTTCTCACGTTCAATATTCGACCCGACAACATCTCGGAACTCCACCACGAGCAGGACCAAACTATTATGATCCATTTTTCACACAATTTGATTTACAGTTTAAGTATGCTCTGAATTTTCTTTTCTTTGAGATAATAATGTGTGGCTTTTTTTGTTTGTAATATGATCCCGCTAAAATATAATATAACTACGTGGGAGACTTTTTACATGGGAAAAAACCCGAAAAAACCGCCATCTATTTTTTATTTGGCCGTTTAATACATGTACTTTTAAAATTGGAATAAAAATTCCTTCTTTATTTTTTGTTGTCTTTTAAAACCATGGTGTTTTAAAACTTGGTAATTTGGTACCTGCGAGTTAACAGCCGTTAACTTTGCTAACGGAATGGGTAACTGGGGTTAAATCTTAACCCATGTATTTAAATAGATATATATACAACATGTTTACACATTATTGCGAAAAAACTTACATGGTCTGGTGGTAGAAAGCAGTTTTGGCCCAGTCTGCACCCGGGTTCGAGGACTCCTGATAACGAAATTCTTTTTTTTTTACTAATTTTTTTCCAATTCATCATCAGATCAATTCGTCTTTGGATCGGGCATAGGGAACAAACCACCAGCACCAGCAGCTCCTCTAGGTGGAGAGAAACCCAAAAACTTCTGGAGATTAGTCCTAATACTAATAGAACACAGCAGATAAAGAAAAGCCATGGAACAATCAGTGGAATCATCTCCTTTCAATCCTCTATGACTCATCTTCCTCACAATCGTAACCGGATGAAACGGAAGCTTCGCTACAACTTTCCCTTCGAAAAGCGAATTCAACAACCCAAACACAACAAAGAGAACCAAAGCCACAACGGCACCAGATTTAAACTTGAAGAGCGACAGATCTCTGCTCGATTCCTTTAAGCTAGATTCAACGCGATCTATCTTCTTCGTCTTCGATTTCTTGTTTGTTAGCTTCGAAGAAGGATTATCTGTCTTCATCGTCTCCAGCTTCCTGGAGGCTTTGTCAATGGAAGATTTCAACGATTTGTAAGAGCTCGTGCGGTAGATTAGGATCCATGAGATTGCTTTGCAGACCAACGCCGTGCAGAAGGAGATTCCGACGACGGTGAGACTATCGGTGTACTTGAAAGAAGCGAAGAGAGGTATCGCGGTGGCCATTGCTCAGCTGATCGCTTCTTCTTCTTCTTCTCTATCAGAGTATATCTGAAGCAGCTCAGAGATTTGATAGAGATTTTTGATACGAAGAAAGTCTGGGAGTCAAACATTAGTTGTTCAAAAAAAAAGATAGTCAAAAAGCCCAGAGCTCTATTGGCCGTCGGAGGAATTGTGGCCGGAGTTTTGTTGTCGACAGCGGCTAGGGTTTCTCTGAAGGAGGAAAAAAATTAGTAAAATAAAAAGAATTTCGTTAGCAGGAGTCCTCGAACCCGGGGGCAGACTGAGCCAAAACTGCTTCCTACCACCAGACCATGTAAGTTTTTTCGCAATAATATGTAAACATGTTGTATATATATCTATTTAAATACATGGGTTAAGATTTAACCCCAGTTACCCATTCCGTTAGCAAAGTTAACGGCTGTTAACTCGCAGGTACCAAATTACCAAGTTTTAAAACACCATGGTTTTAAAAGACAACAAAAAATAAAGAAGGAATTTTTATTCCAATTTTAAAAGTACATGTATTAAACGGCCAAATAAAAAATAGATGGCGGTTTTTTCGGGTTTTTTCCCCTTTTTACATTGAAGCTTTTTAAGCTTTCCTTTGTGTCTTTTAAACTATTTTACATATAAACATGTTTAAAAATTAATAAAACGAAAAGAACTAGTACTGTTTTTTTTTAGTTCGTAATCATTATGTGTTAATTCCACAATGGCATATATGATATATATAGATATAGTTTGTTTTTTTTTTTTTGACAGCTAGTTTGTTTATTTATTACTTGTGGGACATCAAATCAAATAGGAAGACAAAATTGAGGGTCGAATGTCATTGTCCCTTGCTTTCATTTGACCGTTTTGGTTACCAACGATTTCGGTTGTTAGAATAAGTTCGTTCTGCAACGACGTCGTTTGATAAGAAAAATCAATAACCTCTCGATTGTGCTGTTGTAATCAGGAGGAGTCAGGGACCATCAGGTGTTTTAAATTCGATCCACGTAATCGTAATGAGCAGAGAGAAAGTAGCCCAACCGAAATGTAAAAAGCCCATACCCATTTATAAGTAACTATGAAATGACTAAACTACCCATGATCTGTAACTAAAAAAAGGTCTAACGAACGAGAAAGGGGACAGCTGGATCGAAATCGAATCGGATCAGATCAAAAGAAAGCAGAGGCGTCGCATTCTTCTCTGCCTGAGGCTGCTGCTCCGTAGTACCAACTCTGATCCACCTCTCTGTCCCTCTCTCTCTCTATACTTATTTTATTTGTCTTTAAAAAAATTTGTATGCAACAATTGATAGTTGAGATAAGATTATTTTACATAATAATAATAAATGAAAATAATACTAATAGGTTGTCTAGTGAGGTACGTAGGTAATTTTAGTAGTATAAGCAATAACTAATAAAGCCCATCAACTTCGCACTGGTTTTCGAGAACAGTCTATAGCTGTGACAAGGGGTCTTAGGCTTCTTGGAATTTGCTCTCTATTTTTCCTCTATTCAATGTGTCAATCATATAAGCACTTCGTTTAGCTATAACAATTACAGTATGTTTCTTAATTCTATATGGAGCTTAGTTTTTTTTTTTTTTATGCTAATGTTTCTAATTATTAAACTGTGCTTAGTTTTAATTTGGGTATTTTTATTCACATTTTTATTGAACAAAATAGTAGTAGTAGTAAAAAGATAAATTTGTTTTTTAGTAGGTTATATTGGGTTTTACGAAATTGCCACTGAGAAATGAAAAGTAGACTGTTGGGGAGAGAGTCTTGTCATTTAGCACTTTTTCACAGTGAACCAGACAGACCTTCTAAACAAAAACAACACCCAAAAATTTATATCATGAAGAGACCATACACAAAAATCAAATTGGTTTTATAAGGAAATCTCGTTTTGCTTTTTTTAATCCAACTCATTTGTTGTTATAAGAAAAAGTTTAGCAGAGATTATAATAAAAGATTGATTTTTTTCATTCTGAACAAATAAATTTTCTAATTTAATTATTATTGAACCGTATTCAAAACTAACGATAATCATTTTTTTGTCTAATCATTTAAATCTGTATAAAATTTTTTTTTTTTATATATGACAGTAAATATAAAATTTACTATTATTGCCAAATGCCAAGCTGAATTCTAACAGCAAATTATAGTATCGTTTTTATTTAAACACTCTTGTTGTCAAGTTGAACTGTATATGTAAACTATGCTTTGTTCGATAAAAAGGGACTCGGACTAATGATAAATTACCCAAATTGTTACTTTTTCAACTCAAATAATCGAATTTTGTTATCTACTCATTACGTAACTAAGTGAATCACTTCTCTAATGGATAAAACTAAAAGATAGAAGAGTAAATAATCAACAAAACACATTTAACTAACGAAGAGATTACAACACATACTATCATTAAGGAAAGAAGGAAGAGAAAGACTCATTTAAATTTAAGCTAGTGGTCACTCTCTCCAGGCGCCGCTCTCTCTTTCCATCTTTCATTCTCTCTCTCTCTCTCTCTCTGAGAATGGTCAGTCAATTTCACCACTGAGAGCTCAAAATCGCCTGAGCTTGACCTCACTCTCGCTCTATCTCTCCCCCAAGAAAACACCTCCCAGTGTAGATAAACAGAAGAAGAGAATCCATGGTGGGTCTTCTCAATTTACTTTTTTAGTCAAAAAAAAAACATGAAATTGAAACATGGGTCTTGATTCATTTCAGGGTTTCGTTAAAAAAGTTTACTTTTTTTTTTTATTTTGCAGATGGAATCTGGACAATTTCCTGCATGGCTTGAGGTTTTGTTAAAAGACAAGTTTTTCAACGCTTGTTTGGATCATGAAGATGTTAAAAAGAACGAGAAGAACATTTTATGTATCGATTGTTGTCTTAGCATCTGTCCTCACTGTCTCTCTTCACATACCTCTCATCGTCTCCTTCAGGTCTCTCTCTTTAAAAAACACAAACTTTCTATTTTTTTTGGTTTCAAAATTTGCATTTTTATCGAAAAAAATATGAACTTTGTATGTTTGTGGGAATCTTTTGCAGATAAGAAGATACGTGTATAGAGACGTTTTGAGGGTAGAGGATGGCTCGAAGCTAATGGATTGCTCTTTAATTCAGGTATAACTTTCAATCCTTGTAATTAATCTCTTAATCCTTTTATTGTAAACATTAAAGTTCCAATTTTCATGGGTTCTTGTGCCCTAAAATTTTGACAGCTTTAATTAATACGCGTTATCTTTTTGTGTGTATGTGTTGATAATTAAAGCCATACATAACGAACAGTTCAAAAGTTGTGTTCATCAATGAAAGACCTCAGTCTCGACAGTTTCGTGGTTCCGGTAACATTTGCATCACCTGTGACCGGAGTCTCCAGTCTCCTTACCTCTTCTGCTCTCTCTCTTGCAAGGTCTGGTTTTTCTTCTTCTTATTAAAAGAAACATCTTTTTTTCGTTTCAAAATTCTATCACATACCCAATTTTTCATCATCATCTGGGTTGATCTTCTTTTTTAGAAAATTCATTTTCGATGCACGATTACACGTAATTGTCTCAGATAAAAAAGGAACTTTTTTTTGGTCTCATTAATTTTCAAATTCTTTCAAAATCCACAATTCAATTTCTTTCTGTTTTTGTTGTTTTTTTGCTTTTTAATTAAACACGCGTGTACGATCATATTTACACGTAATTGTCGCTGAAAACACAAACACATGGTTTGTTTGTTTTTGTAGATTAGTGACGTCATAATGAGACAAAGAGGACTCTCAGGGTTTCTCCGCGTCTGCAACGTTCTTGATTTAACCGACGAAGTCACGACAACGACGCCGAGTTCCACTCTCGAACCCACCGGGTCGACCCGAACATCTTCCGAGTCAGCTGGTAACGGAGAAGACATGTTCTGGTGTCAGGCGCTCGCTTGCACCGCCACTACTGAAATCGTCAGGAAGAAAAGAAGCAGCTTGTCGACGGCTTGCCGGAGAGTCACGGAGGTGGCTTCAACGACTGACACGGAAGCTCCGGTGAACTTTTTAAACCGACGGAAGAATACGCCGCCGCAACGAGCTCCGCTCTATTAACTCGTGACATTTGGTGAAATTTGGTTGGTCGAAGTGGTAAGTAGAATGAATACACGTAAACTACTATAGTCTATATTTTATATTGTTAATCATTATCTCTAAATATCGAATCGAATTTTTAGGTATTTAAGAAAATGAAATCATGGAATTAAAATAGTTGAAAAGATCTCTCCTGGTTTTGTCTGACTCTGATATCTGTACCGCGTAATGAGAGAACTCTATGTTATTTAATTTTAAACAATTTAAATACTTTTAGTATAATGAAACATATTCTCGTATAATCCGTTTTATTGCTTCCTCTTATATTTATTTTCTTTTATATTATGAATTGCGATTTCAGTACTATTGAGGCGGCCTTAATTTATTATTTACAGCGGCGAAGTAAATTCTTAAAGGATTAATATTTTTTAGTCATTAAATGCATTAGACCGACCATATCTTTCTTGGCTGAGTTAAATGATACGTTTGAAAAGAAAAGGAAGTAAAAATGGTAGTGATGGAGAACTCTATAAGTCTAAATGTGGTCTGCAGAGAATTTATGATTGTTTCTTTCTTGTATATGTATAAAAAATTTAGGTCACAACATAGTAAACAACTAAACATGTTAATGAATTATTTGATATCAGTTGGTTGGTAATAAATGTGAATTTTCTTTAAGAAAATTGCATGCGATAAGATTGTTGTGTGTTTTTGTCTTTATGCATTACTATTTTGTGGGTTTTGCACGGACGAAAGACGACTAAAATTGGTTAATTGGGTTATATGAAAAAGAAGACAAAGAGATTGGGACAGACATCATGGATAAACGTGAAATTGTGAATGTTTCTGAGGCAAATAATAGTATTTTCTCTCCTGTTTCCCTGGACCACTTTCTTCTTCCCATTTCTTAGTTCATCTTGTTTTTTATTTCATGACATATGAATAACAATAATGTAAGGATCGTCGTTTTCGCTTGGTTATTAGATTTGTTTTCTTCTTCTGTTCGAAAACAATGTTGCCAAATTTACTTGGCCCATGTCAATAGTACAATTTACAATCTTGATTTTACGAATAGACCAGTGACACACATACAATACGTCAATACGATCCTAAAGGTATTGGAGTATTAAGAAAACTATGTGGAGGTAAATCAAAAGTCACTAAATAAAAACGGAAACCGAGTTTTGCTACTTTGTAGGTTTGAATGGGACAGGCCATTTGTGCACTGGAACTTGAACCAGATTGCTTAGAGAAATTACTTTTATAATATTATGAAAATAACGGAAATCGAGTTTTTCTACTTTTATGAAAATATGAGGAATTGCATTAAACATTTTTGTCTATATTATAAATTCAAATGGCAACATAGTTGATTTTCTGGGCCTAGCTGGGCCTGTCAGGCGGACCGGTCTTATGAATTAAGATTAAGGCTTAATGGTGTTTAAAGGACCAGTAGACCTTCTATGGTACAAGGGAGCTGAGAAGAAGCAAGAAATTGATGTAAAATGACGGAATTACCCCTTTACGCTTGAGAAAATGAACAACTTACTTGAGGCAAGTTGGTTTCTAGTGAGGCTTCATAAGAATGATGACGCGGTTTTGTCCAATGCGAGTCTCACTGATACGACCAAGGTGACGAAGAACCTGTTTATAGACACATGAAAAGATGACAATGAGCATGTGTTTTCGATGTTAGTCTAATTCTGGTGAAGAGTTAAGGAAGCATAATATTAAAATGTTGTTTGTTGTTGAAAATCTGAAATGAAGGAAACATATATTAGTTACTTACAGTGAGTATTGCTTTTCCTGTGTTGTCTAGTTTCAAACTTGGTCCCTTCATGTCTGTTTCAAGAAAGAAATGTTTGCCCTTCACTGCTTGCTCTGTTACGATATCTCGGAGTTTCTGCATATAAGAGTTTCGAGACAATCAAAGATTATAACAATGTTTTCACTGGTGAAAGGATACTATCATCTAGACAGTGTGGTGGATGAGTTATATTAGCTTACCAGTGCTTTCTCCCAGAGATTTTCTGCCAGCTTTGGCAATATAACAAACAAAGGTCAGTACAATTGTAACATATATATAACTCAAATCCTTAAGCTGGTAATAGATCATAATATATGTAGATATACCTTCTGTTTTGAGGCTGCAATAAGATGAGCATTTGCTTCAGCATATGATGCCATGTCATTGATAGCAGCATTCACTTTTTCAAGCGTGAGCCTTCCTCTCATGTATCTTTTTTTGGAATAATGTCAGGAAAGCGGTATGCATTGATTTCACATAAACAGGGAGAAGAGAAAGTAAAAAATGTACTTACGATGAGAGTGAATTGAGTTCCTCAACAGTGATGTACCAAAGCGGAGGAGACCCGCGACCCTTCTTCTCCTGGAAACAAAACCCACAGATCAACCATAGACAGAGATAATGGAATGTAACAATAGCAACACTTTATCATTCATAGCCACTGAGTATTAAAAGCCATAAACTATCTTTGGAGAAAACAAAGTATATGCAAGTTCTACCTTGGGTAAAACAACTGCTTCCTCATCAAATTTCAAAGAGCTGAGAGTAGAATTTTGCTCGTACTGCTTGGCATTTTCTTGGAGCAAACTGGAATAAAAATAACCCACTAATCTTAGTCAAACTACTGGATTAGTAAAACAAATCATAGGCTATACCAAGATGCAAGTAAATGTATATACCATCTATTTAAATCTGAATTCAACATAGTAGCCTTGTCAGGAAAATGGGAAGGTGCATAAATAGACATCTTCTGCAATTTCCCTTGTTGTTTCAGTGATGCCTCAATAAGTTTCTACAAGCAACACAAATTTCTCAATATTACAAAACCCAGGTCCAGATTCTAAACCCTAAATTACTCAAATCCAAATCATCCTAATCGTTAATGATAATTCTAGAATCTGAATTTCAGAAATCTCGAAAGTAAACAAGACGTACCTTGGCTTTTGGAATAGCTTCGGTTTCTTCACGTAACCGGTCTTTGATCGATTGTACCTGAAGCTCCATTGAGCTTAACGCCGTGTCAATCGCCGATAAATCCGGGATGGTGCTCGCCGGATACACTGCAGAGAATAGAAATTAGGTCATCGAATGGAGAGATTATTAAACAACGAGTTGAGTATTGAGTGTTAGAACTATGACTCACTGTTTCTGGCGATGACGAGTTCCTGCAATTCGCCGATTCGTTTATTGAACGAAGCAATCAACGAGTCTAGAGAAGATCCAGCTTGATTTCCCTCCATTCTTCACGAATCTCTCTCAATCTCCCAATCAGAGACTATCTGTCTCGTTTAGGTTTTAGAAATTGGAAACTCCAGAAACTGTTTCCGGCGGGAAAGTTTTTTAGGCCAGATCGCAACTTCTTTATTATCTGTTGCAGGACATGTTATGGGCTTATGACCCATTTGTTTTTATATTAATAAGTTTTCTCTCGTTGGGCCTTTTATTATATCTAATTGGGCCTTATATTAATTTTTCTTTTCTATATTTTGTTTTTCACATCCTGTTTGTTCCACAAAAAAATTGAATTGTATCCTCTCGTTTATCTATCTAAATTATATGTTTATGTGACAATAAAAGTAAATGTTTTGATAAGAAATGAAGATAGACAATTTGTCTTTGATTGAGTATAGGTTTAGTAGAAGTCAATTTTAAATTTAAGATACGTGGATTTGGGACATCTGATTGCATTGGAACCAAACGCGGGATCTTCGTCCTTTTTGGACATCGTTAACAGTGACTGTGCACGCGGACTCATCTATATATACAAATATATAAATAATGCATTTGACTAGTGGTAGTATTACTATTCTTTAATCGGATGAAATAGTGCAAGTTTTACTATTTTTAAGGTCCACCAAGTTTAATATATACATATTTAGACTCGGTTTTGATAACATTAGCAAACGATGTAAACAAAGGAAAATAAATAAAAGTCGACATTATCGTTTTTGTCATTTAAATGGTAAATTAACATGAGTAACTTGAAAGGTTTATGATGATTAGCAGAAAACTACATACAGTATGTATAATACACACCAAGTCTGTTTACTATCACAACCTTAACAATACAATAGTGAACAACTGCAAAAATACATATTGATATAGTGATTGAGCAACGAAATGATCACACACATGGATGTGCATATAAAGACGAGTAAAATATTATATAGTACATCATTATATGCATGCAACTTCCAAGTGTGATATGGTAACGAAATCAAGAAACCCAACGGATTAGCATTGAACAATATCGATAACTGTTTTACTAATCTAATATATGTATTTGAATTATAAAGCTTATTAAAACTAGGTCGTTTCTGACCATACATCATGATATATATATTAAACGAGAGTAAAAAAGTAAAAGTTCTTCGTGACTTTAAGTTATGATATATGATAAACCACGATATAAAATTTGTTTATGCATGGAGTTATTACATGATCATTAAGAGTTCAATTATGATGAGGCGGGTGTGTAGTGGGCTGCATATAATCAAGATTGAAACCGGGATGTTCTTGATCTGATCTAGGCTGCTTCTTTGGATACTTAGGAATTTTCCATGTTCTGGAGACTCTTTTAGACGACACCTTTTTGTCTGAAGCTCGTTTTACTCTGTGATCGTCTTTCGTCCTCTTCCCGTTGATCTGACCATTAATATCACCATGGTTAACTACGGCATGTGCTTGGCTAAATAAGGTGCTCGTCTTGTTTGTTGTTAGAGCTTCTAGTTTTTCAATCTCGTCATTTTTCTGTGCCATGGAATAAGAGTTAGTATTCATGACATAAGTTTGTTAGTTTTGTTTTGTTATTTTTTGTCATATACATGGTAATATATATACAAACCCATTTTACATGGGAGTGTTTGTGAGTAAATAAATGAAACTAGCTACACTACTCGACCATAACTTACCCTTGAACTTCTTAATTATACACACTCTAGTGTTTATACAGAATCACTTTAAATTAAAAGTAGATTTGATTTTGAAAGGATGTATGCATTACAATTCTTCTATATATAATCAGAATGCATTTAAAAGTCAAATTTAAAAGGTTAAAACCTTATACAGATGAACCAGATGCATTTACTAAAAAAAGGACTATATTTAATATCAATGATCAAGAAATATTTGTCCGTGTTAATTTGCTATGTTAACATATAAGAATGTGAATTTCCAACCCAAAAAAAAATCTTAAGAAAATACCCTTACTTCAGTTTCATACAAACAAACAAAAAAACAAACACGATTCAAATAAACAAAGACTCTTAACATCACAAAGCAAATGGGCTTACCTTAGTTAAGTGGTCACGATTCACGCTGAGCTTCTTCTCCATGTGTCCAAGATGGCGAGAATCGCATAAAAGAGACCGAGAAAATATGACAAAAACTATTAATAGGAAGTAGAAGCAAGCACTCCTCAACGTATCCATACGAGTAGTATCGATCAAAGAGATGACTTAGATTATAACCGAGACGGTTGTAGATATATATATAGAGAGATAGAGAAAGATATGGCGGTTTAAAGGTATCGTGATTGTTATAAATGCTAAAGGAAGAGAGATTGTGCAATAAATGCAGATATAGATAGAGAGAGATTGAGTCGTCGATGGTAGAAGAGAAGGAGAGAACATGCAAATGTATGGGTGTGAAGAAGAAAAGAGCAGTGAAGGTCAGATATGGTGTTGAGTGGCCCCCTCTTCTGTCTATATCTGAGGAATCCACCGACCCAAACCAGAGAAACCTAACGAAAGAGAAAAGACCAAACTTGTGTCTTCTCTCTCGTAGTTATAGCATTCTCAGATTGACCCCGCTTACTGATTTTATATATATATATTTTTTTTAATGTAATTTGCATTAATAATGGAGCGAAAATCTAGCTAGTCATCGAAACGAGCAAAAGGGAGAATTAGGGTTTTTGATGCATATGCTTCTTTGTTTATCCCAAGAAGAGGTTTTAAATCTCTTAACTCTTTGTCTCTACGTTGAGGCCTTTAAACACTTTGCATGGTTTTACGCTACCTTTCTAACTTTGTCTCCTCATTTTTTCTTTACATTGTGTGTGTTTCTCGGGAAGCTTAACATCCGCGTAACGATAGATATTTTTAATTGCAATAACAAAAAGCAAGCAGACTTTTTCAACCAAACATTCTTCAAAACGGATTGTTCCATTTCTGACAGGACCAAATTAAGATTTTTCTTATATATCTTCATTATTATCTGTAACATGGACGGGGTGTTTCGAATATATTAGGTTATATGTAAATCGATTGTGTGGTTGAATTTGCATTCATAGAATGTGCAGTAAAAATAGAGGATCTTTTCAATTTATTTGTAGCATTCATTTATATATGCTTAACTTATCCATTAACTAACACATTATTCGAAAAACTGATAACCATGTATAATATATTATCCTAAGTATATGTGTATATAGTTGATCAAAACTAATAAGTATGCAACGGTCTTGTCTGTGATTAATTAGTTATGTTGTTAGATGTAATTATCACATTGAGATATAAATAGATCATTTCCCACATGATACTTGTTCATATACGTGAACACAATGACGTTACAACCACCTAGCTATTTCGTTGCGTTGCGATGACTTATCTCGGTATTATATATATATTTTATGTATAATAAAGTAATAGCTCCCCGCTTCTAATCACTAAGGGACATAGTTTGATGTTCTCAACAAGTGGACACTGGTAGTGTACATGTCTGCTAAAACCTCAAAAGTCAATAACAAATTTTGTATTATATGTCTCGTTGACTGTTTCAATAGAAAAAAACATTGAAGTTTGAAGTTACTATGTTCGCAAACATGCAAAATTGAACTGAATAGACATATGATTAAGCCTTGTTATCGAAGTTTCACAAACACGCTAACATCTTGTAGCTCACTAGTGAAATATCTGAAAACTTTGACACTAGATCTTACACACACACTATAAACTAATGGTGCTACGTTTTGGTTCAAACGATTTATCGGATAGTGGATTTCGGAAAAAAACTCTATACAGAGAATACAGAATTAACCGAAAAAAGAGAGAGTAAAAAACGTGTTCAAGAGAAAATAGGTTTAAAAACACACGTATACGTGAGACGATTTTGTTACTTGGTGATGCGAGAACGTACCAAAAACCAAAAATAGATATTTTGGCATTTCTTGTTGTCAACTATTGAGAAAAAATAATGTAGATTAGACATAAATTAGTAGTTGACATGACATGGGAGAATACATTATGGAAGGAAAATGCAGAGTGAAGAACGTGTGGGGTAGAGAAACAGCAGACAAGTGTGCGTGGACCATCACCGCTCTGTTTTTATGTTGTTCGTGAAGGTCGTGCCCTAACCGCAACCCCAAGCCGCCATTGCCGCTATCTTTAACACGTGGCGCTTCCCCCATGTGATTTGTCTTTTACCGCCACGTCGGCTAGCTAGCCCACAATCGTTCTTCAGTGTGGCCTAGATAAAGCCCAACAGCCTCCGTGGGCTCGACCCGAAATTGTCGGGTCAAAACTCTAATTTCCCAATAAGCCACTACAAACCAAATGCTACACAAACCAAAACTAAACTAACACTTTGTGCCTGGCTCTTGTTGCTCTTGTTGCAACGTGTGACGTGTATGATGCTCGAGCAAGCTACAGAGAGAGGGATAGATATAGACCAAAAAACCAAAGAAACAAAAAAAAAACTTAACACTTTGTTTTCAAACCCATTGATTGTTCCTACATAAATCATAATCGTACCCGTAGCTGAGCAAGCAAGTTGATGAACAAAAAGAGCAAATAGAATATTTACATTCAATTAAAAGCAAGAACACCAAATTTAATTGATTGACGATCCAAATGTGTTTTCCCCACTGTAGGTAACATACAAGAATCCGTCTTCTTCTTTCTTTTCTTCGTAGATGGTTGACATCATCGCTCCTGCAATTGAGTTTCCCAATTCTATATCAAAACCAACAAGTTTACGTAAGGATTAATAGCTGTTTAAGTAGGGATCAAGAGGAATAGATTACCGGTGGGAGGAAGAACATTATCAACAAAGATGAAGATAGCTTTCTCTGCACTAAGTTGGATTCTTTTACGAATCACATACACAAACTGACCAACGGTTAGATCAGCTGGGACGAGGTATCTGTAAAATGCAAAATCCAAAACATGAATAAGCAAGAAAGACTCCAATGTTAAGAATCAAATGTTAGATATAAAGAAAAAGAGGATCATACTTCTTCTTGTCAATGTTAGGGATATCACTTTTCTCTGACTTCTCCACAATCACCTATTACAGAAAGAGACATTAATATAACCTTCTTATTCTGAAAAGTCATATCCTTCAGAGGGAACAAGAACCATCTATCAAAGTGTTATTTTTGCAAGATTTTCAATCAATCAGGCCTCAGATTCAGCCAAATTACCAATTGGGTATGTTCCTATGTGAGTAAAATCAACAAAACTAGGAAACAGAACAAAATCTATGGCTGATGATGATTATTGATACACAAAAGACAATTCAAGACAAAAGAACAGAGTTAGATTACCGGGACTCTGTCAGGATACTTGTCTCTGATCCTTAAAGCCTCAGCTTTCCTCTTCTCTGCAATATATAATCAATCATCAACCAAGATTTATCATGTTTTATTGAGATATGTCATCCTAAATTCATAACAATCGAATTACTAGAAAGAAAAAAAAGAAGAAGATTTATACCGAAATCATGATCCTCTTTGAAGCTGCCATTACTCATCTTGATTTATTCCTGAATATATAACAAATTTCCAGAATCACCAACCAAAATAAGGAAGAAAAAAAAACGATATTTACCAAATCCCAACACAAAACCCTAATTTTTCTACTACCCAAGTCGAAATCCACTTCTCTCTGTATATTTTTATAGAAACCGAACGAAATTATATGTATAAACGAAATCAATCGGAGAAACTTACAGAGAGGAAGAGATTATGCGAGTTTATTAAGATCAAAAACTTTGGATTCGACTTTGTATGATTCAATCAATCAAAACTTCGACTGCGATCGTCGCAGTTATATATATAATACGCATAATTACCTTTTCCTTTTTTCGTTTACCGAAATATTATCGAATTAGCGAATGACACGTCACCTTTAATTTATTTTAAAACAATACAAGACCAAAAATCAAGGTATTTGATTGGTTTTTATTCGGTAAATTTAATTAGCAGGATTTAAGGAATGTTTAATTGATTTAGTTACCAAATACAACTTTAGTGGTTATTTATGGACTAAGGCCCATAACTAGTTAATAACTCATTACTCTATAAAGCCCGTTATAAGTCCGCCGTATATTTGTTTTCGTAAAAGATAAGAAGCCCAGCCCAACTTTCTGGTTAAACTTTCTTCTAAAAATTGGTGGTTCAGCTGAGATCAAACCAGCATATTACTAAACCAAACGTTTTTCTGTATTAAAAGATCAATTAACTAAAGTTCAAGGACAAAAAATCTACATTGTTGATCATTCCAAATTTTTAAAAACGTAGTTTTCAAAGTTTTTTCTCACCAAGAAAATATAACTTTTCAAAACTTATAGACTGTATATCATAATCCTTGACTTCAAATCAACAATGGATCAAAACTAAGTTTTTTTATTAAACTTTTAACAGTCAACAGAATTGAAAACTAATTTATGATAGTCATTAAGATTCTAGAACAATTTCCACACTAGTTCCAGGCTCGTAGCTTACGTAACGTAACCTGGTAGTTGCCATGCGGCGGTCGGATTTGTTCGTCTAATTATTTTTTGTAAGTTAACAATGTTTCAAACACTAATATTTATATAACTTAACCAAATAATTAAAGATAATAGTTTCATACTACATGGTTATGTTGGTTGTTGTATTGACAAATTATAAGATCATACTAATCTATCACTATATTTACTTTTTGTTTTGTTTCCGCCGTCACTGTTTCTTTTCTCTAAGCGAGACAGATTTTATCGTTTGTGCTGTAATGTGTCTCCTAATCCTTAATAATTAATATTAAACCAACCAAAATGTGACATGCTTTGTTATAAATAAGAAAAAGTTACATTGTCCTTGTTGTGTTTGTGACTTGATTAAGATATGATATGACATGATTCACATAAGTTAACCCCACTAGTCAATATAATTCCTGAACATCAAAATTGAAAAGTTTAAACAAAGAGAAAACAAAAACAGAAAGCTTTGCCCGTGAGTAGTCGTGAGGTTAGCAGAGGAGACTATCGTCTATTTTGAGGACTTTAGGTTTATTTTGGGAAATTAGCAAATCTAAAAACATAGTGGAAGTGAATTGCAAATATGACATGTGACATACTGAGATAATTTGGTTACAGTGTTATATATTTCTACATCGATCAAACAATTAGTTATTTATTTACTTGTTTTATTTATATCACTGCATCCAAATTCCGAATCACGAGTATGTATGCAGGTAACACACGGTCGATGTGTCCCTCCTTTAGCCATACATCTACCTATAGATTGTGTTGATTAAATTACGCAAATTGGTCCTTTTTTAATCCTAAAACATTACAAAAACGGAGAAAGAAATAGTTTAATAGCTAGAATACATGTTGTTAGACATATTACAAGGTGGTGGAAATTCACATGGAGGTTTCTTGTTTGTCTTGGAGGAAAAAAAACATGTCTCCCATTATTACAATGTCCAATTACAATGATTTTTGTTTTTATATTGTTTTGGTTTAAAAAATAGAAATATGTTTAGGGCAATCACATAAGCCATGTCTCCTCTCTTTCATTCACACACAAACTAACAAAAGTTCCAACTTGTCTTGGAAATCCAGCTACACGCCTACACATCTTTTATTTGATTTCCTTTTGGTATCCTCTCTATTACCGCCAATAAACGGCCTCTTAAGTATTTCAAGTTCGTTAAAAAGAAAAAAAAAAGTATTTCAAGTTTGTCAAAATAGTGAATTTAGCTATAACTTTTATTGGTTGATTACGTTTAGTAAACATAAAAACGAAAAAAAAAATTATATACACTTCATCGCTACAATATTTTACAGATGATTTTTTAAAAAATTGGTGGCAGAAAACGATTGATTTTCACAAACATGTGCAAGCATAAACCAACATATACTTGTCATTCAAACTTTAAACTTGATAGCATAGGCTAGATTTTATAGTCAAGATATGTCATTTATTAATTGCATAAATAAAATCTAGACTAGAGCCACCAGATCTTGTTCAGAGTTTATGCAATTTTTCAACCGTTAGATTAAAAAAACAGACTGCAAGAGCTGTTTTACAGTCTAACTTACTGTATTACCCCCACATTCACGGTCGAGTGTGTTTAGAGAAAGCAAGGGTAATTATGGAAAACAATGATTAACAATAAAAGCCATCTGTGTCAAATTCACTTTTTGCTCTGCAACCTCGGTATATGTTTTCGATTTTTTTATACTGCTGTCTTTCAGATTGATGATTATCTAACGCGCCTCAATAGTTCTGGACTATCAAGTATCAACTAATAATAACTGACTTTGCATAGTTTGGACTTTGGATTAACAAGTTCATTTTTTCTTTCTTTCTGATTACTTCTAGTTATATCTAATAAAATATTCACTACATAATCTTATATTTATAATAGATTAAGTAAATAAATTTGGTTCTTGTTAAGGAAATTAATTAAAATTCTTTCAATTTGACTGACTCTCGAACTACTAAGTGTTTTGCGAGTGATTTCAAACAAAAATTGAACAATTTGAAGTAAGCAAATCTTTTGGTTCATCATCATTTGACACTTGAATTAGTAAGTTTTTTACACATATAATGAAGTATAATTCTATTATCATGCTAATCAAAGAAACATGCTACTGTGCATATTTATTCATAACACACAATTGCTATTTCACTACATAAGTATATACTACACATTATTTTACTTTTTTTTACATATTTATTTTATAAAATCAAACAATTTTGCAAAAAATGTAGAAAAGTAATTTTGCCGATGAGCGTAAAAATCAGTGTTTTCCTTATTTATCATGTTGCCGTCATAGTAATTTAAGTCAATTAATTTATGATTTAAGGCTAAATTTATTCGATTAAAGACACTTTGATTTCGATATTCATGGCCTAAATTTAAATAATCAACGCAAAACCAGATGCTAATGGTAAATCAAAGTTTAAATATTTTAGCTGTGTGTAATTATTTATTTTAACTTTTTTAACAAATGTATTAGATTTACGAACATTTTGGGTAAATTTCAAAGAGAAAGACAAACAAATGTACTAGTGTCTCTTGGAGAGTAAGAGTGACGCGCTGTAAGTGCGAGTAGACGTAGAAACGAGGGGATATAATACAGATGTAGTAGATAAGTAAATCTACAGACACAAGGCACCACACACACAGCAAAAACCAAATCCTTTACCCAAAAATAAAAAGAGAGCATTTTTGATGAAGATCATCACTTTGGAATGTTGTTGCAATCATCTAGAGTCAATATACAGAAGCAAAGAGAAGAAAGATTGTTATTAACACCGAGTGTCAGATAATGTGGGCGCCAAGCTTTCATCTTCGTCTTCCTCTTTAAGTTCTGAGATCTAGGGTTTTTCTGGGTTTCTTTGTTCTTACTCTTAATTCTCTCTCTTTCATCTGAGATTGGTCATGCCCCTGCCCTTTGAGCAGTTTCAAGGGAAGGGGGTTCTGGGTTTCTTAGATTCTTCTTCTTCTCCGGGATACAAAATCTGGGCTAATCCAGAGAAACTCCATGGACGAGTAGACGAAGATCTCTGCTTTATTGTTAACAATGGTGGTTTCTCGGAGCCGACGTCTGTTTTAGACTCTGTTAGAAGTCCAAGCCCTTTCGTCTCTTCTTCAACCACCACGCTGTCTTCTTCTCACGGTGGTCCCAGCGGCGGCGGCGCTGCTGCTGCTACTTTTTCCGGCGCCGATGGGAAATGCGACCCAATGGGTTTCGAGGATCTCGATGGTGTTCTCTCCGGTGGCTCGCCCGGACAAGAACAGAGTATTTTTAGATTAATCATGGCTGGTGATGTAGTGGATCCGGGTTCTGAGTTTGTGGGTTTCGACACTGGTTCTGGATCCGACCCGGTTATTGATAATCCTAATCCACTCTTTGGCTATGGCTTCCCTTTTCACGACGCACCGGAAGAAGAAAAGTTTCATATTTCAACAAACCCGGAAGCTCTGATAAACCCAAATCCGTGTTTCTTCTCGGATCCTCCGTCGTCTCCTCCTGCAAAACGGCTCAATTCGGGTCAACCCGGATCTCAACACCACCACCAACAGTGGGGTTTCCCGTTCTCGGATCCGGGTCACGAATCTCACGACCCGTTTCTCACGCCGCCAAAGATAGCCGGAGAAGACCAAAACGACCATGACCAGTCAACGATAATCATCGACCAGCTATTCTCTGCGGCGGCGGAGCTCACCACAAACGGCGGAGATAACAATCCCGTTCTCGCGCAAGGGATATTGGCGCGGCTCAATCACAACCTTAACAACAACGACACTAACAACAATCCTAAACCTCCGTTTCATAGAGCAGCTTCGTATATAACCGAAGCTCTTCACACTCTCCTTCAAGACTCATCATCACCACCGTCTCTCTCACCTCCTCAAAACCTAATCTTTCGAATCGCAGCTTACAGAGCTTTCTCAGAAACGTCACCGTTTCTTCAATTCGTCAATTTCACAGCAAACCAAACGATTCTCGAGTCCTTTGAAGGATTTGATCGAATCCACATTGTCGATTTCGATATCGGTTACGGAGGTCAATGGGCGTCTCTGATTCAAGAGCTCGCCGGAAAAAGAAACAGATCTTCATCAGCTCCGTCGCTAAAGATTACAGCTTTCGCTTCTCCTTCAACTGTCTCCGACGAATTCGAGCTCCGATTCACTGAAGAAAATCTCAGAAGTTTCGCTGGAGAAACCGGAGTCTCCTTCGAAATCGAGCTCTTGAACATGGAGATTCTCTTGAATCCAACTTATTGGCCACTCTCTTTAGTCCGATCATCGGCGAAAGAAGCAATTGCTGTGAATCTTCCAATCAGCTCCATTGTCTCCGGTTACCTCCCATTGATACTTCGTTTCCTCAAGCAAATCTCACCAAACGTCGTTGTTTGCTCGGACAGAAGCTGCGACCGCAACAACGACGCGCCGTTCCCTAACGGTGTGATTAACGCGCTCCAGTACTACACATCTCTGCTCGAGTCTCTCGACTCCGGGAATCTGAATAATGCGGAAGCTGCTTCGAGTATTGAGAGGTTTTGTGTGCAACCGTCGATACAGAAACTGTTGACGAATCGTTACCGTTGGATGGAGAGATCGCCCCCGTGGAGAAGCTTATTTGGGCAATGTGGGTTTTCTCCGGTGACGCTGAGTCAGACGGCGGAGACACAAGCGGAGTATTTGTTGCAGAGGAATCCGATGAGAGGGTTTCACTTGGAGAAGAGACAGTCATCGTCGTCTTCACTTGTCTTGTATTGGCAGAGGAAAGAACTTGTTACTGTCTCAGCTTGGAAATGTTGAGACGAAAAATTATTATTAAAAAAAAAATGATATTTCAGGGTTTAATTTTCTTTTCTTAGCTTTTTAATTTGGGTTATATCATGTTTTAATATGTTTGATTGTGATGTTAACCAATCAAATGATATATATATATATAATCTCCTTATGTTAGTCTTTCCTTTTCCTTTTTATATTTCTGCATATTGAAATATGGATCCTTTACCATGGAGTATATTTTATCATTCACTAGATATGTTTGTTAGAGACATACAATTTACCATGTCTTTATCTAGGTACTAAAAATTAAGCTAATTGTAAACAAACTACATATTACTAAACTAGTTGTATTAACTTGTGTTTTGGGTTAATGTTGTAAACGATGAGATAACTTGTGTTTAAGCCTTTTATTATTGTAAAGAGATTGCGTAATACGAGTTTTGTCCGTGTAATCAATCACATGGTCCTCGCAGAATTGCTGCTTAGATTTGATATTATCACAATACTACCACTTTATTACTTATTAATCAACCACTTTAGTAAGATTCCGCAGTGAAATTGTGAAAGTATTAACATTTTTTATTGTATTAAATAACAAAATCCAGCCATGTCTTTCCTCTTCCCAATCATTTCTTAATTTTCGCCTCTTTATTAGTATCATTGATATTTGATTATTCATTTATATAGTTTCCTTTTTTCATTCAGATTTTTTTATAATTGCTCCCTAAAAAGTCTGCTTGGGAACAACGCGTTCATTAACATCCCCACATGATTTTAGACCTTTTTTCCTTTAATCCATTATCTGGAAAACAGGAAGAAATTATTTTGGAAAGTAAATCAAGAATGAATCTCTAAATCAATTGCCAAACGTCGCCGTTCCATTACCGGTCAGACAACACAGACCAAAGGTCCGAGAATTCGCCTATGAACAAGTTAACTCGCATTGAACCAAAAATTGCATACCGGTTCAATCAAAATTATGTTCAGTCGACTTCATTTAGATGATGAAATTTGTGTTAAGATTGATAAGAATTACAAAAGCATAAGAGCATCTCCAAAGGAACAATTTTGATGGGAGTTTTGAATGTTAAACGTGTTGGATTAAGCTTGAATGAATCTTAAGGCCCAAGAAAGTAAAACAAGTCGGTTTTACTTATGGATAAAGTCTAAAAGGATTAGATATGTTAGACCTAGTTATAGTCGGTTTAGGAGGCAATCTAAACCCTATATATATACTTGTTGAGTTGTGACAAGATATATGAGATTAAGAGGTTGAGATATTGAGAGATTGAGAGACTTGTGTGAGACTTTAGTTTTTGAGGGATTTTTCTAAAGTTGAATAAGAGAGTAATTCTTAAAACGTGTGTTCTTAATCTTCTTGTTCTCTACTTCTTGATTCTATATTTGGTATCAGAGCCACATATCAGAACACAAACTACACGAACTCGTGTTATAGCGTTCTAGGTCAAGATATGGGAGATATCATTCCTGTGGGAGAGAAAACAATAGACGGAGGAGGATCGTCCTCCATTAAATGTCCCATGTTGAATACAACCAACTACACATATTGGGCTATACGAATGAAATCATGTCTCAGAGTACACAAAGCTTGGGAGATTATCGAAACAGAGACGACGGATGTTGACAAGAATGATATAGCTACAGCTTTACTACTACAATCAATACCTGAATCATTGGTATTACAAGTAGGAGAGTTAAACTCAGCCAAGAAAGTGTGGGAAGCAATCAAGTCTAGGCATGTAGGTGCAGAAAGAGTTAAAGAGGCACGACTACAGACACTAATGGCAGAATTTGATCGACTTAAGATGAAAGAGTCAGACTCTATTGATACCTTTGCTGGAAAACTATCAGAAATATCATCTAAATCTGCATCTCTAGGTGAAAAAATTGAGGAATCTAAACTGGTTAAGAAATTCCTTAAGAGTATCCCACGGAAGAAATACATACACATTGTAGCATCTCTTGAACAAATACTGGATCTTAAAACCACATCGTTTGAGGACATTGTGGGACGTCTTAAAGTCTATGAAGAACGTATCTTTGAGGAAGATGAAACTCAAGAAGATCAAGGGAAGCTAATGTACACGAGTACAGAGAATACAAACAGAGAGTCTTATGGAGACTACAGAGGAAGAGGACGAGGTGGCAGGTCGTTCTATAGAGGAAGAGGTCGAGGACGGAATGGTGGCAGAGACATATCACACATTACCTGTTTCAGGTGTGATAAAACCGGACACTTTGCCTCAAACTGTCCTGACAGGCTTCTTAAACTTCAGGAAACACAAGAGAATGACAATAAAGACACTCAAATTGCAGATGAACTGATGATACATGAAGTAGTCTTCTTAAATGAGAAACATTGTGTGCCAAGCAAGTTTGAAACAAGTGTGGATGGTGAGAATGTATGGTACTTAGATAATGGAGCTAGCAATCACATGACTGGAGATCGGAGATACTTTGATCAACTTGATGATTCTGTAACAGGAAAGGTGAGATTTGGAGATGACTCACGCATTGACATCAAAGGAAAAGGCACCATTGCTTTCATAGACTTGAATGGAACACCAAGAACAATGACTGATGTTTATTTCATACCTAATCTAAAAAGTAATATTGTGAGCCTTGGACAAGCTACAGAAGCAGGTTGTGACATACGGCTAAAGGAAGGGTACTTAACAATGCATGATAAGGAAGGGAAGCTCCTTGTAAAAGCAGAGAGGTCCAAGAATCGCTTGTATAAAGTACAAATGAGGCTGAGGGATAGCGCATGTTTGTACTTAACAACAATGAGTGAGTCAAGCAAATGGCATGCTAGATTGGGACATGTAAATTTTACTACACTGAAGTCAATGATAGATAAAGAACTGGTTCAAGGGACTCCTAATATCACTCTAGAAAAGGAAATCTGCAGCTCATGCTTATTGGGAAAACAGACCAGACATGCTTTTCCACAAGCAACTGCTTATCGAGCTACAAAAAGATTAGAACTCATCCATGGAGATTTGTGTGGTCCCATAACACCAAGTACTAGTGCAGGGAACAGGTATATCTTTGTTCTTATTGATGATTTTTCGCGTTATATGTGGACAATCTTGCTGAAGGAGAAAAGTGATGCTTTCTGCAAATTCAAGAACTTTAAGACTATGGTTGAAAAGGAAACAGAAGAAAAGATTCAAACTCTTAGGACAGATAGAGGAGGAGAATTTGTATCACTTGAGTTTAACTCTTTTTGTGAAGAATTTGGCATTAAGCGACATCTTACAGCACCCTATAGTCCGCAGCAGAATGGTGTAGTAGAAAGACGCAACAGGACTATGATGGAAATGACAAGGAGCATGATGAAACACATGCACCTACCAAACTATCTCTGGGGAGAAACAATCAGACACACTACCTATCTCTTAAACAGAGTTGTTACTAGAGCACTTAAGGATATGACTCCATATGAGTGTTTTCGAGGAAAGAAGCCAACAGTGAATCATGTTCGGATCTTTGGCTGCATAGCATATGCAAAAGTTGACAAACCACATCTGAGAAAGCTGGATGATAGATCACGTATACTTATTCATCTAGGAACAGAACCTGGATCAAAAGCGTATAGATTGATGGATCCTCAAACAAGAAAGGTAACAGTAAGCCGTGATGTTATTTTCGATGAAACAAAAGGATGGGATTGGAAACATAGTAACTCGGGAGAGGATGGTAATGGAAGTTTTACTATCACTATAACTGATTCAGGGAATCATGGTCTCCAAGAAGGAGTCAGTGAAACAGAACAGAACACAATCCAGAACGAAACAGAGCATCCTGAGAGAAGAGACTTCTCAGATGAATCAGAAACTGAAGAAAACGATGAAACTGAAACAATTCAGGAACAAGAAGAGGAACGTGAAACTGAAATATCAGCTGATCCTTCACCTCCACCTCTGCGGAGAACTGAAAGACAGATCAACAAACCAAAGTATCTTGAGGATTATGTTTTACTTGCTGAGGAAGAAGGAGAAATTTTGTTACTCAGCTTGAACAATGAACCAAAGAACTTTTATGAAGCTAAAGGATCTAAGGAATGGACATTAGCTTGTGAAGAAGAAATCAACTCTATTGAGAAATTCAAGGTATGGGATCTTGTTGACTTACCATTGGGAGTAAAACCAATTGGTTTAAAATGGGTATTCAAGCTTAAGAGGAATTCAGATGGCAGTATAAATAAGTACAAAGCTCGACTTGTTGCCAAAGGATATGTTCAACAGTTTGGGGTAGACTTTGAAGAAGTATTTGCACCAGTGGCTAGAATTGAAACGATAAGGCTTCTCATTAAGCTTGCTGCATCACATGGCTGGGAAATTCACCATCTCGACGTCAAAACAGCTTTTCTTCATGGGGAATTAAAGGAAAATGTTTATGTCTATCAGCCAGAAGGATTTGAGAAAAAAGGAAGTGAAAGCAAAGTGTATAAACTCAACAAAGCCTTGTATGGCTTGAGACAGGCACCAAGAGCATGGAACAACAAGTTGAATCATATTCTTTTGGAACTTCAGTTTGTAAAATGCTCCAAGGAACCAACAGTTTATCGAAGAGAGCATAAGGAGAATGTTCTAGTTATAGCTGTATACGTTGATGATCTCTTTGTTACAGGAACTAGTCTAGATGCTATAAACAATTTCAAGTCAGAAATGTCTTCAAGATTTGATATGAGTGACCTTGGGAAGTTGTCTTACTATCTTGGTATAGAAGTGGTTCAGCATGCAGAAGGAATAACTTTAAACCAAACTCGGTATGCCAACAAGATACTTGAAGAAGCTGGAATGAAAGACTGCAACAAAGTTCATACTCCTATGGAAATCGGTCTAAAACTATCAAAGTGCGAGAATGAAAAGGAAGTTGATGCTACAACCTTCAGAAAGAATGTAGGCTGTTTTAGATACTTGTTACATACTAGACCAGATCTATCCTATTGTGTGGGAGTCTTAAGCAGGTATATGCAGAGTCCTAGAGAGTCACATGCGGTTGCAATGAAGCAGTGTCTGCGATATCTAAAAGGAACTACTACTCTTGGTCTGGTTTTTAATCGATGTACAAACATACCTAAGATAGTAGGCTTCAGTGATAGCAGTCATAACGTTGACCCTGATGATGGAAGAAGTACTGCAGGGTATGTTTTCTATCTTGGAGACAGTCCTATATCTTGGAGATCACAGAAACAAGATACTGTTGCAATGTCCTCATGTGAGGCTGAATTCATGGGAGGAACAGAAGCAGCAAAACAGGCGATCTGGCTTCAAGATATTCTGAGTGAAATCACAGGGAGCTTATGTGAAAGAGTAGTGATCAAACTTGATAATCGTTCAGCCATTGCTCTTACAAGAAATCCAGTTTTTCATGGCAGAAGCAAGCATATACACCGGCGCTACCACTTTATAAGAGAATGTGTCGAGAATGGTCTCATTGAAGTAGAACATGTACCCGGAAGTGAACAGAGAGCTGATATCTTAACTAAAGCATTAGGTCGGATCAAGTTTAAGGAAATGAGAGATCTTATTGGAGTCCAAGATTTGAAGAATGTTGAGTTCAAGCTTAAAGGGGAGATTGTTGGATTAAGCTTGAATGAATCTTAAGGCCCAAGAAAGTAAAACAAGTCGGTTTTACTTATGGATAAAGTCTAAAAGGATTAGATATGTTAGACCTAGTTATAGTCGGTTTAGGAGGCAATCTAAACCCTATATATATACTTGTTGAGTTGTGACAAGATATATGAGATTAAGAGGTTGAGATATTGAGAGATTGAGAGACTTGTGTGAGACTTTAGTTTTTGAGGGATTTTTCTAAAGTTGAATAAGAGAGTAATTCTTAAAACGTGTGTTCTTAATCTTCTTGTTCTCTACTTCTTGATTCTATAAAACGATGAAGAAAAGTAAACGAAACACAATTATTTTGTTGGATTTGAAATTTGATAAGAGGCACTGCAAATGCTAAATGCAGCATAGCTTATACATATCATTAAGGCCTACCGTAAAAGATGCATGCCTTCCTTCATCTTATTGATGGGAAAGGGACAAAACCGAAAATAATTTGAACATAAAACAGAGTTATTATAAAGAGAAGAAATTAAAGATGAAACAAACAAACGACAAATGCATATTTTTCAAACTTGAGCCTACTTCATATCCTGCAATTTGAGTCTTATGTCTATTACAAACTTCTTTCATAACCTGTGTAGCAGAAGCTCTATCTATATTTATCAAAAAGAGTAGACTAGAAGAAAAACGTAGTCAAGTATTGAAAATATGCTAAAAGATTCTATCACTAAAAGCATACATAGATTTATTAGCTAGCTCAAAACCTCTAAATTGATGGGAAAAGGGACTAAACCGCAAATAATTTGAACATAAAACAGAGTTATTATTTAGACAAGAAAGATGAAACAAACAAACGACAAATGCATGTTTTCATACACAAAGGCAAAGCACTTTACTGCTTGATACACTTCTTAGAATCAGTATCAGTCCCGAGACGTTTCGCATCATGTGAGCTTTCCTCCTCACTATCAGTATCAGTTACATTAGGATCTGCTAACAGGTTTGGATCACCGGCATATGAACTTATATCCCCATATGCAATTTTGTGAACAAATTTTAATTTCAATCTTAAAACAAATTTTGATAATTGAGGACATTTTGAAAACTGATGAATACTAATATATATATCAAAAGGGGTTTCTTTAAAACAAAGGTTAAGGAAAAAGAAGAATGAATTATCAGCTTAATGCGGTAACTTATCATCAAATTAATTATCAGTTTAAAGTAGTAATTTATCGAAAGCAGTCAAAAACACAAAATTATGGTCTTATATATGTTTGTTTCTATTTTTTTAAGATCTCAACTTTGAATCTGTGATTTTTTGTCATTTTTATTAACATATATTACTTATATTTTGCTCATATTTTTCTTAATTTTTGTTATTTTTGATCAATTGTTTTTCTCTTAATTATTTAAATTATTTCCGTACTTATAACATATGGATAGATGTGCAGTCACTACCAAAAAAATTTGAAAAAGTTTAGATTGGTGATTTTAAAAAAGATGGATAGATTAGTTACTCTATTGTTTTTGCTTTGTTTCAATGTTTAATTGAGTTTTCAAAATTTAACTAGATTATAATTTAAAAGATTTCCGATAAAAATTCTATTACCCAAAATTAAAAGAGTCACATTTCAATACTAAAAATTGGGCTTATGAATGGATGGACTTATGGTTGTGGTTGTTACAAACAAACCCAAAGCCTTTTCTGCTATATACACTTGTCATCCGAATCAGCATCAGTCTTAAAACGTTTGGCACCATGTGAGCTTTCCTCCTCACTATCAGTTACATATGGGCCAAGAGGCTCTCCTCCATCAAATAGGGTTTCCCAGACCCATACATCGTTTGCAATAGCAAGTGCCTTGTCGGAGTCATCATGCTCATCATGCTGTGCGAAGAGAATATTGAAACGTTTCTTTTCATAGCTTCAAGAGCCTTGACCAACAACGTGTCTTCTGGATGCTTTTTTGAAATTACCAAAACATTTTGTGGTATTCCAGTACCAATGTAGTCACGTTTTATCCTTGCCCACCAAACAATATCCTCTATAAACGCATGCAGCAAGTGGTGGCATTCCCCTTGATGCAAAGTTATCATGCAGTACTACGACAACATTATAATCAGTAGAACTACATGAAACCCTTGGAGAACATTGTTGAACACCGTATCTTTCGAAATGTTTCTTGAGATTACCACCAAATTTATTGGGTGAAAATAGTCCGGATCATTATCCAGTTTCCATAAAAGAATGTCGAGGATCATATGATTCAATCTCGTACATTTACACACTGAAAAATAAAAGTATAAATATCAAGGGAGATGTAAGTAATTAAAAGAGAAAAATGTGGTTGAAGACGTATATCTACCATGGGAATGAAGGGTGATTCCGGCATAACGGTATTTATTCAGTACTACATCAGGGAAGGTTTTATCTCCATAATAAGGCGAGAATGACACGTCACCAGGAAAACCCAGACCTTGTTTGATTTTTGACAAACAGATTCAGGATCGAGACCATCAGGTATCGGAAAATCCTCTATGTCCCAGAAGATTTCTGTTTTTAGTATCTATGAACCAAGTACGCGTTAATGTAGTAATTATCGATAAGATATATGAAATGGTAATCCAGGATTTAGACAAATACAATTTCGAGCTAATCCAGGATTTTAGACAAATACAAATGCTTACTGGAGAGATCTCGATCTGACTGTGACGAAAGGATAATCTGGAATATCTACCACTTTTTTTTTTTTTTTTTTTTTTTTAACGCGTAATACAAAAGTAATTACTCGACACGAAAGAACAAAACAATCAAATCGCGAATACAAAGTAATTAAAATTTATGATGACATATCCGACGATTGGACACGCTAGTTTAGCATGACGGTCGGATAGATCAAATAAAATTTATTTTAGATTTAGAAGAAAATAAAAACAATTTCGAGAAAGAGAGAGAACTCACACTCGTAATCACTCGCTGTTCTAGCTAGTATGATCTGTGAGGTGTAACGAACAAAAGAAAAAAAAAAGCAGCTGTGAATACAATTTGATTAAAATTTACCATGACAATCAAATAAAATATAATTGAGATTTAGAAGAAAGGAAAAAAAAAAAAACAATTTCAAGAAAGAGATATAGAACTTACTCCACGACGACGCCATGCATGAGAAAATTAGGGTTTTTATAGCTGCGGATGAGATCTGTCCCTGAAACTAATTTCTTTTTCAGCCGTCGGATCACACGTCGTTTCCTGAACTCGTTTCTACACCTTCTTATACAACACATACACGACCAACTACCTGAGGGTAATTTAGTAATTTATGTTTCCTCATAAAACATTTATTAACACCTCTCTGTTCGAGTAACGCGGAAAGCTGCTATGAGTAATTTATCGAGAGGTTTTGTGTACAAACCATCGACGAATCATTTTCATTCAGATTTTTTTTATAATTGCTCTCCCTAAAAAGTCTGCTTGGGAACAACGCATTCATTAACATCCTCCCATGATTTTAGTCCTTTTTTTCCTTTAATTCCGTATTAGCTGGAAAACAGGAAGAAATTATTTTGGAAAGTAATTAAGAATGAATCTCTAAATCAATTTCCAAATGCCGCCATCGCATCCGCATCATCCGGTCAGACAACACAGACCAATGGTCTGATAATTCGCCTAATGAACCAGTTTACTCGCATTAAACCAAAAATTGCATACTGGTTCACTCAAACAACAGGCCAATCTCAGAAATTTCTGCAGCCATTTCACCATCATTGGCTTGCTATATGTTTCTTTGAACTTCACTCTCGTGAGGGGAAAAAATTGCACTGGCTTTGTAAGTTTTTTCTTGAAGCTATAATGAGTTTCTTGGGGATACAGCCATATAATCTCAAACTCCATGAAGTCTTACGAACGAGTAGGCTAATGCACCAGTGAATATGTAACTATCAACTCTGTCCAATATTCCACCTGCAATTACAGAGGACTCGGTTAGAGAGGCAATGAGACAAAATCCTGTCTGGTTTAACGTGTCAATACCATGTCCAGGGATGAGTGAGCCAGAGTCTTTGACACCCGCATCACGTTTGATCATTGACTCAGTTAAGTCACCAAAGACCGACCCGAAGAAGTTAAGAACTCCAAAAGCTATAGTGCTGTTTAAATAGAACCAGTCAGAATAAAGACATAATAGACTCTGGGGATTCAATAGGATTTGAGTACCTGACGAGGATTGAGGCCAGGACAACGATTTGGAGAGCAAAATGGTAATGGTAATACAACCAACAAGTCCTGCAAGAGCTCCTTCCCATGTCTTCTTAGGACTAATGCTAATAAGAGGAGTTTTACCAAATGCCTGCAACATTAGTTGATTAACTTCAGCCAAGAGAAGTTATTGTCAGACTATATGCATTGGAAGGTCGATAATACTAAACTTGTCGTTCTCTTTAACGAATACCCTGAAAAGTATTCCTCCTTAATTTGAATAAAATGAATGCTGAGATATAAGAGAGAAATGGAGAAAGCTCTAAACATTAATTATTGCAAAAAACTCTATCATATCCTCAAAAATGCCTAAACGGTTTTATCTATAAGAAAGTCTGAATATTAATGTCTTAGATCTAACCTTCAGCAGATACATACCTTGCCACCAAGAAAAGCAAACGTGTCTGAGGCAATTATACCGCAGAAAGAAATCAATATAGCAACAAGTCCAACTGTCCAGTGTGCTTGGCCACCGAGGATAGTAGGCCAGCTTCTTCCAATTCCTATATAAGTAATTAAATGCTCAGGAGACTTAGTCTTTGATTACTTTACGAACCAAGCTAGGAATGATAATAATAACGGAGTGCTTGCCGGTGTTTAGAACTGGAGCAGTAAGACCACACAGAGAGCTTTATCCAGAAACAAGGAAGATATCCACAGTAAAACAGGCCAAACATTGTACTACTCAACTGAGAAAATCGCGGGTTTCCTCTTTGTAACAACAATGCCATTGCAACAAACAAACGCCGCAGATGTCACCGAGATATCTATATGACCAAAATACCTAAAAACAACATTCGTAACAAGACAAAACCTTTAACCAAAATAAGAGAAAGAATCACGGACCTTTGAGGTGTTTACTGACTGAAACTACTCACAATGTAAGTATGGGCATAAGAGCACTCATATAAACCGAGCAGACTCTAGAAAGATATCGTGGAGGAGGAGTCATTCCTTGAGCAATTCCTTTACTTCTCACCAGCTCAAAATATTCGCGGGCAACTTAGAAGAACCGCAGCTGCTACTGCTACTGTGAATACCCATCCTCCAGCTAATACAATACCTCCAACAGACAATCCAATTCCTAAACCAAAAATCACTCTTTTCTTAAACTGGCTTCTAGACTTCTGCTTCTGATCATCTAAACTCGAATCTTCTTCAACATTTTGCAATTCTTGATCTCTGTTGTATCCTAAACAGACAGGCAATTGCCATGATAAGTTTCTCAGCACTACATAGCAATCCACAAGAATGATTCTTATCGAAATTCCCGTATAACCTCAAGTTCTTAAACTAACATCATCCAAGAGAAAGAGTAATAAAGTTACCCTCCTTTGAGTTGGCATCGTCACCCAATTTGATTTGATTCAGCTCGAGCAACGGCCGTGATAACTCTCCGGTTAACAGAAATCGGACTAAAGCGAGAATGAGACAATAATGGTTTCGAGTACTTTTCAGAGAAATGGGGAAGAATTAGAGATTTCTTGGAGAAGAACGGCAAGGACATGTACAGAGAGAGCTCACTGAGAGCGGTAATGGCTTATACCTACAGACTTCAACAAAAGGCGCCATTGAACACCGAAATCGGAAAGAAGAAGAATTCAAAACCCTAACAAAGGAGTAAAGGACAATCTTTACGATAACGGAATCATGGAAGGAAGGAGGAGATGTTAAAGATTGTGTGATTCGGTGAATCTAATCGGAGCTTATAAGTTTTGTACGGTGGAGATACTAATGGGGCTCCTGGTGGTGGACCTGGTGGTACGACGAGATAGTATCTGAACTCCACGCGCCTCTGTTAGCGCGTTGATAACTCTCCTTCTCGGGTATTGCCGCGAATAGTTAAACCCGAAGTCTCTGGCTACAAAGGAAGGTTTTACGTGGAACCTGAGTGCTAAAGCCACATATGTCATTAGTAGCTAAAACTTAAAAGTGTGAGATTTTTTGTTCCTTGGATCAGAATTAATTGTCTTGTTCTTCATGTGTTTTTAAGCCTTCAGATCCTCAGACCAAAGAAGTCACATGATCTGCAGATTTTCAAGAAAATGAATTCACAATCTGGATGATCTCATGGTGAATTCGACTGATATAAGCTTTATGAAATGAACTCTTGTTGAATGCTTTATCATTTGTGTGGCTCAATCTGGGGAACGCAAAGTCTACTTCGACTGTGCATCCATTAGAAGGGTTGATGGAGACGGTGTTACTCCTACAGGAGTAAAGAAGTCCTGCATCTTACATCTTAGTATCAGAGGAAGAAACAGAGGAATCCGATGGAGACTGTGTTAGGCATAAAAGAGGGAAGACGCCAGAGATTGTACCTCCAAAAGAAGTTGTGTATACATCTGATAGTATGAACCCAGAGGAAACTCTTCCGCTTCATAGTCCTTATAATAGACGATATGATTTATTCTGGGAAAAAGAAGTAGTACTTGATCAGGGATCAGTAGATTTTGGGAGCTTTGTTAGTCTTGGAGTTGAACAGATTTCTCAAAGACAAGCAACTTTTGAGGACTGTGACTTATGTGTAACCTTGTAACCTTGAAGTTGTCTTGGAGTTTTATGCAAATTTACCAATTGTTCATAAGGTACGTGTCAGAGGGAAAACGTATGAGTTGTCTCCTAAGTTCCTAAGCGATGATGTATATGAGCTTCTTGGAAGAGAACATTGACAACTAACTACTCATAGATTCTGGTTGGTCTTGTCTCAATGATTTCTAAATTCTAATCTTATGAAAGCCTAGTATCTAAGGAGGGGTTATTGGTTCATGGATTTATAAGGAATTAAAAATCCAAACAAAAATCATTTGTTATTCAATCATTGATTTTAAAATCCTAATTAAAAGCATGTGTTATTGGTTCTATGATTTAGAAATACTAGTTAAAATCAGATGTTATTCGTTTAGTCATTTGTTTTTGGATTTGAGAATCCAAATTATGTTTTAAATGGATTTGTATGGAATTGAAAGAGAAAAATAGAAGGATTGAAATCCATGGGTAAACACATGTTATTTCAAAATCCATATATTTTGATTCCATAATTAATAGAGAATTCCAAATCCTATATGGATTTACAAATTAATAAACCAATAACACCCCCTAAGAAAAAGATTCAAACTTGCTTCTTTTTGGTCTTCTCATCTTTAGTGATCAGAGGAGGGTAAAATTAAATTAAATTAATTTTTTGACGGTTTAGTAATTGCCAAATAAACCGAGAAGTGAAAAAAGGAAATTAACACATAAGAGTTAAAGAAAAGGAAATTGAATCTCAAACACATGTAGAAAAAGGAAACAACAACAGAAAAAAATATAAAAAGGAAACTTGAAACCTTAACACATGAGTTTATAAATAGTCTCATCGTTTTATTATCATCGATCATCACACACAAACCAGAGAAACGAGAAACACATAGAGAGAGAGAGAGAGTTATTTAGTGAGATAGATGCAATATCATTCTTTGATTTTTTTCGGTTCTCTCCTTCGATTTCTGCTCCTTTTTCATCTTTGATTTCTTCGAATTCCATGAGTTGTTGATCGACGAGTGATTTGTTGTTTTGTCGTTGCTCTTCTCCAAATCTTCACCAACCAGGCTAGAAAAGAGAAGAGCGTCGTGGTGGAAGATGAAGATACAGATTCTTCTTCGTTTAGAATCATTCCAGAAATTAAAGCCAACGGTCGGTGGTGAATTGTGATTAGGCTTTGTTCGCTTAGCCATTTGCCATTGAAGACGATCAAGTCTAGTGAGAGATCTCACAAGCATCACGTCTTAATAAATCTACCGGAGCTTTTGAGAGGACTTCGCGGTGATAGAAACGGCAATTGAAGACAAAGATCATAGGATTTGTTTTCAGTCACGGTGGTGGAGAAACTAACGGTTGGATTGCAATCTTCAAAACCCTACGAGGCCCAACAATAAGAAAAGGAAATTCAGCACACAAAGAACTGCCAAGCCCATGAAAGTCCATCCGATTATTAGTCAGGTCAATTTCTATCCCATCTTTTTTACTATACAAAGTATTATTATTAAAAAAATGTTTTCAAACTTAAATATTAAATTTACAATACGTGAAAACAAACCGGATTTAGCATCCCGTCCTTTGGTCCGTAAGTCTTGTGGTGTCATAAATTCAACCCGTTTCACGTATTGTAAATTTAACACTTACTGTTTTTCACAAATACTATTTTCACTTTTGATTTTTCACTAAAACGTTTTACTATATATATACAAACTATTTTTATTAAAAAAGTGTTTTCAAACTTAAGCGTTAAATTTACAATACGTGAAAACAAATCGGATTTAGCATCCCGTCCTTTGGTCCGTAAGTCTTGTGGTGTCATAAATTCAACCCGTTTTCACGTATTGTAAATTTAAACTTAAGATTTTTAACAAATAATATTTTAAGTTTTTATTTTTAACTAAATCTTTTTACTATATATATATACAAACTATTTTTATTAAAAAAATATTTTCAAACTTAAGTGTTAAATTAAGAATACGTTAAAACAAACCGGATTTAGCATCCCGTCCTTTGGTCCGTAAGTCTTGTGGTGTCATAAATCCAACTCGTTTTCACGTATTGCAAATCTAACACTTAAGGTTTTTCACAAATAATATTTAGCTAATTTTTTTTTATTTTTAACTAAAGGTTTATTTACCATACAAACTATTTTTATTAAAAAAAAGTTTTCCAACTTATGTGTTAAATTTAAATTTTAAACCAAGGGTGGCTCCGTGTGTTATGACTCGTGGGATCTAATGTGTTGTGAAAACTCACTTGTGAGACAGACAAGTATCTAGCCTGCTATGGAATCAGATAATTTCTTGACGATGACTGTCTTTCGAATTACACTTCTTTTACTTATGGTTCAAACTCGGTTGCACATGATTTAGCTCTTTCTTTCCTCATCAATAAAAATATAAGCATGGCACATTGCCCTTGCGGTTCATCTCTGCACCATGTTCAATATTGATGTAAGAAAGTATGTGGTAAAGCAAGAGAAAGCATATGGTACTATCATATACTGACTATGCAGACGCAGGGGGAAGTTTTGAGACGGAATTTTTTGTTAAGAAACATAAGAATTAGTGGAGAAAGAACCAACGCAAAGTCATTTGGATTACAAAAGTTGAAAAGACAAAGCAAACTGAGTTACGAAACACAAATCTTCTAGGACACCTTTTTAAGGCGAAATTGACAAATACAGAAGTGAAAAAAATGTCCGACTGAAAAGAGATAAAAGTCTATTTCGTTTTTCTTCCTTCGTGGCGGGTGAGGGATTAAATTCAGGTGGGTGGTTTATGTCCTCTTCAGAATGTATCCCAAAATTAGACCGATGAGTCCGACCAGAAGAACGTACATGAATGGGATACCACCACTTTGGCTCTTCTTGCTTTCACGCCTTAATTGATCCTGCACATCAAACCAAAATCTTTGTCAGATAACATATCTCATGATTCTAAACTAAGCTTGTGGGAGATAAAAGACTGGTTCTGATTAATGGTAATGATGAGATAACTCTACAAGTATGATTCAAGGAACAATTTTCATGTTAAAAGATGGAGAAAAAGTAAAAGAAACACAATTTTTATGTTGGATTTTGATAAGAGCCAATGCAATGATAAGTTAAAGCATCTCTTCACAAAAAAAAATGATAAGTTGAAGCATATCTTCTCAAAACCATGGAAAAAACACTACTACAAACACTTGGTCCTAATTGCTAATCATCAAAGTAATCTTCTAGTTCTAAAAATTAAAAACAACAGCATGGAGGAGATTCAGAGATAAAAAGGATTCAAGTGGAAGTTCTTTTACCAGTTCTCTTTGAAGTCTGTTGTTCAGTTGAATGGCAGACTGTTTTTCTTCGGTTAGCTTGGTGATCAGAGCCCTCGCCTGAAATCACACAAAATTTAGCTGTAATAGAAATATTGTAGAATCACTAGATTTTCCTGGTCTCTGGCGTCAAACAACAGCTAGAGGATTTGGTGCACAAAAAGATAAATGAGTTCGGACATGGTTCTCAAAATGTAATGAACCTTTTAAGTAATCAACATAAAGAAAGATTCTCAACCTAATAAATCAGCCTAAAAGGCAACTTTCCAGTAAAGTTACCTCCAAAGTAGCAACTCATCAGTTTTAAACAGAGCAAAAGCAAAAGATGATTTCACATGATTTTAACGGTTACAAACTTGGAAGAATTGTGAAAAATACCTCAGATGTGTTTTCTTGCGGTTCAGCCCTGTCCACGCTAAATCTCTGAAACTAAAATTAAACACAAAAATACATGAAAATCTACACAAAAATGTCTACCAGAGCACTCAAATCTAATCTTAAGTTAAAATGTACTTACCGAAAACTCAGAACCATGTCCATTATCTGAGACAGAAGCCCTTGGTGAAGAACCCTCTTCAGATCCTTCGTGAACAGGTGATGGTGGTCGTGGTGGAGCAACATAAGTAACTCTCAGTTTAGTTTCCTCAACTAGATGTCCCGCCTCTTTGCTAAACTGCAAAATTTCATTACAATAAACAAAAAAACTGCTTTAAGTAACCAAAACCAAACTGTAACCATCCATATGAAATCAACAATGGGAAGTAATACAATACCATCTCAGGAGTAACTTCCTTGGCTGTGACACCAGGACTAGCTATAACACCTTGGAGCAGAAACTTGTCCTTGCACTGCATATCTGAAGGAGCTTCCTTTTGAGCTTGCATGGTCACTAGATCAAACCAGACAATAAGAATTCATCGGAAAACACAAATCCATCACAAGAGAGAAGAAGGATAAGAGAACAGACCAAGAACTTCACAAGTAGACCTGGGAAGAACAACTCCAGTGTTAGGCCTAACACAATACTTTTTCGGATTCGTAGTCTTAACCTAAATCATCACAAACCAAGAGAAGCCTCAGAAACACGAAACAATTTTCTCGATTCCAAAATTGATAAGGCTAAATAAGAGAATTATAACCTTAAAGGCAACATTATTGTCGGTCTTGTTCGTCAAATACAGAGAGCAAGAGATCTGCTTCTTCAATTCAACTACATCAAACCAGAGAAGAAGATTATGAGAAATACATAGATCTGGGACTAAGCGACATGCGAAATATTGAAAAAGTATGAATAAGCTTACAAGGGAATTGAAGATCGAGAGGCTCCACGGTGAGAAGCTCGCTGTTACTCATCCCGATCAGATCGCCGGAGATTCAAATCGATTTTCCAAAAAAAACGACAAAAAGACTAAAAAACAGTTTCCCGGCGATTAGATTCGTCCCGTGACGCCGTCTCCGGTTCAGAGAGAGCAGTCGTCGATCGAGAAACCGAGATCGAGAGAGAGAGAGATAATGAATTGAGTGGGACATCGCTATTTGTCTTGTACTCTTGTTCATTTTTCAAGGGTATTATTGTCTTTTCACTTACAATTGATCAAAACGCAAACGCAAACTCGCTCTAATCGCAAACACACATACCTAACTAAAGGATAGAGACTATAGAGGAATATAGAATCTGATCATAAATTCATAACGTTATGTTTTGTTACTGTTACCAAAGTACTCAGTACTCACCAATGCTAAAACAAATGCCTATAAGTCTATAACACAGTACAGAGTTTTTTTTTTTTTCTGACATGACTTAAAAACTAAACGAAGAAACATCTCTTATCTTCTTTACTTAAAAGCAACATATCTTCTTGTTGCTGGTTTGTTGTTCTAGAGGCAAAACCAGCAAACCAAGCAACTCTATAACAAGAGACAAAGCCCATGAAACATATGAACCACCCAATTGATCTCTACGTTGAGTTTTAACCCTCTCATCAGTTGTATATATATTTTTTTCATTTTGATAATTGCATAACTAAAACATATAAAGTTTATATATATTAGGGATGTGTGTGTGATTAACAATGTGCTTTACTTTTATGATCACTCTTATCTTGAGTTATTGTGGTATAACTCTAAGGAGAAGGAATGGGGAGTGGTTGCTGGTTTGAATCTTAACGGGTATAATTCCAAGAATCTCACAATCGTTGAATGCAACGGAAAGTTGGCTTTTTTGTGGCAAGAACCCGAGAAAATGGAGATTTGGTGTACAATGATCGCCTTGCGTCGGCGTGGAGTAGTAGGGGTTCAAGGGCGGGTCGAGTGGTCTAATTGCCTACTCTCCGACGGGTCGAGTGGTCTAATTACCCTCTTGACTACAAGATGATGCATTGTTTAGGTGGTACGGATTAAAGGTATGTATTGAATAAAATGATGACGGTGTGATAAATTGATGGTTTTAATACGTTTGTGAACAGAGTTACTAGTAGTTTTCCTTTATTTACTCTAATAAATATATGTTTGCTCAATAGATCATTGTTTCTTTGGCTTAGTAAAATACAAAACCATATGTAAACTAGTCTTATTCGACATTATGCTCTACTTTCTTAAGAAAAACATTTTCATCGTTTTTCGTTTATTATTAAATGTCTTTCTTTGATAGGAATCTGTCAACCTTTGCATATTCTCAACCTTAACATCTACCTATCAACCTTTACTATTGAAATGAATAACAACATACCTAACAAAAAAAGCGAATAATATATAGAATATGATCATAAAGAATATGTTTTTTTTTTATCATTATCACCAACTCACGAATAATAAAAGCTATACAGTGAAGTAAGAGTTACAGATCTTTAGTTTCTGACATGACTTTTAAAACTAAACGAAGAAACATCTATCTGTCTTTACTTAGAAGCAACAGATTGTGGTTGCTGACCTGTTGTTGTTCTAGACGCAAAACCAGCAAACCAAGCAACTCTCATGAGTTGCATTCCCAAGATCAATACCCACCAAGAGACGAGCCCACGAAGCATATGAACCACCCAAACCGGTGCGTTGACCTCTGCACTAAGTGTCAACCCTCTCATCAGTTGCAAGATTCGGTAAGCCTCGTAGACAACTGGTGTGACTAGCCAGACCGGTGATTGCCAGTGCCATGTGAGGATCTCTGTTAATGTCTGAACAGCAAGGAGAATGAAGTACGGGAAGAGGATAACAGCGGACGAGAGGAAAGGAAGCTGGGGTTGGAGAGAAGCGAGTAGGCCAGATTGGGATCCGAAGAGAAGTAACGTTGGGACTAGAAACCCGGTTATAAGCGAAAACATGTTCCAGAACTTGTAGCTAAATGGTGGTTTGCTGTTGCAGGACTGTGATGGGTCTTTAGGACGTGCGCAAGAATCAGCCATTAAGAGGAAAAGCATAGCTCCGAGGTTGAAAATGCAATCTAAACCGATCAAAGAAAGTAGACTAACCACGTTGGAACCGAGGAAAACCGATGACAACGGAAGCCATAAAGTAGGCGCCATACCGCTTGTGAGGAGAACAGATGGACCCAAAAGCCATATTGGCCATTTAAGTACCTGAACTTGAGAATTAGTCCGTTGTTGCACTGAATCGACTTTCTCTTCCTTTGCACTCTCGGATATAATAGATTCGAACACATTCGCAGTTTTGTCCAATACTAAATCAGCAGCTTCTTCCGCAGAAGCATGAATAAAAGGTGATGGTTCCCACTGAGACAGTTTTGTTGTACATAAGACACGGAGATTTCTGAAACGGAAATTACAAGATCCAGTCTTTAGTTTCTGCAACATATTCGGATTCTTGAGACGGACTCTTGGAGTCATAGTGCATAGAGACTTTGTAAGAGATACCATTCCTTGGCTCACCATTGAAGTCTCTAAAAAAAGCTTCAAACTCTGTTCTTAACATAAACAAACAAAAACAGAACATTTCAAAATTATCAGGACCAAGACGATACATGGACACAGGGGAAACACTTAAAGCTATTAAACCGGATAATCGAAATCAAAATCAAATCGAAACCGGTAAGTGAAATAGTTATCACCTATAGTCTTCAATTAACAAGTATGAATCTTGAATTCAAATTAGATCAATTTATCACTAGTTATCAAACTGAAGACGATTATCAAAATTTACTCCGATCAATTTTACTATGAACTCTCGGGAAAGCAGACACGAAACATATAAGGAAACCGATTCAAAGAGTACGCATAGAAAAAGAAGAAATCAATATGAAATCGGAGAAACTCACCGGCGAATCGCAGAACGGTAAGATCCCTAAATCCGTTGGCTATTTCTTCTCTAACGTCTCCGGGGAGAATAATCTTAAGCGTAACTTGAATATGACGTGTTTGGATGCAAAGATAATCATGTCCAGCACGAGCTTCTATGGGTTATACGACGACGTGTTGACAACTTGAATAGTGGGCCCATCTGCTTTTAAAGCCCACTATAGATCTATAGCTTGAGAGTTATAAACGAAATCACGAGGGTAAACGGCCTGGGCAATCGGTGGGAACCGGTTAAACCGAACCGAGTAAACCGGTGAATATTTTTAGGAAAAAGAAAATCAATAACCGAGCTACTAAATTAAATATGCCGTTCGGTTTGATCTCCCTCAAAGCTTAGGCCCCGATAACCGAATGTTTCGGTTTACTCGGTTCGGTTTAACCGGTTCCCACCGATTGCCCAGGCCTATGGTAACCAAATATTTTGATAACTATTTAGGGTTCCGTCGTCTTCCAGTGGCTAAGACGATATGTGTGTCTCCCACCAAGAAGGAGGCATCGTTGTTGTTTTCTAAATTGCCAGACGACATTGTTATAAGCGTCTTAGCCTGTGTCCCGAGACGGTTTCACCCAATTCTCTCTTGCGTTTCCAAGAAGTTTCAATGATTTTGTACTATATTTTTTTTGCACTATTATTTTCTTAAAAAAGGGTATCAAATTTGAAACGGTTGTTCGCCTGATATACTAAGAATTTAGGGTTAAGGAAAGGAGAGTTTGAGACGTGACTTCGAGAAAACAGAATATTTTGAGGAACATATTTTTAGTACCTTGAAAATTTAGATCAAAAACAAGTTCTAAGACCTGGAACTAGTCTAGTTTGGGAAAAAGAAGAGACAATAAAAAACAGGTATAAGTAAATATTAGAGAGATGTCCGATTTAGTTGATTGTTCATACCATCATATGTATGAACTTTGATTGATGAATATTTATGGTATCCGTAATGGAAGTACCACATATTTTTTGTTACCAATAACAAAACCAGTAAAAATTAGTAGTACTAAAAAATAAAAATAAAAAATTAGTAGTACTAGAGGTACGTACCTCTATCATTTTCATACCGATACTACAAAGTATATTTTTTACGGCTTTTAATTATTGTACTATTGCATACTTTCTTTTCCCCAAAAAAAATCTTACTACCATTTTATAATCTGGATCGTATTGAGATTTTCTAAGTTGATAGATAACGGTGGTTGTGTTAAGTGTAAGACATTATTATAAGTTTTTTTCTTCTCTATATATAATATAACAAATTGAAGTTAGGAAAAGCCAAAAAAAAAAAAAAAAAGGAGCACTCCAAAACATTAATTAACTACAAAAAGAAAGTTAATAGAAGAAGACTTGAAGCTGAAACTGGTGCATTGAGTCAGAGACACACTTTAATCACGCCCAACCAAACATCTTTTCTTTGTGCGTCTCTGTTTTTAAACCACACCCAAAAGTTAAAAACCTGGTTTAAAAAGTTTGGGCTTCCTCTCTCTTCTCTCTCTCGTATCTTTCAGAGAGAGGAAAACTCCGTATAATACTTTCTCCGATTAAAATCGGATTTTCGTTTTAGTTTTCTTTTGTTTCCGGTGTCTTGCCGGTTTAATTTTCCGACTTGTTCGGAGTTTCTTCCGGTTTTAGTTGCCGGCTTTTTGATAAGGCCTTTTGCAGGTTGCAAACCAACACTTCCAATTTTGGAAGATGTTAAATTCCGGGAGTTATTTTAGACGGATCTTTGTTCATTGGATTCTTGATTACTCTTCCATGTGAAGGTAAATTCCTCGCTTCGCTAATGAGAGCGTAAGGGCGTCGGTTCTCCATGGATGATAGATCAAGATGTTGCGGTTGATTGGAGAGGAGTATGAAGAGTTGGGGTTCACGTCGTGCTTTGATGGTCCTCCAAGGAATATTCTAATCCTAATCAGCTGAGATTTTAAATCTCCGGTGGCCAAACTAAATCCAGTAAATTTCTTCCGGCGATCTTTGGCAAAAGGCGTTCGGTACAATCAAAGGCGGACAGTTGTAGAAGTTTCATGGAGGAGTTGAATCATTTGCTGACCGGCGGAAGATTTCTCCGGCGAAGAGGATTGCGTCGTGTCGGTGAAGGTGCTTGCGTTGAAACGTAGACCTACGCTGCAGTCTCCACGTTGCACACACGTGTCGTTATATTGTTAATCTTTTATGTTTGCAATTAGTGGGTTTTTGTCCTAAAGTTGTACCCTCTTATGCAAGCCCATTTGGGCCAGTTAATGAAAATCCGTTTGTCGACAAAAAAAAAAAGAGAATTTATAGTAAATAGCCATGGATTCAAAAAGAATTAAGAAAATAGCCATGAGCTACAGTACTTTGTCTGTTGGATGTCGGAAAGCTTGTGTAATTACACACATGCCCTTTATAACATGTTTTTTTCTCGAATTACATGTGATAGAATAATATATCTCTTTTTATCATATTATTTTCCGGTATTACACGTTATTTATAAAGAGCACATGATATTTTTTGAAAAAACACTCTATTCAGTTTAATATCTTTCTCTATCATGTTATTTTATAGTAATACACGTTTTTTATTATGATCACATGTGATTTTCTTTAAAAAAGATTCTTATTTTCTAGTAATTCACGGTTTTTATTAAGATCACATGTTATTTCTTGAAAAAACACTCTATTCAGTTTAATATCTTTCGCTATCATGTTATTTTGTAGTAATACACGTTTTTTATTATGATCACATGTAATTTCTTTAAAAAACGATTCTTATTTTCTAGTAATTCACGGTTTTTATTAAGATCACATGTTATTTCTTTATAAAAAGATTCTATTCAAGTTTAATTTTTCCGTAACAATGTTTTTTTAAAAAAAAACACTACGTAACAATGTTTTTTCTTAAAAATTCACTACATTTTTTTAAATAGCATGTATTTTAGTTAAATATAACATGTGAAATTTAGATTTTACGTGCTATTTTGAAAAATATCACGAAACAATGTCGCCTACTGTAGATCTCAAAACAAACGGAGGATGGTTTTGTTATTTCACCTCTTCAGACAAGGTGGGTCCATGCTGTTTTCCGACAGAATTTTCTCTCTCTGCTAGTTTCCTAATTTATGTGTTTTATTTGGCTATTCACTAATATTACCCAAAAAAAAACCACACCCAATGTGATTTGTCTCCTTTGTTTTTTTTCTTTTTATGTTATCAATTTAAAATAATATATAATGACATAACAAACATATTAAATTAAAATTTGAAGAGAAAAAAAATCATAGCTTAGCTTATAAAAATGGGAAATATTACAAAGTAGCAAAAAAAAACACATGAATTAAGGAAGTAACCATGCGTCAGAAACTTTTGATAACTAACTCTTTTTCTTGTGGGGTAGGGGTAGGATAAATACGAAATTATCCTTGTAAGTTATAGTAATTACAAGAATTTTGTCGCTGGATATAAAAAAATAAGACAGTTTCGTGAAATTTTTGAAAATAGCATGTAACATTTAAATTTCGCATGTTATATTTAACTAAAAGACATGATATTTTATAAAACATAGTGAATTTTTAAGAAAAAACATTGTTACGTAGTGTTATTTTAAGAAAAAACATTGACATGGAAAATTTAATCTGAATAGTAACTTTTTAAAAAGAAATCACATGTAATCTTAAAAAAAATCGTGTATTAGTAAAAACTAATCATCTTTTTAAAAAAGAAATCAGATGTGATCTTAATAAAACACGCGTTTTATTACAAAATAACATGATAAAGACAGATATTCACATGTGATCTTAATAAAACACGTGTATTATTACAAAATAACATGATAAAGACAGATATTACACTGAATATAATGTTTTTTTCGAGAAATACTATGTGTTCTTTATAAATAACATGTAGTACGTGAAAAATACATGATAAAAAGAGATATATTATGCTATCACATGTAATTCGAAAAAAAAACGTGTTACAAAGGACATATACGTAATTACACAGCCATTCCGACATGTTACAGACATGATACTGTAACTCATGGTTAGTTTGTTTTGAATTCAAGGTTAGTTTCTATAAATTCTCTATAAAAATTTCTATTCGTTTTGGGTAACCAACATATTTGTTGCTCATTGTAATTTGTTATTTTTCTTTGAATCGTGTTATCTAGTTATTTAGTGGTTATCCGTCTTTTCATGCGATATGGTTGCCAAGTGAAAACAAGATTGGAAATTCACTGTTAAACTAAAAAAAACAAGATCCGGTGCTCCGATTGTTTTTAATTAACCCGAATTTGTCTTCCCTAAGAATTAATGCATGACCAATCAACAGCAACATAATTGTGAAGTAAGCCATAAGTTGAGTAGACCAAACAAACTAGTTCAACTTTCTAATCGTATTTAATTTATTTTTATTTTCTTGTTGAAGATTTGGGTTTGCTTTTACTTTATACTTTTCATAGGCGAATATTAGTGAAGGTTAGTGTCAGTCTCAGGATCTTTGTACCAACGGCTGGCATCAAATGGCCTCACAAATTTAGACAGAGAAGACGCATTTGAGATTTTTGTTTACGATTTAACTCTCCATTTCTTTTTGTCACTCACTTATTTTTTCATTCCAGCTTCTTACACTTTAATGCCTCCAAAATTTGGAACAAAAATAATTTATCAGATGAAAATGATTTCAAGGAAACTAATCTCACCAAATCCCAAGTAATTAGTCTTACCAAATTAATAGTGTGAGATTAGTCAAGCTTGCAATTACTTGGATACAACCACTCTGAGTCACAATTTGTTGGATTCTATTGGGGCGGTGAAAGTTAGTGGGTTTTGCTTCAAGTCATAAGTAAAGAATAAAGTATACTCGAAGAATATTTCTACATTTGTGGTAGACCAAACGCAAATCTACTTGTGCAGCCAAGTCTTTTATACTATCATTTTAAGTAACTTATAAATATGATGGTTAACATTACAAAATGAACTTAAGACAAGTATCTCACTACGAATTTGTGAACTTAATATATGTTTTGTAGTCAAAATTCTGAATAGCTAGCCTAATGATTAAACACAAGTACATAATTTTGTAAGATTAAGTTGGAAGTTGGAACTAGAAAATTACCAACCGAAACGTCTTATTTACTTCTAGACTAAATATCTTTGGACTTTGAAAACGATTCTCAATTCTTAGAGGCTTGACTAACTCTAATACAAAGAGAAATGAGATAAGTACTCAAGTGGGCACTCTAACTAGTAGTAGCTTTCAATAACAAACAAAGTAGAAGAAGCAAGAAGAGTCAATATTACAACTTAACACAAACATTAAAAGTCTATACTTTATATAATAAAATCAACATTAATAGTCTATAAACTAAGTAGAAGCTTATTTGAATGTTCTTCAATTTATGTGGTTAGGCCAACACGACGTGAGGCCAATACGAAAAAAGAATCGGCGTTAGAACATGTAAAAGTAGCCTCCTTTGCATTTAAAATAAACATTATCTTCTTTTTTTTCTAGCTCGACCCCAAAAATAATAATAGTAAAAAAAAAAAAAAAAGATTCAAACTTTACGAAAATTTGGACGACCCGAATCACGCAAAGTCTGTTACCTTTATTCAGCATTCATTGAAACACCACAGAGACATCGTCTTCTTCGGTTGGTGCAGGAAGATTAAGATCTATCATCCTCTGTTTCACAGACTCGTTTCTTCTATGAACTTGATGATGCTGATTCACAGACAAATTCCCAATCCCGTGAGATCTCTTATGACCTCCAAGTGCTTGTCCCGATGCGAAAACTCTAAGACAAATCGGACATTCATGGATTCTCTTCTCAGCAACAACAACCACATTATCATAATCTGTTTCGCTTCGTTGCTCTGTTTTGTTACTTACTCTGTTCTTCTTATGACTTGCTCTATGCCCACCTAATGCTTGATAAGATTTGAACACTTTCCCACAAGTCTCACACTTGTATCTCCCTTTTATTCGATTAGTCTTGTTGTAACCTTCTGATTCTTCTTCTGTCTCGATCTCTTCTACTACTTCTTTATTACTTTTGTTCTTCTTCCATTTATCTCTCGAGAGCATCATGAGACAAAAGGCGAGATCTTCCTCCGTCGTTGTATCAGAAGCTGAGCTATGAGGAGGCTCATGATCAGACTCAGGCTTGTACCCGAGTTGACTCGTTTTCACCTTCTTGGTTACAAACGAATCGAGTTTCCGAGTTCGTTTAGATCGTTTACGAGTCAGGTTAATAACATTCCTAGAAGACTCGGTCTCGCTTTCACCATCTTCAAGAAGAACAGAGAACTTCGGATCATTCTCTCTCAAACCATTTCTCTTTTCCTCTGAAGAAGACGATGAAACATCCGACTCAGTCTCATCACTGAGTTGACTCGGCCTTTGTTCTACATCTTCATCAACATGAAGACTCGGCATGTGAGATCTCATGTGACCACCTAAAGCTCTTCCATTAACAAAGCTCTTAAAGCAAACCCTGCACTTGTAACTCTCCATCTTCAATAACAAGAACAGAGAAGAAGAAAAAGAGAGAAGAAGAGAAAAAAGTAAAGAGAAGTGGAATCTACAAGCATTCCTCTCCACCAATGAACTTAATATTTGTACTCAAACAAGATTAAAAAAGAAAACAACTTAATTAAATTTTATTATCTCTCTCTTTCTTACTGTTTAACAAAAAAAAACTTAAATTTAATTTTGATCTGGAAAACGGAAAGAAGAAAAAAAAAATCTAATAAAAGCGTATGCATGAAGTTGAAGAAGCGACAATGTAACATGCGAGCCTTGCCCGTTTCTGCAAACTTCTTATTACAAACTCACTTCTCTTTTTTTGAATTTCCCGATTTACCCTTCTATTTAAGTTTTGGTTTTTTAAAAATAGCTATAAAGTTTTCTGTTTTTACACCCGAAATAGCAGATAGGCAACGCAGCTGTATATTTGTCTATTTCTAGGCTGGGTCTTTTAAAGTTCTTAATATTACCCCAAAAAAAAAAACAGTTTTTTAGTGAAAAGGGTATTTTCGGAATTTGAAACTTTGCTGTTGTACGAGAAAGTCTTGAGGAGGAGGTTTGTTTTGTTGTAACGACGAACCAACCAGCTAAACAAAACCGTTGTCCAAAAAATGTTAACATCTCTTTGCTGTGAGTTTACAGTACGTGACAGCCACGTACTAGTCCAATGACGGTTGTTTTTTAAATTACCCTCATCGAGCAGTAACTTTAACAAATTAGTTTATAACAAAATTCCACGATTAAAAAAGTAAACACAAAAATTAAGGTTCAATTCAATGTGATTTGACCATCTTACAAGTATTCGTAACAGATTCAAAGTATTTTTGTATAACAGATTAATTAAGTTTATAACAATAATGTTCTTTCCCTTTTAATCTGGATCTTTCTTAGTTAGATTAATAATGTGAAGAAAATAGCGTTGTCTTAGGAAAAAGAACAAGTCAAGATGCCATAATTATGGCAAACCCATATACTACCAATTTAGAGTTTTGTTTTGTTTTTTTATCTTTTTCTTGTAACGTTCTATATTTTCCGTTCATATTGGTGTGTTTCTAATAAAAACGCGTTTTTTACTTTTAACTTCAACAAATTTACGTAGTTAGGTGGTTTACCACAATTAAGAGACTTTATGAGTGAACTTAAGAAGTCTTTATTTACCAAACTTGTGAAGAACAGTTCATCAATGCTTTGTGCAAGTACTTCTTCATTCACATACAGAAATTAAACGCCTCTCATAAACCGATCTGATCCGGTCTATGACTCTAATACTCCACATTGAAAGGTAAACTTAACCGGGTTCCATTTATAAATCATGGGCCTTTTTAGCCGAGCGACAACAACTCTAGGCCCATATGAATAACATAAGTGGATAAGAAAAAAATTCAAATTAGTTTACTATCCCTTACAAGTTTATATAACCCCTCTTCCTTAGACCATCAGCAGTGGCAAATGTGTTTGTATGGGTGTAAGTATTTTTTTAGTATTATAATTTAAAGCAAAAGAGAAAAGAGAAAGAGAAAGAAAGAGAGAGATAGAGAGAAAAAGTGTTACACCCGAGTGTAAACTTACACCCGGGTGTGAAGAGAGAGACAATTTTTTCATTTTTTTAATACCTACACCCCAAGACTCACACCCACCTGCTTGCCCCACTGCCCATGCTCTTACAAACGTTACAATTCGTTTAGGGGGGAAGAAAAATTAAATCATTTCTGCTTCCTTTGAACGGGGAAGTTAACCTTAGAATGGTAAATAGCACCAGGACTCCACTTTTCCGGGATAACGCCTTTCGCAACGATCTTCTTACCAGACACGGCAGAGGTAAGCCTGATGTTGAACGGACCTTTCAATGGAACACCAGGGCTTAGTCTCCAAACAGCGGATCTCATTTCCTCCATTTTCAAATACTTTCCTCCTGCCGGTTGGACCTCGATGCAGGCGAAGTTCCCATCACCGTTTGCAAACTTAACTGCGAATGACATGTAGTAAGGATTTGCTCCGGAGTCGACATGGATAGCGATCTTAGCCTTCGGGTGTTTGCAACATGCACTGCATATATATATATATGTATGATATTGATTAGAATTAAGTATATATAAATATATTTATAATCCAACATATATATATATTTTTTTTTTCTATCCAAAAACTTGACCAAACCGAACCGAGTCGGTTTTTGACAATACGTACCGTTTGTAACTAACTTTTAGTTCTCCAAGGTTGCGTAGTTGATCGCCCTTGCCTCGTTTGGCCAATGCACCAAAGGCCTTGCCACTAAGATCAAAATGAACAGCCTCCTTCGTACAGCCGGGACACTCATCCGATATCATCACCTTGATCGGCTTTTTCGTGCACAACGGATGATCGCACTTAAGCTATAACATATAAACATGGTTAGTATAGTTCTACATTACAATATCATATTCAATGAATTGAAATTGTTATATATAAATACCCTGTAACATGCCCCACAACCCTTTCCATCTTTGAACAATGAAGGTCCTCCGGCTGAAACCATACATCTGTACGGGTGCTTTGCCACTGCATCACCATATCCACATGCTCCTCCTGTATACATATTTTACGAACCGTAAATATGGAAAAATGTTTTCAAGTTTTATTAGTGTATTGGAACAATTAATGGTTTGATTAATTACCTGTGCTGCCAGGACCTTCGCGGTCGCCATACCAAGTGATGCCGGCGGTGTTCCAGTGGGTTTTATTGTGGCCAGAACATGGCTTCAATGAGATTGCAAAGAAAGTTGTGAGAACAACGATAAAAGAAAAACAGTTGAGAGATGAGGAAGCCATGTTTGATTTAGATCTTGAATGGGTAGAGAATTTTTAGAGTTTATATATATTTTTTAGTTTTTTTTTTTTAGGATTTAAGTTTTTAGTTTCTGGTTGTTAGAGTTAAACAAACATAAATAGCTTTAGGTTTCTACTAAAAAGAGTCATGCTAGATTTGAGGAAAACAAAATCTTTAAAAAGCTTATTGGAATATACGATTGTTTTTTTTTTGTTTTTAGAAACCAAAAACTACAACTAAAACCGTTACCATTCAAACAAAGGTTTATTTTGATTAGTTTCTTATTTTCACTTTCTAAATTCTCTATTACCTATTTTTGGATGATATACGTAAGGTGTTCGTTAGAAATTATAATGGAATTGTCATATTTTCATTGTTTTAATAGTTTCTTATGACATCACGGGCTTGGTTGATGTTTGGCTATAGCCTATATGAACGCTGAATTTGGGAAATTCTTCATACAACATCATAAATATGGGAAACTCATAAAACGTAGTTGATCTAAACGATTCACATAAAACCGATAGTCTAAAAACGTAGTAAAAGGAAAAGAAAGTCTTTTTTCTTAGAAGAAATTAAAAACCCATTCCCAAAATCCTAGGTCAACTGGTCTTAAGTCCTAACTTGATCTGGTTCAACACCTATTATATTTAACCTGATGCGTGTCCAACAATTTAGTGTCGGATCGTACAACATCGTGCTGCAAATGAAGACAAATCCGAATGCTAAAATCAGGACTAAGCCGTAGATGATGTGCTCGCGTTTTGCAGCTTCGATTTGAGCTCCAATCTCATGAAGTACCGTGCAAAGCCTTTTTTCTGTCTTGAGTAGAACACCAGTAAAATGATGCTCCTCATGAGAATTTGTAAGTTCTAATGATTTCTCCATTTACAGCTTTGGGTCTCGAAGAGTTTCCATCTGGTTTGCTCTTGATGCTTTCTATTCTACTTTCTAGGGTTTGATCATACAATTACTTTAATAATTTCCACCAGTTTTATCTCCTTTATCATGATTTTAAAAATAATAATCCGTTTGCGCCGATAATCAAAACCCGTGTCCGTGAAGGTTGAGACAAGGGTTTGTTTGGGTCTCTTTGGCCCAATAATATTTAAGCTCTCCCTTATTCGCTTTAGCTGGGCAAAATGGGCTGTGAACGCTTTTAATTAGGCCAACAATTTATTACTATCCAAGTCATCTGAAAATTCTCTAGATTATTTTAAACCCAGACAAAATTATACAGTTTTCACCAAAATTTTATTAGAACATCAATTATTAGAGCATGAATATCGGTTGAAATGTTGAGTATCTTAGACAAATCTTAGGATTAAAGTTGATTAAAAATAATCAAACCAACATCTTAAAACTAAGATTTGTATCTAAGTTAAGATGTTTTTCTTAACTTAAGATGTTGCAAGGTGTCACATTGTGATTGGTTAAAGTATATAAATTTTATTTTTATATTAATACTCTCTCCGTTTCACAAAGAGTGTCATTTTGACACATTTCACACAAATTAAGAAAACCTTAGATTATACATATATGCCCATATTTAATAAATGATTTAAATTCAATAAAAAGTAGCTTTGGGTTAGGGGTAAATTAGGAAACTTAGTGTAAAAATCACATTGAAAATGTAGAATGACACTCTTTGTGAAACAAAAATAATCCTCTAGAATGACACTCTTTGTGAAACAGAGGGAGTATTTTTTTTTCTAAGAACCACATGTTAAGAACCTACCATTAATCACACAAAAATTTTAATCCAAAAATACTATCTCTTACCTATCACTTTTACAAATATATTACTTAAATATTCCTAAGATTTATTTTTAAGATACTACCAATAATCATGCTCTTACTATCCAACAACTTCAACAAAAATAAAATCATCACCCACTCGTTGGTTTAACTATAGTTGCAGATCCAACCATCAAACGTTCGAAACTTTGAAAAATATTATTAGCATTATTATATAAGTTAAACCAATATAATTAAATATCGAATAAAGACAAAATCAAGGTATATAATAAAAAAGGGTATACAAATTAGTATGTATACCTTTGGTGAGGCAATTATTAGACATCTTATCAACACATCGATCCTAATCTTATTCTTTTTAATATTTGGTACAAAGGATTAAGCCAAATGATTGATCGATGCCTTTGGTTAGGTAAATGCTCGTGAACCACACTACACTGTTCTTTTTATATAGGATTATGAAATAAATATAGAACACATTTTGTATTCTTATTCAAGTGGCATGATTAGGGTTGATTAATTTAAATGTAAAGGTTTTCTACTATTTTCTGGCACAAGAGTGAAAGATACGATGCTAACTTGTGAGTGTCTACAAAAATATGTTGATGATGAATTTCTTTTACCACTTTGAAAGTCGAAGATTATATGGGAAACTAGACACGATCATGGTTTCCTACATCCAAAAAATGAGAAAGATTCAATTACTCTGAAACTATAATTGATATATTTTATAATAAGAAAAGTTGGTGGGCGTCTAATAGACATAGAAAGTATAAGACATCTTTGTTAAAGAATTTAAAAACTATTGATAATAATGCATGCTTGTAAGCCACCGTTTAATCAATTATTAGACACCAAATCAACACAGAAATCCTATCTTTTAGCATTCATATACATACATATAGGCAAAAGACAACTTTATTTAGCAAAAAAAAATATAGGCAAAAGAAAATGTCAATTTAGATATCGTTTAGTTTTATATTGGCAATTTTCTTTTTCTTTTTAATCAAGAAGTTATGTTTTCTACATTTGGATATGACAATACATCGGCCAAATTTATCGCCTTTGGATACCTGAAATTAGTATGTTAATTCGATATAAAAGCAAGGACATAGATTTGAACCATGTTACAAAAATTCAATTGACATTGAATCTCATACTTTACATCACCGTTCACCTCTACGCATCTATATCTACATTTACAACCTACCAAATAAAAATAAAAACAAAAGAAACTCTAACCAACAAGTTTGCCAGAAAGTCAAGACCACAAGGCACAAACGACAAAAGAAAAAACTAAGTCTAAAAAAAAAAGAAAAACAGAGTTTGTTTTCTCTACAACAAGATTCGAGCAAACTGATGATGGTGATGTTTAGGATCTTGAACGATCATTTGTTTGGATTTGATTTCCTCAGCGCAACGCAATGCCTTTTCGATTTGATAACCTCCTCCAATGCTAACCTCTCTTTCAAGATGACAACAATAACTCTCGAACACACTCACATTCACATGTAGCTTGAATCCCATCAAGAACAGAAACTCTAACTCTAATTTATTCAAATCCTCTGTCTCTAATCCACCTACTTTCGCAAAATATGAATTCCTGTAATTCCTGATAAACAAAGAGAGAAACCAATTCAGAAAAAAAACAAAAATAAATAATCTTTTTTTTTTTTTTTTTTTTTTTTTTTTTGTCAAAGAATAAATAATCTAATTAAACATAAATCAAGTTTTCCTTTGTGTTATTAATGAATGAAGCATTATTCTTCTAAAATTTCAAAATATATATATATATTTTTTTCAGAAAATATTTTTATTAGATACTTACAAATCTTCGACGTATTTAGAAGCGATCATGATAGTGGTGATGAGGAGACGATGTACATTGGTGAGACTGATTCTAAAACCGGGATTGGTTTGACAAAACCGGTCAATGTAGACATAAGCCACCACGTAAACCGAAGGACCGGCTTTAGTGTACCGGAAAATCCTCTCTAGGTACGATTGGATGGTCATATCAGGGATTTCACGGCAATCGAAGATCTGAGTTTTGCCACCGGCGCCGGAGGAAGGCAAAGCTCTCCGGCTAATCCTCTCGTTTCGTGTCAGAGTTCGATCGATCAGTGACGATAAAACAGAGATAACCAGAGGTGTCTCGGAATTGTTTTGGTATGAGTATGAGTAGAGATCAGACCGGAGTTTCCTCGGAGAGATAGTTAAAGAATTCGAAACCGCCATTGATGTTTTTCTTATTGTTTCGTCGGAAAATTAACAAAGTTTGATCAACGAGAGGATTTGAAGTGATGAAGTGAAAGGGAGAGGTTTTGTTGAGGTTTTATATATAAGCCATGTAATGTAACGGTTAGGTACCTTCCTCTTCGTTTCTTTTAGTTATTACTTTATTTAAATGTATATTAATTTTACTAACCTTCGTGTGTATTATATATCGTATAATAATAGTTCTGTATCATGTAGTAACAATTTAAATACAGTTTCATTTGTACGGTAGGTCAATGTTTTGATTATTAGGTATCAATATTTCAGATTCGGATCTCAGTAATCCATGTTGAACAAGATTACAAGTGTATGAGGAAAGAAACGATGTTTTAAGATTTGGAAATAATTATTGCATATAAATCATATTATTTCAGTTTAATTATATAAAAACTAAATGATTTTTTTTGGTGTGCTATAAAAACTAAATGATTGTATTGATTCGAAAAATCCCGGTTTCAAAGCATATTAGCCATATACAATCATAAAAGGTTATATGCCTCTTTTTGTATCTTTAATTTTTATCAATCATATTGCTTATTTAGAAAATTATTCATCGCTTTAAGTAGGTGTACATGCATTTAGGAGATCAAATATTTATAGTGATGAATTGAATTGTACAGTTTTTACATTGTCCGAAATAGTTGCGATATCACAAAATACACAAACAAACAAGTACAAATCTCTGCATCACGGAAATAAATTAGACTCAACAAATATTTAATATATACCTATAGTTTTATAGATATACAACTGGAAGAATTTTCAAATGGAATTTTGTGGAAAAAGAGAAACGACATCGAGTTTTGGAGTCATATGGAAGGTGGAAAGAAGCTACTAAAACAAGCAATTCTTTTATTTTTTATAAAAAGCTAGTAAGAAAAAATAATAATTCAAAAGATTTGTGTGTCTCCTTTTTGTAAGCCAACGTACAGATATAACAGCTAATTTTTCCTTCATATTGTAATTTAAATATGTTCAATATATAACCAAATCCAAAGTACTTCAAATAAACAAATCCCAAACTAAGAATCGCCGCCGACAGTTTGGTGAAGGTGAAGAGAAGAAGTCAGCGACTCAGCGTAGTGGAAAGTCTCTGTGACAATCAGAAGCTTAGCTTCGGGAACCACCTGATGACACGTATACTGTCATTCACACGTGTGAGTCTCGTCAACTCCTAGTTGTAAAGTTCGAAATACCAGAAGGCGACCCACACGTGCGGTTGCTCTCCATCATATGAAAACTTCTTTTTTCATGGTCACATACAGGATCAACATAAAATTACTCCAATTATAATCTTCATCTTTTTTTCTCTTGCTAATTGGTATTGGAATGGTATATATAGTTATGAGAAATATAGATTTTATTAAAACAACAAAGGTACAAGTCAACATCGGTCGCAGAAGAGAGTGGTCTATAAAATCCCACCGTCTAAATAGGTATATATACATGTTACTATCAAGAATACATTGCATGTGCAATGCATATATTGCCTTGAGACAAATCAACTTATCAAGTTCTGTCGTCTTTATGGAAATACCTAGTTTATGTAGTGATGTAGAAACTATATACGTCATTCTTTTATTCTTTTGTGGATAACTGAAATCCGTATGGGTAATAATAGTCCACTTGTAATATGGACGCAATAAAACCAGAAGTTATAAATGGTCTAAAAATCGAAAAAATAAAAAAGCTATACCAATCTACCACTACCGTACGAATGAATTGCTGAATGCAAACAAACAAATTAAATTGTAAGGAAAGTAGAATCTACAATAAGATTTATTGAAAAAAATATCAATGGCACCATCAATTCAGATTCCAAAACAAAAAAAATGAACCACATATCATCTCTGGATCAAACTATATATAACTACTTGTACGTAGTCATTGTCTACTAGTATGTATCCCTACACTATATTTATTAGAATGACAAGAAGTTATGTTCTTTCTACTTTTCAACAAACTATAGACACTGAGTTCGTTGGAGTGTATTGTTTTAAATGCGACGCATACATATATATATGCTTCTATATATTAAACTAAAATTGTCTTCATTGATTTCTCATTTTTAGTTGGATTCTACCTTTGTCGTTGGACTCTAGTGTTCATAATACTGTGTCACTACTACAGTGAAATATACAAAGATAGGTTTCAACTGAAAACACTAGCTAGGAAATAATTTAATCATGTAACAAAAAATGTAAAATGAAATAAGGAACATGAAATGATATGTTGAAAATATTTAACCGGAAGAAAAAAAACATGAAATGATAAAATATTTAACCGGAAAATGGAGAATCATAAATTGTTGAAGTTGAAAATATATTTTTTGTTTAATATTAATAAATATTACAAATATGTAGACTTACACAGAGATGGAAAGTAAACCAAGACTTTTGGCCTACAATCGCTGAATTGAAGGATAATGGGTTTAAGATGATGGTCGCTACTCTCCATAATGCTGATGAAATTCGCCGATGTCACTTGGATTTGGGAAGACATGAAAACTGGAAAAGGTCCTTGTCATTCTACCAAACCGAGCACCTAAGCGAGACCAATTAATGAACAGTTTATTGCTTCGAGCTGTAAAAAGTGAATGTAGGATAACCTTCTTTTTTTTTTAGTTTCTATATTTATGAATGTAACATATTATGTAAATAAATTCTTTACTAGAAAAACATTTGACAACATGTTAATATCATTCACCACGAACATACGTTATGCAACATTAGTACAGTTCTAAGATATAGATTGCATAAAACTAAATGAATGTGAGGATTAAAGAAAATAATACAAAGCAATACAATCATATACTTTTTAGTAAAGTTGTAATTTGGTAACTGATTAATGTTTTCGTGTGTCAAAACTCCAAAGTCAAAACGAAAATGATTGTGGTACCCCTACTTTACCATTAGGTATTTCATACTATAATGCAATTTTCTGATTTGGTTTTAGCCAAGAGATCAGCTAGCCTGAGATTTTTCGGCCCAATAAATATAAGAGTCTTTACTCTTTAGGGTTAAAACTTTTTTTGGGTCTTTTACTATTGGATTATTCATATTAGTTTTTTTTGGGCCTTATTGTTTTTTTTAAATAAATATTAGGCTTTTTTATATAAGAAAAAACTTTAAAAGGGGAAATGAGCCTTAGGCATTTGCACCCTTGCCCTACCCACTTGACCCTGACTGAGAATAACAGGCCCAGCCCAATAAATGGAAAAAGAGAAAATGGAGTTGGGCTTAAGCTTAAAGGTTTTTATTTATACAAGTTGTCTCTAATCTCAATTAGTTTTGAAGGGATTTTTAGGAACGAATTCAAGAACCAAAGGCAAAGACGTGCACTATAAAGGTGTGCAGATACGGATTGTCGTCCACGTGTCAATACTAAATTGGATGTCTTTACATTTCAAGAATGACGTGGCGTTATATAATTGGTCGTCACGCTAACGAATTGCGTGGCCTCAGAACAGACAAAAACTCAATTCATAAAAAGAAATGGTCGACGAGTCTGCAATTTACGGACATTGACGAATTCTCCTTAATCACAGAAATTGAGCCGAATCAGGTGAATTCTTTACTCGAATCTCGTTTATGTGAATCTAAAAGACAGCTATGATTCATTTGATCTCGCAATGTTTTGATTGTTTGCGATCGAAGATTCTATAGATCTAAAATATCAGATGCATAGATAGGGTTTGTAACATGATCGCATATATTTGTCTGATCTAGATGCTGATTTCGATTGCGTAACTGTTGGAATTGTCCGATTATGACACGCTTTATTGATTTTGCATGCCCAATGTTTTTTTTTGGGTTGTGATGATGAATCTTGATTTTTGGATCATGGATCAGATTATCAAGAATGATTAAACTGTTGGTAATCTGAATCTGTTTATTTGACATTGCTCTTAGATTTAACAATTGGGTTAAATTAGATGTATATATTTATCATAATTCATAGCTCTAGAAGATGTTTATAATAAACATTTGACATTGCTTTTAGATTTCATCTTTGATCTCTCTATGGTTTTTACAAACATTTGCTGCGGAGATTTCTACTTCATTCTTTCTAATTTTGTTTTTTTGTTGACTTTAGTTGAAAAACAAGAAGTGAAGCAAAAATGGTTGGAGGTGGAGCTCCACAGAGAGGAAGTGCAGCTGCAACTGCAAGTATGAGGAGGAGGAAGCCTGCTGGTGGCAGTAGCAGCGCCGGTGGTGGAGCAGCTGGAACAATGCTTCAGTTCTACACAGACGACGCTCCTGGTCTCAAGATTTCTCCAAATGTTGTTCTTATCATGAGCATTGGTTTCATTGCTTTTGTTGCTGTTCTTCATGTCATGGGTAAGCTCTATTTTGTCAAGAGCAAATGAAGAGGATACAAACAAAGCAATGTCATCATACCTTTTTCACTGTTTAGAATTTTGTCAGTATAGTCGTTTCATTCATGTTTTCAGTTTTTGTTGTTTTTCTTGACTAGTCTCAATCGATCTCAATTTTGCAGTTTCTTGATATTTCAAGTTTTGTCTTTCTTTATACAAACTTTTAATCCTCTTGTTTCTTGGTTTGGTATTGAAACCAGAAATACCAAACTAATCTAATTTCTTTATACAAACTAAGCGGAAAATTAACCTAATTAGATTAGTTTGGTATTTCTGGTTTCGATATTTTCATTTGAAGAACTTGCTTTGGTTACGATTCGGTTTCGGGGTTCTGGATTTGAATAAACAGTGACATTATACACCACATTATGGTTCATTTTTCAGATCATTTGTTTGTTCTGTTTCGGTGTTTCCGCCTTATCAGTTTAGTTTATTTAGAAGAGGTTTAAGCATTTGTAAAAGAGTATTGGTAATTTCTGTTTCAGATGAAATAAACCAAACTGAAGTACAATAGATGGGAGAATTGGGGTTGGTACGACTTTGGTTACTATCTTTAAGAAAGTGGTAAACTTCATGAAATGTCAAAAATTCAAATTCTTAAGCATGTATATACATGATGTATGTGTATGTGTGAAGATTAACCAGCAGGTCATGTATGATATAACAATCTTAAGTCACAAAAAGCAGAGTTCATGGTGGTTGAGAGGCTTTTATATCTGAAAAGGAGAAAATTAAATGCCGCCAATAAAATCATTTAATGATACAACTTTAAGGAGAGCCGTGAAACCAAAAAAACAAAAGAAAAAAAAACAAAATAAAATGAAATTACCAATAAATTAATGACGTGATTAGCAGAGTTCTGATTTTAAACTAATACTGATAATTAAGTCCTTAACCCCTCCCGTCGGTCACGTGATCATCACCGTTAAGATTACGACACGTCACCAAATCACAAAAACCCTTGAAAAGAAAACCCCCAAATTTACTGCGGCTGAAACGGCGGAATTCGAACGCAAGATTCTTGTTGTTCCTTCTGTCGCCGGAGCTCCATAACTTTCCGGTGAGAGTTCGAATGCTGAGTCAACACAAACGTCGGACTCGAAGCCGGTCTGTATTCCGGTACAAGCCTCCCTGATTTGTAACGAACTCCACAAGCGTTACAAAGCGTTTTAGGTCCAAGCGGTCCCGTTCTCCACTGTGGCGTTTTATCCGAGGCGCAATGCGTGCACCGCCTCGCTCCTCCTCCTACATCCGCCGTAACTGATTCGGCGTTGTATACTTTCTTCGGTTTAGGTTTTGCAACAGAGTGACAAAGCTCGGATTCAGGCATCGGAGCCCAAGTTCCAGCTACGGAAGGTGCTGGTGCTCTTGATCGGCGACTTCTGGGTTTTCCGGTGAATGAAATCTCAGGTCTAACGGTCATGGTTAAAGGATTCGCTGGGAAATCGGAGAATGAATCGTCAACGAATCGTGATAACCATTCGAGATGTGCTGCGTCGTCACTCTGCAAAAATCAAAATCAGAACTCAGAAATTCAAAATCAAAATCAAAATTAGGGGAAATTGAAATTGAAACGTACGGGAACGCAGAGATCGTGAGTGAAATCGGTGAGGAGAGGAGGAGAAGTGTAGGCGGACGAAGGGAAGTTGAAAGGGTTTTCAGATGGGAAAGAGGAAGATCCGGCGGAGGAAGCGGCGGATGAAGTGACGGTGGAGGAAGTGGAAGAAGAGAAGATTTCGTCGTTGGAGAAATCGAGAAGGTCGTCGATACGAAGCAAGTCCGGTGACGACATGCCGTAGACGTCCATTGTTAACTCGGACTTTGACTCGGACTCGCTCACTGAGTATGTGGTCACTGGTTCAGAGGTTTAATATAGAGAGAGAGAGTTAGTGTAAGTGAGGAAAGAGACGAAGATGAGAGAACGTGCATAGAGTTAACATGCACCGAGACTGACCTGACCACTCCCTTTTTTCTATTTATTTATCGACTTTAATTTATTTGTCTACATTTTTCTTTCAACATGCATGAGCTATTTAATTTACTTAACAGGATTAATTAATCATGAATTACATGTCTGTCATGGTACATATACAATAGACTAGAGTATGATAATATTGATTAAACAAGTAATGAAGCGGAAATTAGATACATGCAAGGTTACTAAAACTCTTCACTCTTCAGTTTGTTAAATGAATTCTTCTGTCTCTGAAAAAGATTTGCTGCTTTTTTTTTCCTTCACATCGTTTAAATTGTAAATCGGACTATTTCATATGTTGAGCTCTTGATGTTTTTTGTAAAAAAAAGTTTCTCATGAATGTGTAATCAATCATATGGGTCAGTTTTGATTAATCGGTAGGTTGACAAATAAACCCAAAAATGTCGTTAAATTTCAACAAGGCAACCAAAATAATAAGGAAATACAAATTGATGCGAATGTATGACTATTTTGTTTCTTGTGTTTACAGAATTATTTCGCATTTTGCAATCAAGCTTACAAAAAGAAAGAGAGACGGAAGTGGGACTTTCGATCTTTGTCGAATAGAGTATACATAAGTTGTTAACCAAAAAAAAAAAAAAGAGTATACATAAGTTTAGAAATATCATTCTTCGGTACCTAGCATGTCTTTCACAGGTTTGCTTAAGAAATAATGTGATAATGTTTAGAAATGTCCTGATGAAGTAACAAAAAATTAGTTTTGAAGTATAAGTTCTGTTATCGGCATTTTACAATATATTTTTTTTTCTTTTGACATTATTTTAAAAATTGAAGAGATAACTATAAAAATGTAGTGGGGAATGGGTAAATGGATGGAGACAATCAAGGAGATGAGTCGACCGACGATCCGAAGTGCATTGCACTTTGGTTCTATAAATTCCTATGGCCCTCTTTTTAGGTTTATATACATATTTTTTTCCCTATCATTTATCTTCTTATGTCTCTTTCATGCATTGCTCCTTCATAAATTTATTCAGTTTTTCAACTATACACAACTACTCATATATGTACAAACACGCACGACACATGCATATGAATATATGATATAAAGAACGGGGAACCAATTGTTGTGAACATTGTTATCTTATTCGGCTAGAAATAAACATTCATGCATCATTATCTTGTGTTCAATTTTTATGTAGCACCGCCAATCATCATATGGCTTCGGGCAGATGTATCTGATTTCTTAATTGAATTAGAACTTAGGATATACATTGCGTGTATATGCAGTAAAAACATATTCCAATGTACTTTGGATTGGATGCATCAGTTTTAAAGAGGTAACACATATATGTTTTCCAAGGCTTTGAAGTTAGAACAGTGACTCCTTTTTCTTTTCTCTTTTACAACTGCAATACATGGTTTTGTCAAAATTTCATACAAAATAATACATTAAGGCACATATATCTTTCTTGTTCATAAAAGAAAAAAATTTGCATATAAAACTGACTGAACTTTCGCAGAATAGCGTGGCGCAACGTGTTGAAGTGTTTGGTCTGTTCCACAAACGTTTTTTCTACACACTAGTAGAGTTTTGTTTTTTTTTTTTTTTGTCAATCACTAGTAGAGTTTTGTTTGGCAGAGAAATTAGTGATTTATGATACGAAGCCGACAATTTTAATTATTGGCCTATCCATATAAGTTCTGAAGCTAAAAAGTATTTTATTATTTACACGAAAGTATTACAAGAGAAAAATAAGTAAATCCACGTGGCTGCATGTGGGGACCGTACTCATCTTCACGTGCCTCGAAGATAAAGAAGATTTTTTTCTAGTTAAAGTACAAGATAAAAGAAGACGAAGCCATGAAGAAGGTAAGAGAAAGAAAAAAAAAATAGAGAAATGTGGCTTTGAAATATTTAAACTTTTACAGTATTAAGTTTAAAATCATTACTCGACTATGAAGTCAACTTCAGTTATACAAACAAATGTAATAGTAATTTTGTTGTGCTTTATATTAGGTTTTTTTAGATTACGTGATATATTTTCTCACTCGTTTACTATAAGACTCATACTTAAAGAGTCCGACTCCACTGGACATTAACTTCTAAACTAAGATGGCACGAAACTAGAGGAAAAGCTACGGAGATAAATTATTTTTATTCAATTTAATTTTTAGTTTACTACCGACACCAGTTTTTCCAGCTGGCAACTTATGTCTCATTCAGAAGGTTCACTTTCGTAGACCCCTATATAATTAGTATTTTTTTGTTGTAAAACTTTTTTTCCTCTTGTGTCGTTCGTCTGCAAAACTTTTAAAAGTGATAAATCGCAAGTAGGAAAAAGTTACATAGTGAAATTTGTATAGTATTTGATGTCATTTCTGTCCGAGCTTATCCGATAACTTAGTTATAATACTTATTCTGTTGCCATGAATTGAAGTTTGAATTATGGGTGTCTCAAAATTGCATACACACTTAACCAATAACCACTATGCAACTATATTATATCGTATTAATTTTATTCAAACGTCTCCAAAAGAACCAGGAGGCAATTATGTAAGAATCCAGCCAATAAGTTGACCAAACAGAATTAGGAACTTGCTGACCACAAAAAAAAACATAATTAGAAAGAAATTCATCACAAACAAAATAATAATTTAGTTTATTTTTTTAATTAAAGAGATAAGATTTATTTAAAATGAAATTCAAGCTTAATGCAATTTTTGTTTTAAATGATGTGAAAAATTATAAAACAAGAAAGGCGAGCGAGAAAAACGAGTGTAGAGAGAATGTGACGGTGCTTAGTGGACCCAGCCTGTCATGGTTCAGTCTCTTCTTGGAGACAACTACATACATACAGAGTAAGTACATGTACGTACGGTGCGATTATCTTCTCCCAGGCGTCTTTCTTTTCTGATTAGAGGCTTTCGTAGTGGTGGTAGTGGTTTCATACTTTCATTTGCTTTTATTCGTCCTCTGAGATTAGAAGAATCTCTGATTATTCATTCATTTTGATGATACATACGAATATTATCATCGTGCTTCACTTCAACAAATTCCTAGTTCCGGCTTTCTTGAATCACGTGACGGCGGTGATCCCAAAGCAAACACGTGCGACCTCATGTGCCCATAATGACAAATTACTCTTTTTATAATTTGTTTGTTAACTCACTAGCTAGAGTATGTACTTTATTCACAACTTAATCACCTCTTAATTAAGTATAATCTAATCGAGATAATGTTACCCTTCTGACGAATAACATGCAAAAATGATGACCTTATGCTCATCCTCTGTCCTTCTTGTCTCCCCCTTATTTAATAATACGAATTATAAACTGTTGAGTTGTGTATTGACTATAGAGATTTTCATGTTTTGTGTTTTTTTTTTTCTTTGGACAAATTTCATGTTTTGTGGTTAAATTTCGTTTTCATGCCATTTTATGCGCAGAAATTTAAACGATGACAGTATATATAGTTATATACCTAGTGGTTTTAGACCAAACGAAAAAAGCATTAGCTAGTGATATGAGCCGAATCCGAGCAATATGAACTAATCAATAATGCAAAAGTTAAACAATTATAACAACAGTGCTTATTAAAACATATGTTGCATGACAGTTAAGTTGTGATATTTTGATGGGTTAAATGGATCAGTCCGTGGTAATTGTTATAGATTTGAATCATGTCAGTATTCTACTTTGTTCCGGTCCTAACATAATTGGCTACATATAATCCTTCTGAATTCATCGGAGTTAAGAAAAATCTGATAGAACAGAGTGACGGGTCCATTAGAGTTATTTTATACTAAACACAAAATAAAAGATTGATTCCAAGTGAACCATTGCAGTCGACACTAGACTGATTTTGAAGCATATTATTTAGTAGTAGTAACAAACTGGTTAATCCAATTAGAACGAAAGTATTGCATTGAATTCGTGGAATCTGCAGCCGAAGACTTGCCCCAGTGAAGTACTAAAGTACTCGTCAATGATTTTTTTCACAACAGTTTTGAAGACAAGATAGCGAGAAGGTGATGTGGAATGGGCTTCTGTTTGTGATTGTGAATATAATTATGGGCCGTGGGGCCCAACCTCCATAGAATGCGACAACGACCACTTGGGGGACATTGTTAAGCACAGAACATGTGTCGGAACATAAGACATTAAGACGTATAGAAAACACAAACGGCGTCGTATGCTCTAGTAGCCTTCTTCAGGAATGTTGAGGTGCGTTGGAAAGATTCTAAAATTTTGGGCCTTGATATGTAAATGTAAAACCCATTTATAAAAGTTCTATTTGGATGTAGCAGATGACGACGCAGTGTATTCGATTGTAGCAATGTGTGCTTTTATTTTGATATTTTCTCTGAATTTTAATTTTATAAAATGAAATGTAATGAATTCGTTCATCAAATAAAGTAACTTTCCACTTTCATAATGCATACATTGATAATATATTGAATATATCCATCATTTACGAAAATATTTTTGAACTGAAAAAAGAGTAATGTTTTTTTTTTTTTGCTTTGAAAGCAACTTTTTGCTGAATCAACTTTATTACGTCGTGCAAAGCCACTAATATTCTGATGTTCTGCAGGTTGATTATATGGTGGGTTAATTAATCGAATCATTTTTGTATAGGTTAAGGTTAATCAAATCAAATCTAGATTTTTTCTGATATTTTTTCTGGAATATCTAAGACAGAATTGATGGTGTCAATTGCTTACGGACAAGTGGATGTGAGTCCCACAAAGAATCGGGTGAACGGTCGCTACTATATGGCCGGACCCATTCATCGGCGATTCGAGCCCCGGAGAAAGTGGGGCACACGCGCTATGACTTCTAGTGAACTTGCCGTTAACACAACGCTAAAGCTGAGATATTTCGATTCAGACACGTGTAAGGTGTAGATAAATGGACAAAAAGGTGTTCAGAGAAATGGTCCCCTTAAAGGTAATAAGAGGAACGCATGGAAGATATTACGATGCATGGAACAGAGTCTTCCTGTGTCCATTATCTAAATTATCCATATGGCCTCTCACATTCACATACATGGCCTCTCAAGAAGGTTTATGAATATTCCCTACTTTTCTCTTTATTATTCAATGTATATCTATCTCCATCTGTATCTACAATACTACGATACATGTGTTGTGTACAATATACAATTTACAATTCAAATATTCACCAAAATTACTGTTGTAGGATAATTGAACAGTTGAAAGTGACTCTTTTCATTGGCTCTATTAAATAAAGATAGTATAGGGTTTGGGTCGTGTATATTTTAAAAATTGTCATGAAATGTATAAAAGGAAAAAAAATGGAAGAACGTAGATGATGGTTATGACAATATAATTGAGAGTTATTATTTTAACTATGCAATCATAATTTTTTAATGATGGTTACAGCTAGTTAAGATCTTGTTAGTAAGTTTACATTTAATATCTACGTCTGGATAAACCAAAGAAAAAAATCTACGTCTGAAAGGTTTATGATATTTTCTTCTTGTACAAACACGTTAGATGTGTTCTTGTTTTGTCGCGTGAATTGGCAAACATATTGGGAAGAAATGTTGTCAGAGTTGACTGGCATTATTATAGCATGAGTCTCGAATTGGCTATTCTTTTCTATAAATATGTGTTACCATAAAATTTACATTTTTTCCAAATGTAAATAAATATACACCCAAGAAAAAATAAAAATAATGGGCTCCACTTTGTCGATTTACACTAAACCATCGTGTGTATATGTCAGTGTGATTAATCTGATATAGTTCTCCAAAAACTCAGAAGCAATCACATTTATAACCGCCTAAATAAGTTTGTTTTCATGCAATATATAATTCATGGCACACGGTTTTAGTGGTACAATAATTTTATCACATATATAAACTACAGATTTTATTTAATAATTAGAGTGTTCTGGAAATGGTGTGATGCAACTCGTACACGATTAGTTTTATTTGGTCATGGACGACAAAAATGATATTGGTCATGTGAACATATTAATTTCCATGCTATATTTGCAAAGAAGTTTCATCAGTCACATTTATTTTCTAGACCTATAGGCCATGATATAAAAAGTATACGAACGAACGAACGAACTAAAGACTTAGGATTCGATAAAAGTCTATTTAAGAAATTAATGTAGCGCACGAGAAGTTGAATGACTTGACTAGTCTCACTTTAAATTCATTATCGTGTAAGCGCATAGGTGTAGATTAGATATGGATGGATTCATAAAAGTGCATCTCTTTATAAACATGAAATTAAAACTTTTTGAAACTTTTTTTTGATAGTGGATAAACAGAATTTTCGGGATGTAAAAGTAAATATATAAACAGAATTTATTGTCAAGAATATCGTGTAAATAAACAGTGATCATAATAACTTCTTAATCTAGAGGACTGAGACAATTTGTTTTTCATCAGAAGAAAGTCTGAAACCATTAGATTTCTGTATGCTCCTGTTTTTAGGTTTTAACTATACAATTATTTTTGTTTTAACCACAATTATTAAATTCATTTTAAGCAGTTTATTTTCACGATGAGATCAGATTTTCTTTCACCAACTACAACAATTCTTTTTATTAGAAATTATATAATTAGTTAGAAAAAAATGCTATTTGTAGATTTGTGAGCCTTCTAACCAAACGGGAGTGTCTATCACGCTCTCTCTCCGGAGATAAAGTCAAAGATATGACATCCCACAAGTTTCCCTCTTTACGAAATTCCCAGAAAGGACAGAAAAAGGCTCTGAGAATTAACATCTCGAATCAAAAGTACAAGGGCAAAACCGTCATTTAAAAATAGTCGATTTTTATAATTTAAGGTTCTTTGTTTCTCCACCTCCCAAGCTCCCTCCAACTGAAAACGACTGCAAAGCAACCTGCGGTCTCTACCTGCCTTATTACGCTATTCTATATTTTATCAAATATATATTTCTTGGTTTTATACAAAATTAAATTATTATTACTCATGGACCGACTTGCGAATATAATAAGTATTTAATAACCATTTATATATCTTTTTTTCCTCCTTCCTTATAGAATCAATTCTTCCCTTTTCTTGTTTCTCTCTCTCTCTCTCATTCTCTTCCATCTCTTCCTCTCCTTCATATTCTCCGTCTTCTGCTAATTTAAGGAAACAAAAATGGTGGATCTTGAAAGAAGAGTGTGTTGCATGTGTGGTGATGTGGGTTTCTTCGACAAGCTCTTTCATTGCAGCAAGTGCCTTAATCGCTTTCAACACTCGTATGTTCTTACATATTTATCTATACCATATGTACTTATGTGTGTAATTTACTCATCATCATGCATATTAACTACATAGACTATAGATTTAGATCGAAGTGGACGGTGAGATCGCGTGCCACGTGCTCTATATCTATGTAGCTGATGATGATCATTATACATCAAATCATCAAAAGTATGCATATATCATATACATATATATATGTGTGTATATATAGTTAAACCAAACAAGAAATGTCTCAACAACTACCATATACATACATGATACATATACATGGATTATCATCATCAATTCATGATCATGATCATAATCTTGATACAGGTACTGTAGTAGCTATTACAAAGAGCAAGCTGATCCAATCAAGATCTGCGATTGGTGTCAGTGTGAAGCAAAGAGTCGAACCGGAGCAAAACACGGTGCTAATGGTGGATCGTCTAAGAGATCGTACCGGTCGGAATATTCTTCAGCTCATCACCAAATCAAACAGCAAGAGATTCACCAAACCACTAGTAGTAGTATTCCTCCAGCAGCCGACAAGGGTAAATCCGGCGTGCCTTCTCCTAGACCGGCCACTCGCAGGTACAAGCTTCTCAAGGATGTTATGTGTTAGTAATGTTTTCGAAATAACCAAAAGTTAAGAGAGACATAGCGAGTTTATTAGGATCTGGGATGATAATAAGACACATGTATGTAAGATATATATAACTAGCTAGGGCTATGGTAGATGTTGTTATGGTTCGAGAAGCAATGTAATTTACCGGCGGAGTTATTTCATGGATATGCTGTTAGTGATCTTTTTTTTGTAGTGCTAGTGTTTGAAATAAATTAAGTATATTTATAACAAATGAAATCTCTTTTTTTTTATTGGTTGAATATATTGGTTTTACTAGATTAGCGGTGAATTTTGTGTGTGTGAGTTTTGTTGTTGCTATCCCTCATGATCAGCATATGATGACACTATTCTCTTGCTATTCAAAAGCCACATATATAGTTAACAATCATTTAAACACTATTTTTTCTTTCTTTCTTATATATATATTGATAATGGTTTGTTAGTTTTTTTTTAAGGTTAATCAGTGGAGCCACTATTATTAGATTGAGTTTTTAACATGGTAAACATATGTTCCGAAGCTTGATAATTTGTGTTATTGTAAAACAAAACAATCTTAACTCAAAAGTTTTATATTATAAAAAAAAAAAAAACTCAAAGGTTTTCCTCAAATATCTAGAGTCCAAATCCATCAATTAAGTCATTCCTAGTTTTAAGATGTGTGTTAATTAGATTAAGTTCGTGGAAAGACATGTAAGATGTGTGTCATGACTCATACATTAGTAGATGATTTGAATGCTTTAGATATTCCATGTGGCTCTAGTAAATAAGGTTTTTGTTAGCTGCAAACGTTACTAGCTAAAATTTGTTTCAAATCATCAAATCATCAAAGCATGTTCGTCATCATAGTCACACAAGTATTGAGATAGTTACAAAAATAGTTGTTGTATACGATTAGTCGAGAGTAGTCATCAATAGTTTTGTTGAAAAAGACTTCACCACTAAAAGGCGTACACATAAACTGTAAAACTTCGGTGTGATATATAGTGTAGTAGATCAAAATATATACATAAAATTTTACTGAATAGCAGCTATGAAATTCGCATGGCGGTTGCTTTATATAAACCTCGACTCAGATCCAAAAAATTCTAAGCACCCTCATCCATATTAATATCGTTTCATGGTCTCACCGTGTGCACTGTTCAGTCCAAATATGAAATCACAAATTATATGAATTGAGTCACAGGCAAAGCAGTGTCACGAACATCGATCCACATATATTGCTGAGATTCTTCAGGAGAAATTAATGCATTTTTAGCCCTTTGTCTTGTTTCCTCTTTTGGACCAAAATAAAATAAAAGAAAAACTAAAAGCTGCCACCTTCTTTCTCTGCCACTCAAATTCGTTCGACGTCCTTTCTCTTTTTAATTTCCTTTTGGCACTAAACTATTTTCGCTTAAACAAAGTGATAAAACATGTGACCAAACCGCATCATTTCTAATCTTTTTTTTTAAATAATGCATACATCACCATAAAATCACATGAAAACATTTGGTTTTATTGCTAAAAGAGGTCGCCCTTGCTTTACCAAAAAAAGAAGATTTCGTCACTACGGTCACCACGCTAAAACGACGACGTCGTTATGTTCAATGTGAAATATCAAAATTAGGGTTTTATTGGAAGAGGAAACAAGTAACAACCAAAAAAGTAAGGGTATTATGGTAAATACGATATAAGTAAGACGACATGTTAATATAGGAAGCCCAGTGAACTAAATTTAGGTTCGGGATCGGCCCATTATCCTCAAAAAGAGGGACACGTCATCAGAGTGAGAGACGAGTCAGATACTTCTGTCTGGTCTAGAGGTTCTTCCGTGGAATCGGAGCCGATAAACTCGCCACGACACGAAAGTACGATCCGCCATTTTTGATTTTGCCAAATAAGAGTAGAGTTCTCTAGTTTTGAACGAAGAAGAAGAAGACGAACGACGAAGAAGAATGCATAACGTGAAGGGATTGTTGGGACGAATCGTTCGAGATAAGCTATGGAGGTTTGGTTATCGGAGGAGCTTTTGCTCGCTTAAGGTCACTCCCGAGGATCTTGATTACCAGGTTCGGAGGTGTATCGTCATCACTCTCACTCTCTGTTTCAATTTTCTGGAATTTTGAATGTATCGTTAGCTCAATTTTGGATTAGGTACTCGTTGAAGGAAGTGGTTGTTCCCGTACTGCGATTCTCAATAGACCACCTGTTCTCAATGCGCTCACCACTCACATGGTACTCTCTAATGTTCTCTGATTTCGTGGCCTGAGTAATTGTGTGACATTGATTTGTGTGTTTTGTGAATAGGGATATAGGTTGCAGAAGCTTTATAAGAATTGGGAAGAGGATCCAAATATCGGGTTTGTGATGATGAAGGTAATTTGTGCAACACATTGTTGCTTCTTCTTTCTTGTTGATTTAATTCTTGTGTTTGAGAGGTGAAAAAGTTCCTAACTTGTATTTTCTCTTCAACTGTTGAAGGGGAGTGGAAGGGCATTTTGTGCTGGTGGTGATATTGTGTCTCTCTACCATTTAAGAAAGAGAGGTGCAGGAAAATCCATTGCTTTTACTGATTAGAGAAGATTCTGCGGTATTTTATTTGCGCTCTGTATTCATTGCTCATTGCTTCATTTATTTCTCCTTAAATCTATGTAGGTAGCCCGGATGCTATTAGGGAGTTTTTCTCGAGTTTGTATAGCTTTATATACTTGCTAGGCACATATCTAAAGCCACATGTAAGCTTTCTTTACTTTTTGATCATTTTGAATTCTGAAACCAATAGAATATAACGATGTCACTGATAAGTAGAATGACACCATGATTTTCCCTGCATGCAGGTGGCAATTCTTAATGGTGTTACTATGGGAGGCGGAACTGGAGTTTCGATACCTGGGACATTTCGTGTAGCTACTGATAGAACTGTATGTAATTTTCCATCGATATGCTATTTCTCCATCTTTCAATTAGTCGGTTAGCTGGATTCTAGTTTATTTCTGCTGTCCAACTTCTTGGAGAATGCAGTAACTAGCTCATGGATATTGCAGATTTTTGCTACCCCTGAAACAATCATCGGTTTTCATCCTGATGCTGGCGCTTCTTTTAACCTCTCCCACTTACCTGGTCGCTTAGGTATGCTTTTGATATGTTTTGAACTGCTTAAATTCTCTCTAGGTTTGTCATTTGACAGTGTTATTAACTGCTGGAAAGAAATTTTTATTTGGATGATTACCATAGAAACCACTGATCCAGCAGGAAATTTAAATAACAAATTCTGCTGTTAACTACCAACTCAGCCTAACTTGCTTTAAAATTTTCCTGTTCCATAGTATATATCAGCTCATCTCATAGTATACATTAGCTCCCCAAGATAGATGATTTAATAGAGTACATATGCAGGGGAGTATCTGGGTCTGACTGGGTTAAAGATCAGTGGGGCAGAAATGTTGGCATGTGGCCTTGCGACACATTATATTAGAAGTGAGGTAATTTAGATTACATAGTTTGAGATCTCTCTGTTTCCATTAAACTTATCTTAAATACTAAATAGTAATGCTCTATTCTCCTACAACAGGAGGTTCCTGTAATGGAAGAACAGCTCAAGAATCTTCTCACTGATGATCCTTCTGTTGTTGAGTCATCCCTAGAAAAATGTGCAGAAGTTGCCCATCCGGAAAAGACTGGTGTTATTCGCAGGTTTGTTTTTTCTGATATCTGGAGATACAAAACTCCTGGCTTGTATTCTCTTACCAGCTCCCTAAGCTTGCTTTGTTTCTGTTTTTTCTTAGGATCGATTTACTTGAAAAATGCTTCAGCCATGACACAGTAGAAGAAATTATTGATTCTTTGGTAAGTCTCCTTACAAAATGGTTCTGCTAGTACGACTATCTCGAATCATTAGAAGTAACAATGTTTTGGGTTGCCAGGAAATCGAGGCTGGTAGAAGAAAAGATACATGGTGCATTACGACTCTACGTAGACTTAAAGAAAGCTCACCTCTATCTTTGAAGGTGGCATTGAGATCTGTGAGTTCACAATTAACTTTGCTTGTAAAAACATCTTCAAAAAATTCAAAATTCCCTTTTCTCAGACTCATATAGCTTCTGTAAACGACCCCCAACAGATCCGGGAAGGAAGATTACAAACACTTGACCAATGCTTAATCCGAGAATATAGAATGTCGCTACAAGGATTAATCGGGCCAATGTCTGGCAATTTTTGCGAGGTATGTGAATTTCCGGTATAGAAAAGCTTACCATTGCAAACAGAGTAAGGTCACTAATGAGTTATGTTTCAATGGTGAAAAGGGAGTACGAGCTCGACTGATAGACAAGGACGAAGCACCAAAGGTATTATGTTAAATCATATTCCCATAACCCATCTCTGTGCATATAAGCAAGCCATTAATGATAAGCATTGGTGGGTGTGCAGTGGGATCCACCGAGCTTGGAGAAAGTATCAGAGGACATGGTTGATAATTACTTCTCAGCCTTGACTCCCACGGAACCAGATCTTGACCTTCCTGTCAAACTCAGAGAAAGCATTTAGTTTCTTGGTGAAAGTGAAAAAAATTTCAAAATTGGCTAACATCACTCCCTTGGTAAACGAAAAGACCTTGTTTGTTGGGAGACTGATTTCATTCTTCCTGAAGCAGAATGTGTTGCAGGATTTATTTTTAGCCACAAATTTTAGTAACTTTGTATTGACAAAAATACTACTTAAAAATTTCATAAATTAACTATTAATAAAAAGGAATTTACTAGTTACGCTTTGGTTATACATGTGAACACGTTTGCATGTAGACCTAATTCAATTTGGTGCGATCAAAAGTCTTATCAAAAATGAAGTTTAGAGTTTAATTTTAAAACAATTAACAAACCCTAACGACTCAGGTGTCATGTCTCTCACCCGCCTCCGCTCCGGCCTCTCTTTCTCCTCTCCGATCTACCAGCTCAGCCGCCAAGTCTCCTCCCTCCCCCATCCTACTCCCATCTCAGCCACCGCCGTCCGTTTCCCTCTCCCGAGAGATCCGTCGTCACCACCCCTGACGCCTCCTACGAGGGCTAAAATGGTATGGTGCGCCACCCATTTAAACACCAGAGTTAAGCTCATGATCAAGATGTTAAACCTCGACGACGCGGCAGAGCTCTCGAGTTACGCCATCTTCACAAAACGCCGTCAAAACGTCACCACCGAGATCTGCGAGGCCATAATCGGTGCAATGTGCAAAGCCAAGCGCTACAACGACGCATTAAATCTCTTCCATTACTTCTTCAACGACTACAACCTCAAACCCAACATGTCTTGCTGCAATCACATCATCGGAGCCCTTTGTGAGCAAAACCGACTCGAGGAAGCATTTGCCCTGTACGGTCACTTACTGGAAAACGCTCCTTTCCTCCGTCCAAACGAGGACACACACCAGCTTTTGGCCAAAGGGTTGGTTGATGCGGACAAGCTTCAAAGCGCTCTGCATTTCGTCAGGAGATTGATGAAGAAGGAAGCCGATGTGGGTTCCTCTGTTCTTAACCATCTCATTCGCGGCCACTTGAAAGACGACGGTGATTTCACTAGTGCCAAGAGAATTTTCGATGTGCTAAAGCGGAAACTTGTCTCCTCTGGGGATGCTCAAGTTTTCGACTTGGTTTTTTCTTTCCTTGGTGGGGATTACAATGAGATTGCGGTCGTGAAAGCCACATTCATGGAGTTTTGGTTTGAGAAAGGAAATGATAAGGAAGCTATGGAGTGTTACAGGACTCTCGCGCCCAAAGATTTCAGAATGAACGCAAAAACCGGCAATACCCTTTTGCAACTTTTCCTTAAGCACGGCAAGAAAACCGAAGCTTGGACATTGTTCAACCAAATGCTGGAGAGACGCAATGCTCAGCCATCCGGTTTCGATTCGGAGACTTGTAATATAATGGTGAACGAGTGTTTCAAGTTGGGAGAGATTAGTGAAGCAATCCAAACCTTTGACAAGGTTAAGACGACTGTTGAGGATGATGAGTCACAACTATGTTATAGCAACATCCTCGCAAGATTCTGTGAGCAAGGCATGTTGCCAGAAGCAGAGACTTACTTTGCCGAGATGTCCTCTAAGCAATACCTGATCCCTAACATTCCTTCGTATCGAACAATGATCGATGCTTATTGTAAGGCTGCAAGATTCGACGATGCCTTCCGAGTGTTGGACCGAGCAGTGGAAGCAAATCTAAAGTGCGTTGCCACTTTCTCTTGCCTCTTATATTGCTGATATGCTTATGGTAAGGCTTTGATACTCGGCCTGTGTAGAATTCATTACCTCTATCATTTATTATCAAAACGTTCGTGTTTTTCTTTCAAATGTTATAAAATGTTTTAACTATTAGAGATTTGACTTGGTTTGTTTATTTGGTCATCGCAACGCTCAGTACACACACATATACCTCAATCTTATAAAAATGTAACAATTAGTTCATAAAGTACAAATCTGTTTCCAACGTAGATAATAATATGATACATAAATGTATCTTTTTTTAGATCAAACACATAAATGTATCTTAGATAAGGAAATCTCGGCCAGTAGATGATGAGCAGTGAACGAGTCTTGAAGCGTGACCCAGAGAAATATCGGCAATCTTGTTAACAAATCGGTGGGCATCATCGAATCTCCCTTCTTTAGCAAAGCCATCTACCATCATTCGATGTATCCATATATCAGAATACCTGGGAATTCTATCGGAGGAGGAGAAGATTTCGTTGAACATCTCCTCTGCCTCAGACATCATCCCCTGTCTCACCAATCTCTCGACTAGGGTCGTGTAACACCCAGCCCTAGCTTCCTTCCGGGCAAGCTCCATGGCTTTGCTAATCTCCCCCGTTTTGAAACACTCGCGGATCATTATACGACGAGTCTCTTGATCCGACCACTCGTATGCTTCTTTTTTTTCTATGTCGCTATTCCCACACAGCTTGTCGAAGAGCGACCAAGCTTCCGTCTTCTTACCGTACTTGAGCAAAACTTCCAAGACTGTGTTAACAGTGTCCGCACGCTTATGCCAAATTTTGGGTTTCCACTTAGCTACCGTGCCTTGCTCATCATCCTTGTTCAAAGAGTATTTGGCTAATACAGAACGGTACCATTCCATGGCTTCCTCGTCTTTCCCTTGCTTAAAACAGTGCTCCATGTATGCCACTTGCGACATCTCAAAATCATGGTCTGAATAACTCTCATCACGATGCTGCTTCAGATCTTGGAAAAGTTCATTTGCCTTGTCCATGTTCCCATGAGCCAAAAAACCGCGAATAAAAACAGGGTACGTGAACCCGCCAAAGAAGAGACTGTAAGCTTCGTCGACTCTTCCGGCATCAATCAACGCGTTCATCAAAGTATTGTAATCTGGGATAAAATGAGCGTAACGGATTGTGCGGCGGTAAAATCGAATAGCCTCGTCAAGACGACCTTGATGGCTTAGAGCAGAGACGACGTAACTGCAGCAACCGAAGTCTGGTTCTACATTGTTAACGTTGAAGAAGTAATGGAATAGCTCGTATGCCTCCTCATATCGTTTCTTCCCGCACATTGCGCCGATGATAAGACGGCAAGTCTCGGCGATTTGGGTTTTGATTTTAAAGTTTTCAGTGCTTTTGGGAACGGACAAGACAGCGAGACGCGCGTATTCAGCGGCTGCGTCGAGGTTTGATAGATTGGTCAAGACCTCAACTTTGGCCAAAACATGGGAGGCGATGTTATCGAACTTGGATATGAGATCAGTGGGTAGCGTCAGGGGGGGGGTGAGGAAGGGTCTCTCGGAATGGCGAAGGGGAAGGTGGCGGCGGAGCTAGGAGTAGTATGGTTTTGGAGGGGGAGAGATGAAACTTGGCGGCGGAGCTGGTAGATCGGAGAAGACAGAGAGAGAGCGGAGCGGAGGCGGAGGAGAGACATGACCTAGACTACAAGTTAAAACAAAACACCTGAGATAAATGTTAGTCAGGTTTTTTACCATTTACTTTTTCCACCAATACAAGTACGATACCATTTAGTTACTGCCTTAATAAGGCCCTGCTTCCTCCTCCAGCAGGCCCATCTTTAACTTTGCCAAAATTGGAAATTTTTACTTAACTCTGTTCAAAATCTGATGACGACGACATTGCAAACTACAAAAATGATCTTCACATGTTAAAATCAGTAATTATAGTAGTGATTTAGTGAAGAAGAAGCTATTTTTCTACTTTATAGGCCCAAGAATATGGTCACTTTAATATTTAGTCTGTTGAAATCTCATCTACTGGGTTATCATGGGCCTCTCATCTTATGAAACAAAATTTAACAAAACTCTTGACTTTTCAGACACAATTGACCTAAAACCGTCTCTAGTCTTGAGTTTCAAGGGAAGAAGAAAGTAAAAGAGTGATCGGGAAAATGCTTTAACTCAGCTTTTGTTTTTCCGCTTCTTTTTAGGTTTGACAGCATCTTTAAGTGTCATCTCTCCATCCTTGTGTTTTGTATCCTTCTTCCCTAAATCTCCGGTTACTTCCTCAACTGAAATCTCACCACCATCCTTCTGCGCATTTCCAGAGCCACTCGTTTTCTTCGTGCTCGATGACTTAGTAATGGAATCCGCTGATTAAACAAAACAGAGTAGTATCAGTTTATCATGACTCGAAGACAAAAGATTGGGGGTGAGAAGCAAAAAAACTAAACTTTACCTTTTGAAGCAAGAGAAACTTTCAGTGAATCAACATCCATAGCTTCTGAGTCAGGGTCCCTGAAAATTGTTCCACAACAGAGATTTTGAGAAAAAAAAAGAACCACAAGGAGCCATGGAGGTTCCTTCACAAACCAGAGAATGAAACATTGAAGAGTTTACCAATTTGAGGGACCGCCTTTAAAATTGGCAGCTTCTTGTTCCTTGCTGCTTCTTAGTTCCTCTGAAGAGAGCTTGAGTCTTTCAACATGTTCCCGAGATATCTCTGCAGCTTTTTCCTGATCTGAGGACTTCCTATATTCCTCCTTCACAGCTACAGTAGGTCCAGAAACTTCAGATTTAGCCAAAGTGGGATGTCGCTTCACTTTCTGTAAGCTTCTCTCACGGTTATATGCGTCAACCTTACACCATGAAAACAAAGCACAACAAACTGTGAGTTGTTGAATCTTTTGGATTCAAAAGAAATATGCTTTGGATTTAGAAACCTTACTTCTTCTCTAATGATCTTTGTTGTTGCAGCAGCTCTTGAAGAAGCTAGACGCAGGCAATGAAGGATTACACTTTGGTTCACGCCTTCTTCTCCCGGTTTTTGGATTGCGCATATATCGCCATTGGCATTAACTGTCACAGTCATTCTCCCACACATAACCGCTTCTTCAACATAAGTTGGGTCCATCACCTGCATAAGAACACATCACACTTTAAATTTCAGAAAGAAAAAGAAAAACTAAACTAGATTCTCACTAAAAATACAACTGTTTTTACCACAATGTTGCCTTTATTAAAGAATCCAAACGTGAAAGCTATTGGGAGATGATGTATTATTAATGGAAGTGGTTCCCTTTCCTGCAAAAGAAAGTAAAGAAAAAACAAAAAGTTGGAGTTGAGAACTGTCTTATCCACTTAACAAGTTCTTACAAATTTCTCTAAACCAAAAACATATGACTAACCTCTGGTGGATGTATGATCACTTCTTGACCGTTCTCTCCTCCTACCGTGCAGTCGGGTCTCCTAAACGTCATGAGAGCTGCTAAAGCAGCAATATTTGCAGCATCAACCAAGTTCCTATACAAGAGTGAGTAACAAAAACTCGCATAAAAGATCAATTTAACCCAGAACCTTCAAGGAGATATACTTTAGCCAACAAAACCTACCCTCCGTTGTCCAAGATATGAAGATCAATACGAACAGACCAAACCATCTTTCCAGCTAGAACGCAGAGTGACTCGGTATCTACCGCACGGCTTTCTCTGCAACCAACACAAAGACCAACTTACCATTACTCCAACCAGAACAGCCAGCATTTTTTTGCAGCATCAACAAATAATATCCAAAAGAGACATTTACCTTAGACCACGGTCGATAATGCGTCCCAACTCCACAGCAGATTCGCCAGGACGACCAGGCTCAAAAGACGGATCAGCCATTGGAGAAAACTCCGTGAAGATAGATAGAGAACCTTCATTAGGTCTGTCTTTGTAAGGTTGTACCAACTGAGCAGTCACAAAACCCATTACATGAGTCTGACCAAGTTGAACTTCCGAGCTACCATATTCTCTGTCAACTCAAACGAGATCAAAAGCTATCTTTAGTTACAAACACTACAAACACTAAAAGAAAAGCATGCTAGTATTCGTTCTAACAGAGGTAATAGACTCAACAAAGTTATCTACATTCAAAGTTATCACAAAACTCAGCAAATATTGAAGCTTTAGAGCTAAAGAAAGCAAACAAAGCCTACTAAGTGCAGAAACAGTATCAATAAGCAGAAGACAAAGTGTAAGTAAAAGGAATGTGAGCACTTACTTGCCAAACTTAATAGTAAGCTTCCGGTAATCATAAAGGCCACGACCATCGACCCTGAGTTCAGATTGCAACGCAGTTTCCACGAATTTACTCTCGTTCACAGTCAACCTCCACATATTAGCCAATCTCCCCTCCATTATCTGCGATGGCTAGTAACTAAAAATCAATACTTTGGGCAACCCGTTTGCAAAAACAGCAAATTAAACACTCTAATCAATAGAAACCTTCTCTTGGGCTTAGAATCAACACGGTAAATTAAACCAAAACGTACCTATTGGAGAAAAGAGATGAGAAGAGACACTTGGACTTTCTTCTTTCTTTTCACCTCCGGCTAAATAAGAAGGAGCTCCAAAGATTTTACAAAGCGGCGGCGAAATCGGACAAATGTTTTTTTATGTATCTCTCGGCCTTAACAACAGTACATGTAACACGGCGGCGATTCAGAGTAAGCTTGGTGATGGAAGGAAACAGGTAAAACCACTTCTGAAAAATTCGAGAGGGTGAGAAATCTAACTAAAACGACGTCGTTTCAAATCCAACAAAGACCGGCGTCGTTTTGATCAGCGACGTCGTTTTAGTGCAAAATAATTAGGAAAATAATGGATATAAAAAAGCCCACGGGCTTACAGACATTTTATTATTATTTCTATTTTGATGCTTTTTGGCTAATTTATAACCTCCAAAGAAAACGTCAATGAGTTTTCACTTTTTATTATCTCATCAATGGTTGTTTCAGCTCTTGTTTGAATTTGGAATGATTAACTTCGACTCACAAATGTTTGCTTACCGATAATTGTATTGTGTAGATTAAGAATATTCAACAAGCCGGTTCAACTTTCAGATTCTTTCCCTCAAAAACAAAAAACATGGACTGTAGCCGAAGTTAAATTATAAGTAACTCTCTCTTAACTTATTAATTATTATTAGAATGTAATTAGTTAAGGTTTTCTTTCATTATCTCCCCAGTTGGTTCTAAATTGTGTGTTTCACTACTTTTAGTATAACAATTTCAGCTTTCCCCACATGCTCTCCAATTTTCATTTTTTTGTTTCATTTATTTTTGATTGAGATGTGAGAAAATATGTTAACTACGAGTGAACAATATGAATCTACATTATTTTCTTCTGCTGCTGTTGCTTTCATTATTCTTCTTTCTGCTTGCTTATTTTCTTTCTTTTTTCTTTTGTTTTTGCCCACTTTATTCCAAAGATAAAGATCGCATGTTATAATATATGTTCACTTTTATTTTAATTATGTTTTTTTGATAAATTAATTATGTGTACAATTATACTTGGACTAGTTTCTGTGCATAATGCAAGGTGCCAAAAGAAGAATTCAGCTCCTTGTAATTCGTAAGCTTTAATTTATAGTGTTGTCCAAACTCTAAAGGTATTCGTGTGGAAACGGATATGGATATTGTAATGTATCACAACAATAATCATAATCCTCTCCCCCAAAAAATGATAAAAATACAAAAGATTAGGTAAGTGTGGGAGCTAAGTATATTACTCACGGCTGAGGAACCCATTTGAAAAAAGGATATAAATCTATTAATTACGTACGTAAATAACAGTAATATATATAAAAAGATTGGCTGCTATCAAGTAGATACTCATGCCACCACTAAAACCAATGAAAAAAAAAAAAGACTCTTTATGTCTTCCTGTTTTTCTTTTAATTTCTATGGACGCTCTCTCACACACACACATTCAATTCAAATCCTAACATCATGAGAATATAGAATAAGTACACACTAATTGATCGGCATGTTTAATATACATGTACGTAAACTAATTGATAGTGAGCTCACTACCACATCCACTATCTTTATATGCTTTTTTTTTAAATAAGTGGCCTCAATAATTCATAAGTCTACTTAACCACGAAAACAAAAAAACTCATAAGTCTACTAAAAGAATATACATGTATGCCTATAATTGCTTTATTTAAAGACTGTTCACCTAGATTTGTCCTGTTCCGGAGTCAAATTCCGTTTTCAGATCAAAGTTATATACCCATTGTGAAACTTGGAATAACATTTAGTTTATGTAATTTAGATATATTACAGATTTTTTTTTCTTCTAAATGTTTCGGTAATGGTCTGGATGGAAAAAATTAAAAGAAGATAAAGAATGGTGATTTTTAGTAGATTAAAATGTTTGATTGAGCAAATAGTTAGAATTTTATTCGAAATATCCAGTTTTATTATTACTACTATGCTTAATGAATCCAATGAATGTGTTTGGGAATCCATAGCAGTCGTGTTATGCCTCACACAGTGGACAAAGTAAAGATGTTGGGCAAAAGCATTGCCATTGTTATAGCATATATCCTTTCACCTTTTAAGCAAATTAAAGAAATGGACAAATGAAAATAAAGAAAGTGAAAGGTTATTAACTTATTGTAACTTTAAAAGAAAAAAGAAAGAAACAATGATGAACATGTGAGTCATGTTATATTCCCACCCCAAATATAAAAAAGCGATAATTTAATCAAAAGCTTGTCTCCTTCACTTTCAATTTCGCAATCATCGTCTCATCAATGACGCACACACTAAATATGACATATATGGTGCCTGCGCTAACCTCATTTCGATTACGTTAGACGGGTCATGTATTAAGCAATATATAAAATTATAAACCATTTAAAGAGAATTGAAAATGATCTAATCGATTGATTATCAATCGGTCGGATTGCGATCAAGGTCATCTAATCGATTTTTATCGTAATAATCTTTAGATAGAATATGCTTATCTAACAACATCCGTTTGGTTAATTACATAACATGAATTTGTCAATGGATATTCGTCTATCTAGTATCCGGTAACATAACTAATCATAATCAAATTTGCATAGTCAAGGATCGAAGATACCAAAATTGCTATATAGCTACTGTTTATCAATGAAACTTGAATGTATATAAATGTTGATAACATAGTCTAATTTACGATGTAGACAGCAAAATGGAGATTAATTAGGTTTCAGATACTGACACATGTGTAACATGTGTGAGCGTAACTGGAGGCTTTGTCTCTTCGAGTCAAAATACATATGTAAGGGCCAATGAGAATACAAAAAAAGCTTAAAAGTCCGAGACAGTGTCACTATCAATAAACGTTGCCTAGTTTTCTGTGTTTGCATATATATAGTATATATATTACATTTTTGCCACTGCCACTTACCAGTCACTTGCGTTACTTCAATTTTGAAAAGTAAATATTCAAAACGAGCTCAATTTTTTCACATAGTGATAATATACTCAAATGTAGAAAACAAGAAAAGAGAAAAGAGATAGAAAAGATTAGTTAATACGGTACCATATTGGAATTATATATATGTTCTTTATCAAGAAAATTATATGTAGTTAGTAACTAGTAAGCAAGTGGAGGGTGGTTTAGTCATTTTGCCAACTAAACGGCTCTTCAAACCTAAACCCTACATCCTGATCTCCGTAAAGCTGCCACGTAAAAGTGCCGTTGCATAAACAAAACGCATCGTTTTGGTTCATCAGTCCGTCCGTGAAAAGGTCCGGCAAATCAAACACCGTCTCTTCGTTGCTTTCCTTGTCCGTACTAGAAGTCTCCGACGTGTCCGAAGAAAACACGAAACTACTCGAAGTCGAAGACTGAGCCGTAGACAACAATTCAGAGTGGCTTAGCTCATCACCTTCCGGTTCAACTAATTTCTCATCGATAACCGGTTTTTGCCACGTGGTTGCTTCGGCGGCTTTGGTAGCTGCAGCTTGTATATCCTTAGGAGAGCAGCTAACCGGACGAGGAAGCAAACCGGATAATTCAGGGAAATTGAGATAACCGGAGTTGCCTTTAATAGCTAAAGCCGCCACATCATGAGCACGAGCTGCCATCTCAGCCGTTGGATAAGTGCCAAGCCATATTCTTGATTTCTTCCTCGGCTCTCTAATCTCCGACACCCATTTCCCCCAACTCCTCATCCTCACTCCTCTATACGACGTCGGATTCTTATTATCATCGCTGACGTTGCTGATCTTCCGCCGTTTTCCTCCGCCGCCATTGTCTTGCACTAACGATCTTTTGGATGTAGACCAAGATTCTGACGAAGCCGTTACCACGGAGGAGGAAATCGTGGCGGCGACGGTCGAGGCTGTTATATCGGAAACATTATTGTCTTGATGATGAGTAACACTACTCTCTATGTTGATTTGTTTTCCCATTTTAGAGAGAGAGAGTGTTAAAGCTATAGGCTGCGGTCTGAAGTGGGTTGCTATAAATATTCTTGCAAATTATTTTATTCTAAAGAGAAAGGAATCATTAGAGAGTAATACTATATAGAAAGAATAAATGACTATAATAATTTCGTTATACATAGTGGGTCCGTTGTCAATCGAGTGTAACTTACCCCCATGTGAATTAAATGAAAATAACGTGTTTCAATATTCTATATAAGTAAAATATTATTCTTAATTATATACGCAAAAAAGAAAAAGGAGAAAAGAAACAAAAAATCGAATACAACCAATTTAGATGGCATTCGTTGAAATAGAATGGTATTTGACTATCTCTTGTTCTATATGTACGCCACCTTCACAAATCCATCATCTCTGCTCGAGATTGCGTGACGTCATAATTATCAATAAGTAGCAAAAAATAAATTTCTATAGTACTGTACATAAAAGTTTTGTGTCGGCCCACTTTGCTTTATAATCAATGGACAAATGTACTAACTCCTAATTAACTTGGGCGTAAGAATACACAATGTACTAACTCAGTAATTTTGTTTAACCACGCGAATCACGTTATCAAGCGGTCCCTTCGCTCTTGGATCTATAGCTAGTCCTATATGTAAATTTTGACTGACTGAGAACAATGTATTACAGTGAATATTTAAATTAAATCTGTATTAAGTTTTTTTTTTAATGAATGTTTTATTCGATTCGGCGCCATTATAACTAAGAAGCACTTTTATTTGATTAATGATGAAATTTGAATTACTAAAATCAACCAACTTTTGCCTACAAAATCATTGAACATACTCCATTGTCATTGTTATTTCTATTTTCTATTTTGGTTGGAAGTGTACTCCATTATTAACACATGTATACACATTTATCTTGCCTTTTTTGTTGTTGTTGACAAACCTTGAATACTGTCAATTATTGTCAACTCTGTTGATGATATACAATGCACGAATCACGATGATGAATATTCATTTTGAAGAAAAGTAAGATTATAATTGTCGATTGAAGACAACAAGAAAAACGCGATTGTCATTACCAAGAAGAATTGCGATTAAAAGCCGAATTGTTAATTTTACTCTTTTTTTTTTTGTTTTTTGAGCAAAGCCGAATTGTTAATTTAGTTACTTTTTATATAGTGGACGGAAGAAATAAATACACTGTTATCATGAGCTGGGCATGTAAATTTTCTACATGGAACATACTTATGTGCCAATTTGTTCATTCAGCTGTAATGCAAAACCACATCTGTGATGAACAAAAAATGGTTGTGTCACAACGTTAGGGATTAATGTAATGTAATTAACTAATTAGTGAAACCAAGACAAGAGATTAGCATTAAGTATGTGCATTGAACATATCTAGCTATTAGTATAAAATTCCGTTCAACATTATGAAACAATCATGATCAGAATGGTTGAATGTAGCATTTTTCTGGGCCATACCAAATCTTTCCAGGGCCCGACGTATTGTTTAATGTTATATTAATGTAAGTGACTCGTGACACCGTTACCCAAATGCGATGTCTCTAACTTAGCAATGTTTTTTGTGTGTTATATATGCGCAACGGTAAGAAGAGTTTAGAGGATACTAATACAAAAATTAAAAACACCTTGCCTTGATATAGACTCTTACAAATTTAACTTGTCATATGGGCCGGAAACCCAAAACGGAGCCCATTAAATTTAACAAAATTCCTGTCATATGGGCTGCCATAAGCCCAAAATAAAGCCCATTAAACCTGCAACGATAGTAAACGATAAAGGAATCTCGCTATCGGAAATTTGATCCATTTCACCATCTCGGGGAAAAGACGGCGAAAATGGAGGAACGGAACGACGCCGGAACCGGTGCCGGAGAGAGCAGTGTGTTGGATGGATCAGCTCATTGGTGGTGGGCATTGGGAAGTGGAGCTCAAATCATGTGGGGAGTGCGATTGATTAGGAGAGGTTACGCTGGCGACGTTCGTTTAATGCCGGTCAAAGCCTTCGGTGTGGCATCACTCTTCGTCGGCTCGTTAGCCACTAGCTCCTTCGCAATAGTCCGCGCCACAGGGATCCACACGGTCAGATTCTTGTATTGAAATCATTGATCTCTATCTTGTGTGTGAGAGAGAGATTGACCGGATCTAATTGGTGCTGAAAATTGAATCAGGTTCAAGATGCGATTGATCTTGGAGCCAACATTAGAACCAATTTGGGGGTTACTCCTCAAATACCGGATAAGCAAATCACTGGTACGTCAAAAAATTTAGGGGTTTTAAGTACCATATTCGATCTCTTGCTGAATTTGCAGGGTTCTGGGATTTTTTTGTGTTGTTTTGCAGAGAGAGACGGATGATTTATCATGAACAGATCGACCTTGAAGCTCTCTATAAACGCTTATCGGATTCACTATGAGACGATCATGGAATTAGCTCTCTGGTTTATTCCTCAACGATTTTCGGCAATTCGTGTATGTTTGTTTATATAGATAAGACCAAAATTTAGGTGGTCTTTGTCTGAAACTTCAAAAGGTTTTTGGGTTTAATAGATTAGATGATTTGTTTAAGGCTATGTGCTCTGTCTTAATTTCCTTTTTCAAGATCAAAGACTTTAAACAGTAAACCTCTGTCTCTTTTCAAAATATCTCTACAGAGAACAAGAAATTTAGAGAAGATCCCTTAAAACCATATATATACAACAAACAAGTCTTATGTGGAAAGAGCTTCTGGATGTCAGAATTCAATCTACAACTTCACAAATCATAGTGTATTTTTTAATCAAAATTTGATTTTGGGATATCATACAAGATAGATTTACAAGACATTAGACTAGTTTTTAATCTGCAAGACTATTTACAAGACTACCTCCTCTAGAAATGAAAACATTCTCACTTCTGCAAAACCTGAATGATTGAAGCCACCGTCTGGGTGAGAGTCATCAACAATAGAAGTGTGGCTGCGACAGTGGCCGTCCCTGTCCACATGTTACCAAAGTACACTCGCTTGAGGACGGCGCGAGATCTATTAACTGGATTTGAATAGTGCGTGTTGACTTCAACTGCTATATCAGAATAGTAAGAACCAACCTCCAGGATGCCCAAACCGAGCTTGTTCACCATCTCTGCCACCAAACCGTGTTGCCCGATCCAATTCTTTATTATCCCTTACAAAACCAAAACCACCACAAATCAATACACAGGCACACGCATATATAAAGGATAAAAGGATAAAAGGTTACCTTTCTCGACAAGCAAGTCAACATCTTTATGAGTGTCAATGAGGTAATCCAAGAAGATAACATAATTACATACATGGGCGTTGAAAGGGTAATGACATTGCTCAAAAGCCATTACGTTTCTGAGTTTCATCTCTACTTCGTCATCAACCCTAAGACAAGGCATCTTTAAACAACCATTCTCGAATCTAACGTACAACGAGAACTCTTCATTTACCGCCTCAAAATTGACTCCTCCACTGTCTAGCTTATCCGCGTTATACATATGTTCAATGGGATTGCATTTCCCTCGAGCAAGCCGTGGAAGTGTCTCCACACGGACAAGCCTAACCAGATCAGTGAAATGTCTGAACTTTGAGTTGTCTCTGATTTTACCTTGGAAATCAAAGTGTGTGATGACTAATTCACGGAATGTTTGGTTAGGGATGAGTGTAGGGACTATTGGATCGAAGAGTTTCTCGAGAATGAAGTAAGGAAGTTGGTTCTCGAGCAAGATGAGATCTTCTTTGACTGTGTTTTCAAGACAAGGCTCGTCCATGAGAGGATCCCCTGTTTTCTCCCAACCTTCGTAGGAACTCCTCAAAATGAACTCTAGTACAAAAACAGAGTCATGTAGGATCATGTCCACAAATATTGCAGATTCAATCCAGGCCGTTGATTCCGAGTAGCTTGCCCTGATCATCTCTTCATCTTCTTCGACTATTCTTCTGAATCCATCGATAGTCTTTTCCCCTTCAACTCTTCGTGCGAATTCGGCAAGGTAAATCTTCTTATGCTCCTCCATGTTTAAGTAGCCCATTGACTTTGTGTCTGTAATATCTCCAAGAGACTTGAGAGCTTGAGATTTTGAAGAATGGTGGAGAGGACCAAGAATCAGTAATTGAGGAGTATATGCTTCTGGATTTACTCTACGTATACTGTTAGGCACTCTATAGATGCAACAATAATGCTCCTGATTTTTCGGAAAGAGCCACATCCCAGGAGCCTGTTTGTTCAACTTCTGGATCGTGCCCAATTCAAGATCCAACATTCGGTCCATTATTTCAATCTTGTCTTCAGAACCTAAAGGCTCTCTCAAAAGAGGAAGTTTTAAGAAAGCCATTGGAGAAGAAAGAGGAGGTAGAAGATGACTATCCCTCTTAGTGAAAGATGGAAAAGAATCTTATTCATTTAACTTAACACTCTCACAGGCTTGCCAATATCCTAATTATCACCTAGCGTTTCAAATAATTATCCTAGCGTTTCAAATGATTCTTAGATTAGAAAAGTCAGTATCCTAATTATCACCGAGTTTGTCGGAACTTTGTCTGGCCAACTGTCCTATAGTAATTGATTTCTAAAAGTCCACGTTTTCCACGTTAGATATTGACTGCAAAATCTGGTATGTGCCTGAACCTGATAGGGCGTTCAAGATTTTTGGAAGATCCCCTATCCGTAAGTAGGAAATCGTTTAATTATGTTTGTCGTGGATTGAATATTATTTGTATAGACCAAAGAAAAATAGGGGGTCCTCTGATCTGATGGACGAGCCTTATCTGATATACACAACCAAGGAAATGATGTCTTATATATAGTAGTAGTGTACTAGCTAGATTAGATGTCTAACGTTTCAAAATTACAACTGTTTTGTCCGATTCTATTGTGTGTGCCGAACAGGCTAATTACAGCTGGATAGTGGATACATTATGACTAGGAATAAAATTCTAGACTTCATAATAAAGTATCATTGACGACCATTAAGTCTTTGTTTATTATTATTATGAGATAGACTTAAAACACAAGATCCTTTTTGGGGGGGTTGGGAGGAAGATATATATGACTAACGTAATAAACACAACGACGAGAGAGTGAATTGTATCGTAGATACGAGTAATTTATTAAACACAAGAGACGAACCGGAGAGAGTGAAACGACGTCGTCCAACAGAAGAACGTTCAATGTTACCAAACCTGAATAATCGAAGCCACCGTCTGGACAAAAGTCATCAGCAAAAGAAGCCCAGCAGCGACAGTAGCCGTACCTCTCCATAGATTACCGAAATACTGGCGTCCCAGGATGGTGCGCGTCCTGTTGACTGGATTTTCATAATAGGCGTTGACTCTTGACGCTATACCAGCATAGTAAGAACGACTCTCCACGACGCCCGAAAAGAGCGTGTTCACCATCTCCGCCACCGCCACCGAACTCTTTTCCCCCCAGTTGTTTAGTATCCCTTTCAAAACCATACCATGCCATATTAGTTTTGATTATTCAAGAAAAGTTAAGCAAGCAGTATAACCTAGCGAACACGGAGACGTACGAAGCAGTACTTAATCGGCATAAACATTTGTATGATAAAACAATAAATGATAGAAAGTTAGAAACATGATTTACAAATAATAGGGGTTCAAATATTCCTAATACATAAAAATCTTTATTATAAGAATAAATGTTCTATCTAATCAAACTCAAATATGAAATTCATCTATAAGTATTGATAATTTTATGCAATTTAAAACGTCAAATCTTGAAAATTTAACCAAACATAACTAACACAAAAAAATAAGACGAAAGTGGATAAATTGCATAATTTTAGTGTATGATATAATAGCTATAGTTTATGGATGTTTAACACACACAATCTATATATGTATACGTAAAGGTACCGTTCTCCATGAGCAAGTCGACGTCTTTATCAGTGTCAATGAGGAAATCCAAGAAACTGACGAAGTTACAAACGTAGGCTTTGAAAGGGTAATGACATTGCTCTAGCGCCATTATATTTCTCAATGTGATCTCAGCATCATCAGGAACCCACAAACAAGGTATCTTCAAACAACCATTCTCGAATCTCACATCTATTGAGAACTCATCTGTCACAGCCTTGAACTTCACTCCTGCACTGTATAGCTTTGCCGCGTTATACATGTGTTTGATGATCGGGGGATCTTTTGGTTTTTTTGACCCATGACCATGTGACCTCTCCCCCATGCGATGAGTTTTGAGCCGTTCAAGACTACGACTCTTTTCTGTTTGTCTTTTTGACCCTTGTGTCTCCATGGGAACACATCGGAAAAGATCAGCTATATATCTGAATTTGCTCTTTGTTGGTTCTCCTGACCCATGTGTCTTCTCCATGGGAAGAGCTTTATGTTCTTGAGGACGACTCTTTTCTAATTCTCCTGATGACCCCTGTGTTCCCAAGTGGACAAATCGGAACAGACCAGCTAAATATCTGAATTTATTCTTTGGTTTCTTTGGCCTAAGTGTCTCCACGCGGACACATCGGAATAGATCAGTGAAATGTTTGAATCTAGAGTCATCTCTGATATTACCTTGGAATCTGAAGTAAGTGATGATTAACTTGCGGAGTGTCTGGTCTGGACGGAGTATTGGAACGATTGGATCGAAGAGTTTCTCGAGGATGAAGTAAGGAAGTTGATTCTCGAGCAAAATGAGGTCTTCATCTACAGTGGTTTGAAGACAAGGCTGCTCAAATATAGGATCCCATGTTTTCTTGATGTCTGATCCTTGGTCCTCAAGTAAGGTGTACTCTTTACTCCTTAACAAGAACTCTATTATGAAAACAGAGTCGTGTAGGATCATATCCACGAACTTTGGAGATTCGATCCAAGCAGTTGATTCAGAGTAGCATGCCCTGATTATATCTTCTTCTTCTTTGATTATTCTTCTGAATTCATCAATGGTTTTTTTCCCTCCAAGCCTTTCCGAGAATCTCGCGAGGTAAATCTTTTTATGCTCCTCCATGTTTAAGTAGCCCATTAGCTTTGTGTTTGTGATATCTTCACGAGAGTTGAGAGCTTGACATTTTAAAGAATGGTGAAGAGGTCCAATGAGGAGTAATTGAGGCGTGTATGCCTCTGGATTTACACGACGTAGACGATGAGGGACTCGGTAGATGCAACGATGCTCAGGATTTGTAGGAAACCACCACATCCCTGGAGTTGGTTTGTTTAACTCAAGGACCGTGTCCGGTTCATGATTCAACCTTCGGTTCATTGTTCCGGAAGTTTGTTATCTTGTAATAAAGAGATACAAAATGAAAGTTTTGAGAGAACAAATGAGAGTAAATGTGAAGGAGGAGGAAAAAGAAAGATGACAGAACTTAACGTTCGAAGTTCCCTCTTGGTAGTATACGTAATAATGAGGAGGAAGGAAATGATGAGGAAGTTCCCCCCCCTCCCCCCACGACCATGTACATGAAAGTCACTTGTTCAAATATGTAGTAATAAATAGCACATGTAACAACAATAAATCTATATCAAATTATATGAACTTTGATACTGTGTAAATTTTATATTAATGTACTATAGGTTTGTGGATTCGGAGCCCTATGTTGTTCGAGATTTTTTAATATTTTTTTATAGATTTTTACAATGAGTGGAACAATAATGGATCCTTATTCTATGCTCAAATGTGTTTTTTTTTTTTTTTTGCCAATCTGCTCAAATGTGTTTATTTCGGTTGATATTTGTATATATCTTTGTGAATTAGCTTAAGAAAATCATAAACATGCAATTGCAAAAAGATTTTGTTAGGGATGATTGAGCATTCAAATAAAAGTCATTTAATTTTGGTTTGTTCAAGTCCTCCAAATAATACTTTTTTGCTATTATATTACAAAGTCTACAATCTAAGATATATAGCATAGTACAAAAAGGTTGAGAAGAGATTGACTTAGCGAGTGCATCTGCACATAGCGAGTCAACCGTCTTTGAGAGAAGAGAATTAGGTCATTAAAATAACATAATTAAAATAAAGTCATTTATTTAGTGGTTTACCAAATTCACATATTTAAAAATTTGGCACCTCCTTAAGTTTCGGTAATTATTGTCCAATAAAGAATTCAATGTGCAAAGTCACACCATCCTGATTATTATTACTGAGTTTGTCTGGCCTTTGTTTGGACAGCTGTCCTGTACTTAATTCTTTTTACAATTGCTGTAAAAGACGGTATATTAGTTTCAACTTTCAAGGCTTTTCGAAGATCCTTTCCTTCACATCCTTTTTTCACCATATATGCATGTAAAATAGAAGGCCTTACACGGGCTCACTTGATTTGGGCTTAGTATTGGGCTAGGAAATCGAGTAAAATCACGAGGGCATTTTGGTAATAACCTCAAATTCGAAATGCGAGAGAGAAACTTGGGGAGTGGGGTACTGAAAGTGGAGGGTAATGGTAATGTGGGTGATAACCGCATCCAACCGTCACTACAAAACCCAAAGAAACTTCCGCACAGAGAATAACAGAGAAGAACAAAATAAACACAAAATCGAAAGTGAGAGAGATGAGGAAATTGGAAACGAAGAAGGAAGAGATAAAGAAAGGGCCATGGAAAGCCGAAGAGGATGAAGTACTCATCAACCATGTTAAGAGATACGGTCCTCGTGACTGGAGCTCCATTCGATCCAAAGGTCTTCTTCAACGCACCGGCAAATCTTGCCGCCTCCGTTGGGTCAATAAACTCCGTCCCAATCTCAAAAAGTATACATTTTTCTACTTTTTTCTTCTCTCTGCAAATTCAATTTTGCTTTTGTTTGCTTCAAATATTTAGGGTTTTTTGTTTGTTTTTAGTGGATGCAAGTTCTCGGCTGACGAAGAAAGGACTGTGATTGAGTTACAATCTGAGTTTGGTAACAAATGGGCGAGAATTGCTACGTATTTACCGGGAAGAACTGATAACGATGTTAAGAATTTCTGGAGTAGCAGACAAAAGAGACTCGCTAGGATTCTTCATAACTCCTCTGATGCATCGAGTTCGAGTTTCAATCCCAAATCTTCTTCTTCTTCTCATCGAGTCAAGGGCAAAAACGTCAAACCAATCCGTCAATCCTTTAATCCCTCTCAGGTAATGATGATTTAAAAAATTCACAAGTTTTTGGAAAAAACTCTGTTTTTTTGGTTTTTCAATTTTCAGTTTTGTGGTTTCAGGGTTTTGGTTTGGTTGAAGAAGAGGTTACAGTTGCTTCTTCATGTTCCCAGATGGTTCCTAATTCATCTGATCAAGTTGGTGATGAAACCTTGAGGTTGCCGGATTTGGGTGTTAAGTTAGAGCATCAGCCTTTCGCTTTTGGCACTGATCTTGTTCTAGCAGAGTTCTCTGACTCACAGAATGATGCAGATCAGCAAGGAATTATCCCTTTCTCTCCAGAAAGCAGAGAGCTTTTGGCTAGACTCGACGACCCTTTTTACTATGACATACTTGGACCAGCTGATTCTTCTGAGCCATTGTTCGCTCTTCCTCAGCCGTTTTTCGAGCCATCACCGGTGCCAAGAAGATGCAGACATGTTTCAAATGATGAAGAACCTGATGTTTTCTTAGACGATTTCCCTGCTGACATGTTTGATCAAGTAGATCCAATCCGAAGTCCTTAGATTGTTGATCTTGTTTGTAGATGGTTTCCTCTGTGTGTTAATTGTTTCTAGATGTTTCAAACAACAATCTAACTACATTCTTATGTAATGACAATTCTTGTTCCCTTGTTATTATGTGAAGGAAGTTGTGTTGTTGTTTTCTTTGGTACAACTATATAACTCTTATTCGATTGAATGAAAACTTTGAAACAATGTTTCATAATTCATACAAAAGCAGTTCAAATACAATCAAAAGTACAGAAACAGAGGACACTGAAGACAATTGACTAAACCGGTGAATGGCTTATGACAGGTTCATAACTGACAGGATCATGACTAAACCTGATTCCAGCTTGACCATGACTCAAAACCACCTCATAGTCCCCAGCTTTAACAGACCCATCTTTACTTGAGACTTCTCTTCTCATTTCAACATAAGCACAGTAGTCTACTTCGTACACTGTTGTATCTTTATAGAATGTCGAAAATGTAGTTCCAACTCCTTCCCCTGCAAAATTTCATCAATAAGGTTTAGAAGGTTTCAATATCGAAACCGAGCATTGTTCATCAGAGACGGATAGGATAGTTCATTATAAAGAAGGGAATTGGTTTACATCTGATTGAGCTTAAGACAATTTGGAGTCTATCAGGACGAATGTATGAGGGTATACAAGATCCATACAAATTTGTATTTCACAGATACACACAAGTTAAAACAAATGATGATGAAAATAAAAGTAAGAAACTTGCGTACCATGGGTGACTAAGAGCAAGTTCTCTGAAGGATACTTATCAGCAAGAGCCTTTACAACTTTCACATATCGATCTCTGCAACCTTCGACAGACTCTTCCCATTTTGGCAACTGAACAGAAGCAACCAAGGATCAAGTTTTCTATCGAAGTAAGGCAAAAAAACAAAACTTGAAAAGGTCCTCTAGAGAGTAAAGCACACCTCTTTATAAACCATATCGACATTATGATCCACCATTCCCTCAGGAAACATAGTTTCAATATCTGAAATTGTGAAGTCAAATTTCCCATCTTTAGGAGCAAGCTCACGCCTTATAGCCACTGAGTTCAGCATCTCACATAAACCTAATTCAATAGAAACCTGACAAGAAGCAAAACATTCAGCTGATTTCATAATATACACAACACACAACGATGATGATTATCAAAATTCCATTCAACTTCCTAGACTAAAATTTTGAAATCTTTCAACAAAAAAGGCGATTTTTTGGTGAATCTGAGTTTGAGATATGATCAGACCTTGAGCTTAGATTTATCAATGGAAGGGACGTCTTTGGAAGACATAGCGTTAGGATCGACATTGACGGCAGAAATAGCTGCGACGACTTCGGAAGCTGTCTGGAGACATCGGAGGAAAGGGGAGACGAAGACACGGTGAATCGGAAACCCGATCTGAGATCGGATCCTTTGACCGGTACGAAAAGCTCGAATCATACCGTCTTGAACGAGAGGTGGATCCCAAGGTCTCTCGGCGGTTGAAACCCAGAGTGGCTCGAAATTGTCGATTCGATCACCGTGACGCATGACGAAGATGTTTTGGTAGCCATCGTCCATGTTAGATTTGGGAGACTCCATTGTTTCTTTCTTCTTCGTTTTGCGACTCTAATGGATCGTTATTTATAAAGGAATGTCATTTTTAACTTTTTGTGGAAAATGTCATAAAGTGCTTCTTCTTTTGTATTTTTCTAGGATTATTTTTTTTTTCTTTCTTAAAAGTTCTAATTAAAAAACGTATAGTAAATTGTTGAGAAATGCCCTAAATTGTTTTTATATCAACGGCAATAATTCATACTCTTTTAATAGTAGGAAACTGCAAAGGAATTTCTTATTCGAGAATTAGACATGTTAAGAGCATTATGACACATGAAACTAGGTATATATGTACCTTTAATTTAACTTTTGATTGGTTTGGTTAGCTATTAACTTTTTGTTTGGTGTTGTTATGCAATGGTGTTACACGTAACTAAACAAAAAGGATATAATTGACATTAAGGCTACAAACATGATTTTTAACTTTATATTAATATATACAATATGACTTGGAAAAAACTACTAATTTGATGCTTTGCCTCCATCGATGGGATTACATAAATGTCGACAGTCGACATCGTATTACCGACTAGTCATATACATACTTTACAAGATAATATTTTTTGGTGTTTTAGAAAGAAGGCAGGGTGGAAGATGAATGACGTGACGAGACAAGGCTATAAGATTATGATCCTTTATATAAAGTCTAAAATAAACTAAGTTAGATGATACAATTTGGATGTTAGTAACTCGCTATCATATAATTTAAATTTTATTTTAACTTTTTAAATATAAGTCGAACCATTCCTTAATGGGTGAAGTAGTTGAAAACCGCCCCACGCTAGTGACTTCTTCATCAAATAATATCTTGTTGATATAGTCGACCAATTACACATATAGAGATTATTTGCAAGATGAACTCTAAAATTTTATTTGAAGAAAAATGTTGACAAAAAACATTAATAAATTGATGTTGATTTTTGTATGTTTTAAATAAACAACGTGATATCATGTGACAATAAGGATTAAAGTTACGATACATGATTAAGTTTTAGTTTTAGTGATAACACTTGAACTAATTTTCTTAAAGTTTAAGTGTTAATTTTTTAAATTTTTTTAGTTAAAATTATTATTAATTTTCCCGCAATTTTCCCGTAAAACTTTTTCCCGCCAAAAATTTTTTTTTGCGGGAAAAGTGATTCCGCAATTTTGTTGGCGAAATTTTTTTGGCGGGAAAAATTTACAAGGTATTTTAAAGGTTTTACAGAGTATTTACAAGTGTTTTTGTAAGGTTTTACAATGTATTTTAAAAGATTTTACAAGGTACTTATAAGGTAAGGTATTTATAACTTGTAAAACCTTATAAAAAAGGGGCATTTTTGTGAGTCTCCCATAAGTTTAAGTGTTAAATCTATATTATGTGAAAATTTGCCGAACTTCGAACACCAAAGCATACAGACCAACTAAGGACAAGATGCCTAGGCGCGGTTAGTTTTCGACGTTTTTAAAATTTAACACTTGAACTAATATTAAAAATTAGTGAAATTAACATGATTTAGGTTTAAAACATTATTTTCTTAAAGTTTAAGTGTTAAATTTGTTTTAAATTTTAGTGAAAATTATTATTAAGTTTTAAATGAGTTTAAGTGTTAAATCTATATTACGTGAAAAATTGCCGAACTTCGAACACCAAACCTTACGGACCAACTAAGGATGTCTAGGCGCGGTTAGTTCTCCACGTTTTTAAAATTGAACACTTGAACTAATTTTTAAAAATTAATAGTGAAATTACCATGGTTTAGGTTTAAAACATTATTTTCGTAAAGTTTAAGTGTTAAATTTGTTTTAAATTATAGTGAAAATTATGATTAATTTTTAAAAATGAGTTTAAGTTAATCTATATTTTTAAAAATTAATAGTGAAATTAACATGGTTTAGGTTTAAAACATTATTTTCTTAAAGTTTAGGTGTTAAATTTTAGTGAAAATTATTTTTAAGTTTTAAATGAGTTTAAGTGTTAAATCTATATTACGTGAAAAGTTGCCGAACTTCGAACACCAAAGCTTAGGACCAACTAAGGACAGGATGCCTAGGCGCGGTTAGTTTTTGACGTTTTTAAAATTTAACACTTGAACTAATTTTTAAAAATTAATAATAATTTTTAAAAATGAGTTTAAGTGTTAAATATATATTTTTAAAAATTAAAAGTGAAATTAACATGGATTAGGTTTAAAACATTATTTTCTTAAAGTTTAAGTGTTAAATTTTAGTGAAAATTATTATTAAGTTTTAAATGAGTTTAAGTGTTAAATCTATATTACGTGAAAAGTTGCCGAACTTCGAACACCAAAGCTTACGGACCAACTAAGGACACGAAGCCTAGACGCGGTTAGTTTTTGACGTTTTTAAAATTTAACACTTGAACTAATTTTTAAAAATTAATAGTGAAACTAACATGGTTTAGGTTTAAATATTATTTTCTTAAAGTTTAAGTGTTAAATTTTAGTGAAAATTATTATTAAGTTTTAAATGAGGTTAAGTGTTAAATCTATATTACGTGAAAAGTAGCCGAGCTTCGAACACCAAAGCTTACGGACCAACTAAGGACAGTATGCCTAGGCGCGGTTAGTTTTCAACGTATTTAAAATTTAACACTTGAACTAATTTTTAAAAATTAATAGTGAAATTAACATGGTTTAGGTTTAAAAAATTATTTTTAAAAGTTTAAGTGTTAAATTTATTTTAAATTTTAGTGAAAATTATTATTAAGTTTTAAATGAGCTTAAGTGTTAAATCTATATTAAGTGAAAAATTGCCGAACTTCGAACACCAAAGCTTACGGACCAACTAAGGACAAGATGCTTAGGCGCGGTTAGTTTTCGACGTCTTTAAAATTTAACACTTGAATTAATTTTTAAAAGTTAGTGAAATTAACATGGTTTAGGTTTAAAACATTATTTTCTTAAAGTTTAAGTGTTAAATTTTAGTGAAAATTATTATTAAGTTTTAAATGAGTTTAAGTGTTAAATCTATATTACGTGAAAAGTTGCCGAACTTCGAACACCAAAGCTTACGGACAAACTAAGGACAGGATGCCTAGGCGCGGTTTGTTTTCGACGTTTTTAAAATTTAACACTTGAACTAATTTTAAAAAATTAATAGTAAAATTAACATAGTTTTGGTTTAAGTGTTTAAGTGTTTTCTTAAAGTTTAAACCTTTATACTTATTTTAGTTTTCTTAAAGTTTAAACTTATTTTCTTAAAGTTTAAGTGTTTTATCTAAAATATCTAAAAATTTAACACTTAAACTAATTTTTAAAAATTAATAGTAAAATTAACATAGTTTTGGTTTAAGTGTTTCAGTGTTTTCTTAAAGTTTAAACCTTTTTTACTTATTTTAGTTTTCTTTAAATTCAAGTGTTTTATCTAAAATATCTAAAAATTTAACACTTGAACTAATTTTTAAAAATTAATAGTAAAATTAACATAGTTTTGGTTTAAGTGTTTAAGTGTTTAGTGTTTAAGTGTTTTTTTTAAGTTTAAACCTTTATACTTATTTTAGTTTTCTTAAAGTTTAAACTTATTTTCTTAAAGTTTAAGTGTTTTATCTAAAATATCTAAAAATTTCACACTTGAACTAATTTTTAAAAATTAATAGTAAAATTAACATAGTTTTGGTTTAAGTGTTTAGGTGTCTTCTTAAAGTTTAAACTTTTATACTTATTTTAGCTTAAAGTTTTCTTAAAGTTTAAACTTATTCTCTTAAAGGTTAAGTGTTTTATCTAAAATATCTAAAAATTTAACACCTGAACTAATTTTTAAAAATTAATAGTAAAATTAACATAGTTTTGGTTTAAGTGTTTAAGTGTTTTCTTAAAGTTTAAACCTTTATACTTATTTTAGCTTAAAGTTTTCTTAAAGTTTAAACTTATTTTCTTAAAGTTTAAGTGTTTTATCTAAAATATCTAAAAATTTAACACTTGAACTAATTTTTAAAAATTAATAGTAAAATTAACATAGTTTTGGTTTAAGTGTTTAGGTGTCTTCTTAAAGTTTAAACTTTTATACTTATTTTAGCTTAAAGTTTTCTTAAAGTTTAAACTTATTCTCTTAAAGGTTAAGTGTTTTATCTAAAATATCTAAAAATTTAACACCTGAACTAATTTTTAAAAATTAATAGTAAAATTAACATAGTTTTGGTTTAAGTGTTTAAGTGTTTAAGTGTTTTCTTAAAGTTTAAACCTTTATACTTATTTTAGTTTTCTTAAAGTTTAAGTGTTTTATCTAAAATATCTAAAAATTTAACACGTGAACTAATTTTAAAAAATTAATAGTAAAATTAACATAGTTTTGGTTTAAGTGTTTAAGTGTTTTTTTAAAGTTTAAACCTTTATACTTATTTTAGTTTTCTTAAAGTTTAAACTTATTTTCTTAAAGTTTAAGTGTTTTATCTAAAATATCTAAAAATTTAAGACTTGAACTAATTTTTAAAAATTAACAGTAAAATTAACTTTGTTTTGGTTTAAGTGTTTAAGTGTTTTCTTAAAGTTTAAACCTTTATACTTATTTTAGCTTAAAGTTTTCTTATATTTTAAACTTATTTTCTTAAAGTTTAAGTGTTTTATCTAAAATATCTAAAAATTTAACACTTGAACTAATTTTTAAAAATTAATAGTAAAATTAACATAGTTTTGGTTTAAGTGTTTTTTTTAAAGTTTAAACATTTATACTTATTTTAGTTTTCTTAAAGTTTAAACTTATTTTCTTAAAGTTTAAGTGTTTTATCTAAAATATCTAAATATTTAACACTTGAACTAATTTTAAAAAATTAATAGTAAAATTAACATAGTTTTGGTTTAAGTGTTTAAGTGTTTAAGTGTTTTCTTAAAGTTTAAACCTTTATACTTATTTTAGTTTTTTTAAAGGTTTCTTAAAATTTAAACTTATTTTCTTAAAGTTTAAGTGTTTTATCTAAAATATCTAAAAATTTAAGACTTGAACTAATTTTTAAAAATTAATAGTAAAATTAACATAGTTTTGATTTAAGTGTTTAAGTGTTTAAGTGTTTTCTTAAAGTTTAAACCTTTATACTTATATTAGTTTTCTTAAAGTTTTAAGTGTTAAATTTGTTTTAGAATTTAGTAAAAATCATTATAAACTTTTAAAAATGAGTTTTAGTGTTAAATTTATATTACATGAAAACATGCCGAACTTCGAACACCAAAGCTTACGGACCAACTAAGGACAGGATGCCTAGGCGCGGTTAGTTTTCTACGTTTTCAAATTTAACACTTGAACTAATTTTTAAAAATTAATAGTAAAATTAACATAGTTTTTGTTTAAGTGTAAGTGTTTTCTTAAAGTTTAAACCTTTATACTTATTTTAATTTTCTTAAAGTTTAAACTTATTTTTAAAATATTTGAAAAACCTTTATAATTAATTTTAAATCAGAAAAATCAGAAAGTCAAAGACATTAAAAAAAAAATTTTAAAACGTTTAGTGAAACTGAAACTGTTTGTCTTTTAAATAAAATTCTGTAACGGGTGATGATCTAGTTTAGTTTTAAATCAGAAGTGAAAACCCTAAAATCTTTTTTTTTTTTTGAAATCAAAATCATTATATTTTTATTTATTACAAACAAAAAAAAGAGAAAAAAGGTAAGAAAGTACCTGGAGATATCCTCAGGCGGCTTGTGGTTGTTCTGAAATTTGACATATCACCAATTCTCTTCAATATCCTCTTTGTTCCTCGTAGTCTCCGGTGAAAGCGGCTCGGTGGCTAGGTCATAATCCGGCGAACTGAAATCGATCTTGATTTAGAGAGAAGACGACAGAGGATTGATGGAGATCATCATTCAATATCAATGAAACGATGTATATGCAGAGATCATCATCGGATTTTACGTCATCAATGTCTACTTGGTATCATCATCATCCTTGAGAGACTGCGGATTTTACTTCATCAACGTCTACTTGAGATCATCATCATCGGAATTAACAGTCTCTGTATAAAGACTTCGCTCGAGAAGAAGAAGAAGCGAGAAATAGAAAGTTTTGATTTTTTTCTGTCAAGGAAGAATTAGAAGAAGCGTTAAGAGAATGCGTGAGAGAGAGAGAGAGTGTTTACAAGCAAAGAGGTTTAAAAGAAAAAGGAAATTCACAGAGTCTCTGTATTAAGACTTTCGCTCGAGAAGAAGAAGAAGAAGAAGAAGCTTTGATTTCTCTCACAGGGAAGAATAAGAATTAGCGTTGAGAGATTTATTTATAAGTAAAAGAGGTCCAAAAAGAAAAGGAAACTGATAATCACAACTAACGGTCACATAAAGATTTCGTAATCACAATTAACGGTCACATAAAGATTTCCTTTTTCTGTAATTTCCCTTCTTTTTTTTTTCTTTTTTTTCTGTGAGAGAATGTTATGAGTTAAATTAAGGTGAAGATCTCTCTGATGGTGCTTATAATATGCACGAAAGAGGTAACTATATAAAGAGTAAGAATACATCAAAACACATGACATTTTAGAAATAAAAAGGCATAATCAGTTTCAAAGACTTGAGAACCAAAGTAGGAGTAGTATCTGCACAAAATTACGTTTAGAATCAATAATAAACAACAAATACATAGTCAACCGCCGGTACAACACTTAAAAAGAAGTTCTCTTAATCCTTGCAAGAGGTCAAAGGATCCATCTTTGGACCTGCTATCCTACAGCTCGTTCAACTCTCAGTGCAGAACAACATGAAAGAAGAAGAAGCAAGCTTTGTCTTCTTTGAAGCCTCTTCTATCTCTGGAATTCTCCAAGCAAGCTTTTAAATTGTGTTCCATTACTTTGTGGGTTGTTGCAGCCAATGTTGGCTCCTCCTAATGCAGAACCAGTTTATGGAGCAGATTCTGAGAACTTGATTCATACAACAGACATCCCTGGTCGATGTTTCGAGAGAGAAGCGGCATGGTTATGATCACAACTAGAAAGCAGGAGCCATGAATGTTTTGGTTAGAACCAGTCATCCTCAATTTTGATTGTGACCACTACATCTACAACTCTGTGGCTTTGAGGTGGCAATAGAATCTGCTATGTTCCGTTGAAGATGCCTTTTTAACTTAACCTTTTATTGGCTTATTCAATGAATCAACTCAAAAGTTTCCACAAATCCTTAAGTAAAAAAAAATGAAGGTTAAATGACTCATCAGCCTCTTTTTCTCTTGGTTTGGCTATACAGTAATATTGTTCTTGTTGTATATGTTCCCATTTGTATGGAAGATCATGTCCGGTTAACCAGGAGTTTCTAGATATCCAATATCCGATTTGATTCCGGTTTTCTAGTACCATGATCATCCGGAACATTGACTTAAACAGGAGTTTGGTCTGGGCTGCTCAACGAATGGTACTTGATTCCACATTGACCAAGACTTGTAATCACCTCAAAGTCTCCAGCTTTAGTAGACCCATCTTGACTCAATACCTGTCTTCTCAGTTCAGCACAAGCACAATACTCTACGTCATACACATCTACGCCTTTAAAGGTTGCAAATGTAGTCCTTACTCCTTCCCCTGCATTTTCCCAACAAAGAGACATTTGAATACGAATTTGATAGATAAAAGGGACTTACTATTCATAGACACTTTGCTTTAATGAAACTTTAGAAAAACAATGTTATTTCCAAAGAAACAAAGCAGAAAGAATATGTACAAAGATCAACAAGCCTTAAGAACATAATGTTTTAGTTTACCGTGAGTGACTAAGAGCAAGTTCTCTGAAGGATACTTATCAGCAAGAGTCTTAATCAAATTAAGAAATCTATCTGTGCAACCTTCCACAGTCTCTTCCCATTGTGGCATCTAAACAAACCCAACAATAGATAATTTTATACTCAAATTGCTTCCAGGATTTTAGAAGATAGACAGCAACAGAACAGGTCTTAAAGCTCACCTCTTTATAAACAGGATCCACATTATGATCAACCATTCCATCAGGAAACATAGCTTCAAGATCTGAAATCATGAAATCAAATTTCCCACCTTTGGGAGCTATCTCAGGCTTGATAGAGATTGAATTCAGCATCTCACTCAAGCCAAATTCAATAGAAACCTGAGAAGCATACAAGAATCAACCTTAAAATGACTTTATATCACGCAAACTTTACAATGATTATCTAGATTTTAGCTCAACAGTGATTCTTAAACTAAAATTGAATCAACAGAGATTCACATTCACAGATTCCATGGAGACCAAATGATTTCAAACTTAAGATAGTATCTGTAAAAACGACGGGGAATTATTTGACCTTGAGCTTAGATTTATCGATGGAAGTGACGTCTTTAGACGACGTAGCGTTAGGATCGAAATCGACGGCGGAGAGAGCAGCGATGACTTCGGAAGCAGTCTGGATACATCGAATAAAAGGGGAGACGAAGACACGGTGAATCGGAAATTGGATCTGAGATCGAATCCGTTGACCAGTTCGAAACGCCCGAACCATACCGTCTTGAACGAGAGGAGGATCCCAAGGTCTCGCAGCTGTATCGAGCCAGAGAGGATCGATTTGGTCAATGCGATCACCGTGACGCATCATCAAGATATTTTGGTTTCCATCAGGATTTGATTTAGCATTCTCCATTGTTGCTCTGATGGTTGCTGCTGGTACTCTGACCTTCGAGAGTACGTTGGAAGTGATTGTATACATGGCGATTTTGATTTTTTTTTTGTTTTTCCTCTCTCTCTTATGTTATGAAAACAATTTTTTCTAGTTTTTTCCTTTCAATATCATCGTAATGGGCCTAATGGGCCATATCGTAATGGGCAAAACCGGCTAAACCGGAGATTGGCTTATAAAAGGATCATGGATTGGGATTTTTGTGGTCCTTGAACGATACTCCATGACTAATAACCACCTTTAGCTTATGTTACTTATTTTTGTAAAATTTGTGGAAGAAAAAGAACATAACTGAACTATAATTCTTATTTTTTTATTATTGAAGGAAACCATTAAACCAGATATTCACACACAAACCGTTTCAACCGGAGATTGGCTTACAAGTACATGATCATGGACTGGGATTTTGGTGTACTTATAAGATACTCCATGACTAGTAACCACCTCAAATTTACCAAACCCATCACCATTCAAAATCTGCCTTCTCATTTCAACACTACCACAATAATCTACCACGTACTTAGTTGCGTCTTTGAAGTAGTTGTAAAATGCAACACTTACTGCTCCCCCTGCAATTACCCACCCAAAAAAAAAAAACGAACTTCAAGATTAGAAAAACTTCAATTTTGGTTGAAAAACTAAAAAAGCCATTACTGTTATGCTTACAATGAGTGACGAAGAGCAAGTTCTCAGAAGGATACTTCTCCGCAAGACTCTTCACTGTCTTATAATATCGATCCTCGAAGGCTTGTGCAGATTCTCCCCATTCTGGCACCTAAACAGAACCAACAAGGAATCGAGAAATGAAGTCTAGATATAGTCACACAAAACAAAATATAAAGAAATATAAACACGATATTTTTTCATATAGAGCACCTCTTTATAAATCATATCCACATTAGAATCCACTGTTCCTTCAGGAAACATAGCTTCAAGATCTGAAATCTTGAAATCAAATTTTCCATCTTTGGGAGCAACTTCACTCTTAATAAAGATTGGGTTCGGTATCTCTGACAATCCAAATTCAATAGCTACCTGAAGCAGACGAGACAAGGCATAAGCATTAAACATCTCAAATGCTTCAATCAAAATGATCAACATGGTTATAAGAACAACATAACAGAATTTTGCTTAGAAAATCAGTATATCTTCGAGTCCAAAATATATGAGTATTTTTTATAACGTATTCACGCTTCTGAATTTAAATCTAGATTATGACACGGACAAAAACACTAGCATAAACCACTAGACTACAAACTCTGGTCTGATTTCAACACTAGCAATATTCTGACTGACCTTGATCTTAGTATTGTCGATGGAAAGGACGTCTCTAGACGACACAGCATTAGGATCAAAATCGACGGCTGAGAGAGCGGCAACGACTTCAGAAGCGGTCTGGATGCAGCGGAGGAAAGGGGAGACGAATACACGGTGAATCGGAAACCCAAGCTGAGACCGGATTCTCTGACCATTTCTAAAGGCCCGATCCTTACCGTCCTGAGCAAGCGGTGGATCCCACGGTCTCGCAGCTGTTGAAGTCCAAAGTGGCTCGAAATTGTCGAGTCGATCACCATGACGCATCACGATGACATTTTGGTAGCCATGGATGTTTGATTTAGCCGACTCTGTGTGGTCTTTGCCAGTAGAAGCGGGAGGTATTTATACATATATGCAAGGAGATTTATGTTCTGTTCTTTTGACTGCAAACTTTTTAAGGAAGTAAAAAAGGCATTTTTTTCCACACTAGGAAATTGCGAGGAAGCTTATCACACAAGAAAGTTACAAAAATTCCTTTAAAACACGACTCATTGATATTATTACTACGAAGTTTACATCTATATAATCCAACATGATAAGAAACCACTAGGCATCATTATCCGATGTAATAAATACAAAAACGTCAATTGAACTGCTATCTAACAGCTAATGGGATAATATTTACCAAAGTTTAACTAATAATTTTGTTGTTAGATGTTTAACAATTTAAAGATATTTAGGTAAATGGTTCATATTTTGGATAAAATTATTTTGATAAATGGAAATTCATTGGATGAAATTATCGTTGTTTTCTCTTTACTAAATCACTTTATAATAAATAGACGACTCTCTTCTTCTTTTTTCTTTTAGGTCAACTAGAACAAATCTCTTTCAACTATATGTAATTAATGCATAATAGAAGGACCAATATTTAAAATCTACTAATGTAACTAATGTAATTAATGCGACATGCTAATAAGTAGTCCAAAATACGAAATGTATAGACTATATAGAGGTCCAAATTTGTTATTAATCAAATTTTTGGTTTTGCTGCATGAAGAGTTGGATAAACCAAGGACAAAGCGAGTGGAGGTGATGAATTGATGATGAATAGAGTGACAAAACCAATCTTGTGGTCCTTCTATGAAGTATAAATAAATATTGCTCGATTATTAAATTGTTAAAAGTCCAGATTTTATTCTTTAATTTACTGGATCCGAGTTTGAACTTTGAACTTGGAAGAGGGGTTAATTAACAATATTGCAGTAAGTGATACTCCCTCCGTTTTCGAATAGTTGTCGTTTTAGAGTATTTTTTTGTTTTAAATTAGTTGTCGTTTTAAGGTAATAATGTAACTTATGCCAATAACTACCCAAATTACCCTCATTTAATCAAACACAAATTATTTGTAAATAATTACTTGTCATTTTTATGAGGTTAATATAGTCATTGTATACCTTTTCTTAATTTGTCTAAATACAGTTAAAACGACAACTTTTAAAAAACAGAGGGAGTATATGTCTGGCTTTCTGTTACATGTTTGACCAAAACCAAATTATCCGGCTTTTGCTCTAATTTATTAACGAAAATAGATGAATTTAGTTTGCACAAAAAAAAAATAATAAATAGATGAATTTAGTAATGAAATAAATAAATTATGTTGATAATTCTGATTTTATTTTCCACCTTTACAATAATAAGTCAGTCTATCCCACTAATCTTATAACAAAAAGTGAATGAATAAACAGAAAAAAATAAAGGCCGGATCAACACATCAGTGGTAACAAATAAGACGACTGGATCAGAAAACTACTTTTATTCACATTTTATGCTGCCGCCAGTTAGGACCGAATCTGAAGTTGAAGTCGAAGTTGGAAGTTGAAATCAGCTCTTGAAACCGACGAGACAGTATTCACTAGTCCAGCAATGAAGCCAAAACTTGAAGAAACGAATCATTCAGCAGTTCTGCATCATCACAGTACAGATAGAGAGAGTAAGAAGGTGAAAGTGAAGGTTTATACAAAGTGAGTCCATTTATCTAAGTCTAGACCTCGAAATCATAGCAACATCAGAGTTCAGACCGCAATACTCTAAAAACCCGCACTCTCCACCAAATCAGGATTTTAAAATACAAGGTTTAGACCCAATTCACTAACATTGAAGATAGGAAGTTTATTCTTAACTATCTGAAATCTAAGACACCAAATAGTAGCCACATCACATATCGTCCAAGCAAGCAAATCTAAAACTCTTCTTCAGGGAAATCAATTTCACACTTGCACTCATGAACTTACAGTATTGTTGCATGCAAAAAAACAATAAGGATCACCAAGGAGAAAGTCTGAGTCAAAATGACAAACAACATTGAATCACTACCTTTTATACCTCAATCACTGGAAGAAGCTTCTTCGACGCCCCTATCTGATTTCAGTCCAAGCCAATTCAACAAGATTAACTTCACATCATTCTCATTCAATCCTACAAGATTCACAAAATCTTACATTATTTCTGTCTATTTCCTATGCAACAGTAAACAGGAAAAAGAAGCCAATCGGATTCATCAAAAATGTTATACCTTTCAAGCATGTTCTGAGACCTTGTAAGCGTCTGAAGAAACGTTACCCATCCACAAACCAGGGAAAAGAACCTGAAAAAACGATCATACAATTCTTGTTAGGTCAGGTTTGAGTAAAAAGGAAGGATTCTGATTCATGAGAAGAAATGTGAAAATCTTACATCGAGCTGCTTCTGCACGTTCTTAGCTCTCTTCTTTGGTCTTCTACTAGGTTTTGATCCAGTCAACGCGTAGATATCCTCATCTATCTCCAACTTTGAGAGCGAAATCATTAACCTCGGTTTCTTCTCCTTTCTTTCCGTCGTCGCCATCTTAGCATCTACACCGTTCCTGGATCGAATTGACTCTGTTCTAACCGTTCCCAGAGATTTGTTCTCCGGTAAAGCACCGTTACAGCTCTTCAATATCCCACCGCCGTGTCCAATTGAACGCTTCTTCGTCGGCGGTGGTCTCCTCGGCCTCAGATTCCAAGTCTTCGGACCAAACTCGTCTGCTTCCTGACCACCACCATCGGAGATCCGTTCACCTTCAGCATCGATCGCCGGACCAGCTGAATCATCAGTCACTTGGACAGCGGCGGCGACGACGGAGTTGGCAATATCAGCTGTTTCTTCGTTGTTCTTCGTGCGGATCCGTATAAAGATCTTCGATCTACCGTCCGGCGTCGTTGACTTCGTCGCGGATCGATCTGCGGCGGAATCGCTAACACCAGCCGCGTTGTTTCCCTTCTTTTTCTCCGGTCTCAATTCAAACGAAGAACCTGAAGCTTCGTTCACCTCCTCAATCACCAGATTCCCTTTCCCATGATTAGCTTCACGAAGTGGAGATCTACTCGATGCTTTGCGGAGCCGATGTGTGTTGGCGTGATTCATAGCCCATCTGAGATCAGACAAAGGGAAGTTATGAAGCGGATGGGATTTCACCGGAGAAGAAGAAGCTGCTGCAATATGTTGCTGCCGTCTAGAAGTTTCACTCCCGTTCACCACCGACGGCGGCTGTGGCGGCGGCGGTGCATCAGAACCATGGGTCGGTGGAGGAAACGCCATGGATTGACGGAACATCTATAATTCAAACGATCGAAGAAAGTGAGAAAACCCTAATGGAAATCAATAGAGAATTCAAAAACACAGAGCCAATGCAGAGAGAGAGAGAAAGAGATGAGAGAGAAGGACGAGCGGCAGTTATGTTATTGCTGATGGAAACCCCAAACCAAAGTGTTAACAAAAAAAGATAGAAACATAGGCAATGACTATATTACCCTTCCTATATCGTCGGATTTACAGCCGCTGCCACACTGAGCACAAGGGGCTCCAAACGTAAGACGCACGTGACTTGCACGCACCCGTTTGCTTGCTTATCAAGACTTTAAAACTGAAATGTGTAGTCAAACTATCCGGATGTACTGTATATAACAAAAGCAGCTCGATTATTTTCACTGGCACGTGTGCGATTTGGTCCCACGTTTGCAATCAAGTCATTTCCACGTTGACAGGGAGCCCAATTACCAACCAATTGCAATAAGTTAGTTGCCTGGTAAAAAAGAAGTAAAAATACAAAAGGTGTGTGTAATAATTCTCTCACTTTCATAATCTACGAAGAGGCCCAAAAACGGAATCCACCGAGTGGTACAGACTAGTTATTACCACATCTAATCGGTAACCACAAATTATCCAAGTGCCCATCATTTCTACATCCCACAAACAAACAAACGCCTCATCTGCAATCTCCACACGCAGTTGTTACCATTTGGAGATTCTGTAACGTTTTTGAGTTGAGGCAATAAGGTTCTTTGTGTTCTGTTCAGGTCCAGAAATCTGAGAAACCTGAAGGGCACATTGCTCAGCAAGATCCAAAGAGTCTTTTTATTCAGTTTAGGATTACAGTGGCTCTGGTTTTTCTGTTGGCGAAGCGTTCAAACCAATGTTTCGGGATTGCTGGATGAATCCCATATAGACGAGCTATGAAGGCCTTTTCGCTCGTAGCTACAATGCTTGCGATTGAATAGCTTTTCTCGCTCAACCCTTTCTCCACAAGCCACTTATGGAATCTAAACCTTGGATTGATTCTGTTCTCCAGGTCAAAACATAGATAAGCTGGGAAAACATCTAGGTAGGCCAAAGAATCTCCCATCTCGCCACAGAGGAACCTTAGCTTATCTTGTATGCTATGCGGTTTCTGGTTTAAGATCTTTGGTGCTGATCTTATCAACATGCATATCTTTGAGAAAATGATGCCACTGTTTAGTAAGATTTGGAATCGGTCTTGTAGTTCTACGGCCGTACCATGGACATGTTGTAGTACCTTCATAGTCATGCCGTTTTCGCCAAACCCTATTTCATGAAGGAAATCCAGTTTTTGAATATTGTGTGTTTTGGTTCTTAAGTTTTGAAGCTCCTCCAAGCCTTCTTGATACTCTCTGTCAAAGTCTTCATCAGGATCCATAACCGAATAGCTAGCGAGTAAATGATGGTTCCCATTCTTCAATATATCAAAGATCCTCTCATGTAAATCTATTGCTCTAAGCACATAAGGCAGATTCTTCAATTTGTTTCTACCCAAAACATACGGGTACTTCTGAGCAACAGCATCCACTTCATCCTGGCTCAAGCCAAAATGCTTAAGCATTCCTGTAACAGAGATCACAGGTTTCTCTAGATCAAAATTCATAATAGCGGGATTTCGAAGAATCAAAAGAGCAACATCTTCTTTCCTAACACCAAACCTACAAAAATATTCCGCCTTTTTCACCAGAGCTTCTTCAGAATATTCCAGAAAAAGTGATTTATTTCTACCCATCAACTCCCACATCTCTTCATTCTCACAACCCAAATCGTAAAAGACCCTAATTTTCCTACTAACGGCGAGCCAAGAATCCACATTTTCTTCACAAAGATGCTGTGAATCAATTTCATCAAAAAGTCTCTTCAGCTTAACAAACAAACAACGTATCTCCGAACCCAGTTCACCACCTCCACACAGAGCACGAGGAATCGCTAAACAAGTACCAATCACCGAGACTGTGCTGAATCCTAAATCTTTAAACTTAAGCAGCCTGGATTCAATCTCTACAGGACTCTGCACAAAAACCAACCTTTCCTCTTTATACAACTTACCAAGCTTGTTCCAAGGAAACCCAAATCCAGATAATGCACAAGCTGCATCCAACACAGTCCGATCCTCAGAGAAGAAGAATTTCTTCTCAGGCAAAAACTCACTAACCTCGCTGTAATCAATGCCAATGCTCTCGAAGAAAAACTCGAATTCGTTAATAGGATGGTAACTGAGATGCTTCCGAAGCGATTTGGAGAAGGTAGGAACAGAGAAATCGAGTTTCAGGATGAGGTTTCGAATCGAAACCGAGGCGTTTGAGGCAATTTGTTCTGCGTGAGTGTAGGAGAGAGACCTGGTGGTGTGGAGATAGTCTGTAATGGCTTGCTGGGCTTTTCCGATGGCTAGAGACTTGTACTTGGACGGTACTCTTCTATGTTTCGCCGCCACCGTACTGAAATTATGAGAAATCGATGCGAATTTCAATCTAACCATGAACATGGTCGAATTTGGGGGATTAGGGTTTTTCTCCACCGGCGGGTCTTTCTCTTCCCGTGCCGTCTATACCGTTAAGACAAATGACTTAGAGGACCTCGGAACTTATTAGAAATTACTCTTTTGCCATTTATAGCGAATCGGATCAAATAAGAAATTGAACCGGACCATGAGAACCGTGGAGAAATGTACCGGTTAAGCCGAGATTCCACCGATTGCTTGCATAAATGTTGCCAATTTGTATGCGGAAACCTGGTTATGGTTTAGTACCAAAACTCAATGCAATCATCATCCACATTCTTTTGGTTCCGCTTATTGATGGAGTGTTTATTCTCAGGGTTTAAGATACTTTGAAACCGGTGTTGACCATTGATGGGAAAATCAACTTGGTTAGTCTTAACTATAATTTTCCTACTACAATCTGTTGAAACACTTCTTAATCATGTTTAGATTTGGTATCTTCCTTTTGTTTTGTCTCAAAAGGTTGGAGAAATACATAGAGACTATTGGTACGTACAATTGCCTTGCTTTCTCTGATGAAGGTCGTCAGTTCACTATCTCTAAAGCATGAAACATGGTTTCAAGTGATTCATTGATATTGGGTGCCGTTTCTCCAATTTTGTTTGCACAAGTTTCAGCAGGTAAAAACCATTCGAACCTGTTGCCAAACTCCACAAGATTCTTAAGTTTAGGTTAGTAGCATCAAATGCTAAATGCAGCATAGCTTATACATATTATTAAGGCCGCATTATTAATCAAACATCTTCTGCAATTTGAGTCTTAATTATGTCTATCACAAACTTCTTTCATAACTTGTGTAGCAGAAGCCCTATCTATATAAAAAAAAAAGAGTAGACTAAAGAAAAATGTCGTCAAGTATTGAAATTTTGCTAAAATATACTATCACTAATAGCATGCATAGATTTATTATCTAGCTTAAACCTCTAAAATTGATGGGAATGAAAGGGACAAACCCACAAATAATTTGGAGGTTTTATTTAGAGAAGAAAGATGAAACAAACAAACAACAAATCATGTTTTTATACACAAACCCAAAGCCTTTTTAACAGAAAACAATTACAGTACTTGTGACCTTCTGCTAGCTACACATGTCATTAGAATCAGCATCAGTCTTGGAACGTTTCGCATCATATGATCAGCTTTCCTCTTCACTATCAGTATCAGTTACATATGGGCCAAGAGGCTCTCCTCCATCAAATAGGGTTTCCCAGAGCCATACATCGCTTGCAATAGCAAGTGCTACGTCGTAGTCATCATGCTCATCATGCTGTGCCAAAAGAATATTGTAACCTTTCACTTTCATAGCTTCAAGAGCCCTGACCAACAACGGGTCTTCTGGGATGCTTTTTGAAACTACTATCAAATGTTTTGGTGTTCCACTAGGACCACTACCATAGTCGTCACGATTTACCCTTCCAAACAAAACAATATCCTCTATCATACTCATAACTCTGGAATGTTTATCCCCTGGATTTAGATGACAGATATATAAGTTAAGAAATGTTTGAAAAGAGAGTTAGTTAAGATCATGAGGTACGTTTAAGAAAAGGAACTCACCTACGTGGCGGACAAGGATTCCGGCATGGATAAACTCATGCCAGAATGCTGGCGGCGATTCATTTTTCGTATCACTATAAACGTAGATTGTCACCGAATCATTAAGATAACCCGCATCCCTAAGAGCTGATTTGATATTCTCAACAAACGAACAAAGACAGCGACCATTAGGGATCGGGAAATCCTCCAAGTCCCAGAGTAAGGCTGTTATAGCTTCATCTGTCAAGTGTTTACGAAACGGAGAAAACAAAATTAGATGGTGAATATAATTTGATTAAAATTTACCATGGTAGATTGACGATAATTAGATCCGCTAGTTTTAGCATGACAAATCGATCTAAATCTGTATTGAGATTTAAAAGAAAAAAAAACGACAACTCCAAGAAAGAGAGAGAGAACTTACACGCCATGCATGAATTGTGTGACGGAGATATAGAGAAAATTAGGGTTTTATAGCTGTCCGTTTCTTTTTCAGCCGTTGGATCTCACCTAAAACTCGTTTCTACCCCTTCTTATACAACACATACACAGCCAAGTACCTGAGGGTAGTTTAGTAACTTAGTCGTAACTTAGTCAGTAAGATTAGACATCAAATTAGCCGTTTCATAAAAACCCTCACAGATGCTGCTAGAACAGGCAAAGGTCGAAAGCCATGACAAGCGATAGCGTATGTAAGTTCTCTATCTCTTTCTCCAAATTTGTTTTTTTTTTTTTTTATGTTATCCTCCATACTGAAGTAACGGATCTAATCGTATACTTGTCATCATAAATTGTAGTTATTTGTATTCACGATTTGATTGTTTCTCCTTTTCGTGTAAAGCCACAGATGATGCTCCTCCATCATACTCCGAGATTTTTGTCAGAGGTTGCGTGAGTAAGATCTTACCCCCTTGCTCGGAATTGTTTTGTCTAAATCTGGATTAGATTTCATAATAATTTGTGTACGCGTTCTCCATTTGACAGATGCTAAAACACAAATCTTCTGGGACATAGAGGATTTTCCGATACCTGATGGTCTCGATCCTGAATCTGTTTGTGAGAAAATCAAACAAGGTCTGGATTTTCGTGGTGACGTGTCAATCTCAGCTTATTATCAAGATAAAACCGTCCCGGAATTAGTACTGGATAAATACCGGGATGCCAGAATTACCCTCCATCCCCATGGTAAATATTCCTTTTAACTTAAACCATCTTTAACACCTTTTCTCTTTGAACCTAATTAAGCCTCCCTTGTGTTTCAGGGGGTAAAAGTACGAGATTGGATAATATGATTCTCGACATTCTTTTATGGACAATGGACAATCCTTCAGACTATTACCACCCAGTAAATTTGGTGGTAATCTCAAGAAACATATCGAAAGAAACACTGTTGAACAATGTTCTCCAATCTTGTACGTGTACAGAGTATAATGTTGTCGTAGTACTGCCTGATAACTTTTTATCACAAGGAATGCCTCCACTTTCTTGTGTAAACTCATCGTGGCTTTGGAAAAGCCTATTAGATGGAGGAGAGCCTATCGATCAAAGCCTTATAGATCCCCGAGTAGATCCACTAGAGCTTGTCGACTTAAGCCGAGATCCTACTTTTTATTGTGAGGTTTGTGACGGACCTAGGCCTACCGGGCTTCGCAGCTGATGGAGGGTTTGCCATTAATAAATCTCTTTTTCTGTCAAAAGGCTTTGGGTTTGGGTTTGTGTATGAACAAGGGACATATCTTTGTGTTCTTAATATCATATCTTATTTTAAGACAGTGATGTGTAACACATAAATAAAGTTTATGACAAAAAAGTTTTTTTATAAGTTATCATAGTTCCTACATATTTTGGTGTATAAATTTGATTGATATAAATTTTAGGGCTGAAATATTACTGTTGATTACTGTTGCTTTTAGTTGGAATGGGGCACTTTTCTAATTTTTAATTAGACTTAAGGTATTTGATACTAGTAATTTAAGTTATATGAAGAAAATAAAAAAAGAGTGTAGGGCACGTGCCCTAGTAACTCTTGTCCTCCGTCCGCCCCTGGCATGTGTTCGATTTTATTTCTTACCGTGAATTGAAAAAAATGGTTTTTGATTTTTAGTAAAACTTTATTTTAGTGGGCTGAAATAGGCCCAAATAAAATTCCTCGACATTAGTCAGGCACTTATCTTAAATCGAACAAGATTTGATTTGATGAAATCTTAGTGGCCACGACACGAGTGTAACCAGCTTTTTATCCTTTGTTTAGCAATCTGGTTTACTCAAAACCCAAAGGAGGAACTTTCTTCTATTAAAGGGTAGAGACGAGGTCACGTGCGAGTCACGCGGAGTACAGCTGTAAATATGTAAACACACACACACAAAGGCAAAAGGCAAAGCCATCATATTGAATGATTGAGGCTTTGATAAGCTCATGAGTGGATGATGGCCCAAGGGTATAAACGTAATTCCACAAGTAGCTAAGGAAAAGCAGAATCGCATCGCATCAAATGATTGGGAAAGAAATTGGGTGTCCGGTGAGGGAGGGACAACGAGCCACGCGCGAGAAGGTAGGCCCACGTGTCCTTTTCCTTTTTCTTGTTTCTGTGACACGTGGACGTTATGTCATGTGACTACCCACGTGATTACTCTGACATTTATACTACTACTACAAGATTTATTTATTTTTTAGCTTTTGATTAAAATCTTTTCCCCCTTAAACCCATGCTCTTTTACACACCTTCCTCACGTGGCCTTCACTCGCTCCTGTCCCTTTGCAATTTATCTAGTTTTTACTTTTTACCATAGAACCTTACATAGATTAGTCATTTATTTACATTCTACAATCATATTTTTGATAATCTCTTAGCACAAAATGAATATTGCTTCAAACATTTCCACGATTTTAAGGTGTGTGTTATCTATGTAGTAAAACTAATCATTACAAGAACAACGGTATAGTAAAGTTTGAGACAAGAGCAGCCACACATTTGATTTTAAAAGTTTATAGGATCTTCCTTTTTTTTCGTAAAAAGAATCTTAAAAGCTAAGATTTTCCCTCGATCCAGAATCAATAAGCGGAAGACTATTCCAAAAGACGACAATCTTTAAGTCATGTGTAAGTTCATGATGGTGTTTCAAGATTTTATTCACTTCATGGAATCACAATGTAAATTACAATATATAATTAAATTGTCCGTATGGTTCATTTTATACTAAGATCGACAATGTACAGTTAAAACAATTACAAATGTCATGTCGGATTTCAATATAAAATGAACCATACTGTGAAAAAACCATCCCAAAAATGAATTATGCTTGTGATCGTTTTGTTCATATAAGAGATGGTGATGCCGTGATGGTGGTGTAAGTTTAAATCTATTATGAAAGCGAAAGCAGAAAGTATAAATGAAAGAGCTTTAGCACATGGTTGGGCACGCACGTGGGACCATAGATTAACATCATGTCATAATATTTTTTTTTTATTTTATTTATTTTTTTTTTTTTTGCATAAAAAAAAAAATTTGGTTAACCTAATATATATAATATTTGATATATATATTAGGTTAATGCTCTACTATTTATGGACGTAAGTAATAAAATGATAAGCTAATTATTCTAAAACGATTCATTTTATATTAATCAAACGACCTCATTATTGGGTAAACATGATAGGTTTGTTGGTCGGTTGACATTGGATCCCCATATCCTATTTGATTCTTACCAAAGTCATGATGATATGACTTAACTTTCTTTGACACCTATCTCTCTAAAGTTTTTTGTTTCCTCTCTAAAAGTATCTTCTTATCAATTTTAAAAACTGAAGTACGATCTCAATTTAAAATATTTTGAAATGTCCAAAGAAGTGGATTATATGGTATGGACGTATGGTTAAAAAGAACTCTATATACAGAAGTAGCATGTTATATTTGAAAGAGATTAAGGCGTTGATTTGATTACAACTCACTTATAACAAGCATATGTTAATGATGTAAATTATATTTTTGATGTAAATTATATTTTTAATGCATGGTTTGGTGTTTGGAAAGTCTACACTTATTTAGTTAATTTGAAAAAACATGCAGCTGGCAAATAAAATTCACAAATGATGAAAGAATATAATATTGTTTATGGTCTTATACAACATAATGATTAGCACAAATGACAAAACTATCATCATATATAATCAATTGAAATCCACATTTTTCACATACACATATGATTAAATCCATTACTTCATTGAAAAGTCGACTAGTACAGATCTTGATATCCTTTGGATATATAATAGCTATCCCTTTGTACCACATTAAAACTTTAAACAACACTACAATTTTACTATAATAAGGCGTGGTGGTGTACACGGTGACGATAGAGCGCGTGAGAAATGTGTTCAAATGATTGTTGAGAAGTGGGATGTCTGGTCGTGGAGGAACAATATCACACCGCACGAGTGTGGTCACTGGGAACCACGTGTTGCCACGTCGACAAAATCTCACATGCTCATGCACGTGAACGTAGTGTGATGACCTCTATTTCTTCTTTCCCTTCCCATGGCCTCCCACTCCACCTCTTCTTGTTCTTAGATTTTTGCCTGTCATGCTCACTCGCTTTTTATATCCCAGATTCCTTTACTCGATTCATTTGTTTTTTTTGTTTATTAAATACCTCACAAACTTACATAAAAAAATAAGTCATCCATGTAGATCCACAATTACATCTATTATGTAACATAGAAGAACCATTTTCATTAGATAGGTCATAATGTCATTGTACAAATCTACGAAATCCATCGATCTATTCAAAGTTTTCTTTATGTTGATATATGGTTTAAGTGATTTATAGATATCAAGGTGGACCTACAAATTTTTTATTTTTATTAAATTGTATTCTGGTCATGCTTCTTTCAAGTAACAGGTCCAAAATCATAATTTTTTAATTTTTGTGTGTAACTGTAAACAAATATATTAATTCGTATCGTTTCATTAATAGGCGGTGCGCTATTACGTATGTGATGTCTGAAAATATCTGTGAAGACCCATGCTTGTTTAATTTATTGTATAAAACATGATCTCTCAACTAGTATGTGCGTATTAATAAAGAAATGAATCCAGCTTTTTATATTTGTCGAGGGCAACACGACTCTTTCTCACGTGAAAATAAAATGTACGAATACGAACGGAATACTAGATATACTAATTAAGAAAACCTTTTACCCAAAAAAAAGCAGTGAAAAAAGGAGCAAAGGATTCTTGACAACAAGAAAAAACGAACAAGGAATTTAATTACGTGGAAACGTGAAATGAAGCTCCTTTTAAGAAAAACAGTTTAACTATGTGAAAAAATGTTTAAACTATCTGGGAACAAAATTACAACTCCTAAGATTTTCGAGTATCATTTTTCTTAAAAGTATTCACATTTCAATTCATGTCTGTAAAAAGTTAAAAGGGTATAGATGTACGGCCCTGAGAGATCCTATTAAAGGAAATTTAAGTTTGATATAATAATTTCAAAGGTAATTTAGGTAATGCTCTCTGTAATATCTCTTTTTATTTTTTAAACATTCATAGAAAAAGAAGGAAAAATAGTAAAGAAATTTTCTTGTTTTCAGCTGGCAGCCCTTTTTATTAGTTTATGATGAGATGAATCTCTCTTATTCAATTTTCTTTGTTTTCAAAATGATAATTATATAAAGCAGGAGACACTAGTGAAAGGTCCTTTTCTCATCTCTTCTATAAAACCAAGAGAGCTAATTACGTAATGTGGATTTGGAAGTCACATGCTTAAAAAACAAAGATTTCTCGAGATCTGGACCGTTCAATTTCAGATCATACGGTTTATGACCTGACGTACATATATGCATAGTTTTATCCGTGCTTTTGTTTATGATTAATTTACTAGGCTTCTCGAGAAGTCATGTTTTTTTTTTTTTTGCGTTGCATAAGCGTGTTAATCATGAAAAAAAAAAAACTACTATAGTTTTGTCTTTCTATTCACGAATGGTTTTCTATGTTTTTTTAAGAATCTAAGTAACTGTGTTATTTAATGGATGACATAAATGAGTAAGATGGGTTATGTTAGATTGTTTCCTGTGTAAATGTAAAAACAAACATGTAATTAACACACGAGTAGTAACTAAGTTACGTTTAAAATTGAATAAATAAAGCTGACCTGTCTTGTCTATGTAACTGCCGAAAGTCTTGAAGAGACTGAAGGAAGTAATGATGGCAATATCAATAACATATGGAGTCATCATTAATTAAATAATTTAATTTAGCCATAAAAATCTGGCAACACCACTTGTCGTGCGTTTTTATTTATGTTTGACTGACAGATGAAATTAATGACAAGTTAATAATCTTTTGGTAAAACATTGGGAAAAAGGAACAATAAATGAAGGAGGGAGGAGGCATGGAATGGGAATGCATGTTGGATTCGCAGACAACTCAAAATCCATGCAGTGTTTAGGGCTTTTAGGTTCTCTGTAACCTATCTATACGACACCGTATCTCTGCCCCCCTCCCCTCCTCCTGATTCCATACCCATTTTGAGCCCACCGCCTTATTCTCCCCCACCTCTCACTCGCCCACTCGCGCGTATACCTTCAACCTTACCTATTACTATTCAACATTCTCATAATCACATTTTAACTCAAAAACATTAAAGAATATACTATTTTGATTGATAAAGAATGTTTTGTAAATTAAAGACTACTAAGCATTTGCACAAAATAAGACTACTAAGCAAGACATAATTTAGCTGATTTTGTTTTTCCTCAAAATAAAATTGTTGTCATTATAGAATGCCAATGATGAAACTGATAAACTTTTCCTATATATAATTTACGAGTGATGGTGAATTTGTGAGTGAAATTTTGTTTAAGGGTGTAACTCCCATATTAAAATGGGAAGTAAAGTACTATTATATGGTTTGATACACAAATTATGCTTTAGAAGTACTACTAATTCAAAGCAAAGCTGTAAAAAAGATTATTTTTGAGATACGTAGGACCCGAATGGTCAGAGAGAGAAGTAAAGATATGATGATAACAATAAGGCATGATATGATGATGATGTTCATAATGATAAATGATGATGATTTATTAATTATTATGATATGATAATCATTATTTTATCACCCTCACGAGCGCGTGGATTCTACCGTCTGGTCGCAGCTTTTTTTAATCCTCTCATCAGTCAACAGTCAACGAGCGAGAAAGCCGCTTTCGTAATGAAAGCCACATTACAAAAAAGCCAATTAAGCTTCTTGTGGGTTTTTGAAAAAGAGCTTTCTTTACATTTTCTTTACTTTGAAACTCGGGTAAATAAAAATCTCTACTCTATTATATTGTCAACTAATCTTATCCTCTAAAGTAGAAACTCAGCTTTTTTGTTTTTAATAAAGATAAAGAACTACTTTTATCTATTTTTAGTAAAAACCTCACATGAATGGATTTGGGTGAGTTTATTTTACATAGAAGAATCTAATAATATTTGAAAAAACGCTCATAGGTTATTTTGTAATTAAGAATAGTTACAACTTACAATATACAAAACGGAAAATGAGAGAGAAAGAACAAGAGACTTGGACTTTTTTTTTTCTTTAATAATTAATTAACCATGGTTGAAAAGGGATGTGAGGTGAAAGTAATAACTCCTGGTTTTAATTTTAACCATGGTTAAGTTGAATAAAGAGAGAAGGGAAGCAGGTTTTTATGCAGTATATATCATCATTGAGGTAACAGAGGTCTCTCTGACACAAGTCATCATTGAAACCCTAAGCCTCCCCACAACCCCATATCTCTTTGTCTGAATAAACTCTTTTGCATATATAAATATAAGCCATATCTTTGAAACTGTACTGCTGCACAAGTGTAGAGGCAGTGGCACAACATCTTTAAGAAGAAAGAGAGAGAGATAAGTCATTTATTCATTTTCTCGCCAAAAATTTTGAGAACTCAGACAGAATTTTTCTTTTTCTTCTTTCTTTCTTTTGGGTTTGAGAAAAATGGGTGAAAGAGATGATGGATTGGGGCTAAGTTTGAGCTTGAGTTTAGGTTTTAATCAAAAGGACCCGTCGTCGAGATTGAATCCAATGCCTCTGGCTTCTTATTCATCTTCATCACACATGCATATGCAGCAGAGCAATTATAGCCATCCTCAAAAGATTCAGAACACTTGGATTAACATGTTTCAATCTTCAGGTACCTCCTTTTACTAATCCAGATTCATATTTAAGATGATATGTTTATGCTTAGGTTTCTTTGTTATAGATCCGATATTTTTCTTACAATTTATCCCATTTTATAAAACTTTCTTGATGTTTATGTGATTTTAATCCTTTGGCGTGATAATGTAATAATTAAGATTCTGTTAACGTAACGTGCAGAGAGAAACACGGACATGAGATCGTTTCTCCGGGGAATAGACGTGAACAGAGCTCCATCGACGGTGGTTGTTGATGTGGAGGATGACGGCGCTGGAGTCTCGTCTCCGAACAGCACCGTATCAAGCGTGATGAGCGGGAAGAGGAGCGAGCGGGAGCTAATGGCTGCGGCAGCTGCAGCCGGAGGAGGAGGTAGAGTAGAAGATAACGAGATGGAGAGAGCTTCTTGCTCGCTCGGCGGTGGTAGCGACGATGAAGACGGTAGCGGGAACGGAGACGACGGTTCGAGGAAGAAACTGCGTTTGTCTAAAGAACAAGCTTTGGTTCTCGAAGAAACTTTTAAAGAACATAGCACACTCAATCCGGTCAGTGGCATTTCCGTAATTCTTTCTATGCCATTTTTTTTTGCTGTGTGATTTTCTTCACAAAGTTGACTTTTTTATGTTTCCATTGACTTATTTTTGGGGCGTCGAATGCAGAAGCAAAAGATGGCGTTGGCTAAGCAATTGAATCTGAGGACGAGGCAAGTGGAAGTGTGGTTCCAAAACCGAAGGGCAAGGTAGAAAATTTTACTTATTTTAAGGGTTACTTTCGTAAATTTCATGTAGTCTAGAAAACAAAACATAGTTATTGCTATGATGGTGATATGTATAATGGTCCATTTTATGACCCATAAGATTATCCTAAAGGATTGTAATGGGTCTCTCATGTCTTAATTAGGAGGTTTGGTTCGAGTTTTTCCGGTTTAATAATTAAAATCACCTATGTAAATCCGGTTTTTGGGTCAAATTTTGGTTTACGTTTTCAGTTTCCTGATTCAAGAACAATAACCGCCAGTTTGATAATAAGAATAAGCAATAATTTTCAAAACAAATGTAATTCGGGTTTTCTCCTTTTCCGGTTTAGTTAAACCACATATCGGATCCTAATGTTTTGGCTTATTAATGTGTGTGTTTATAGGACGAAGCTGAAGCAAACGGAAATAGACTGTGAATATCTTAAGAGATGTTGTGAGAATCTAACTGATGAGAATCGGAGATTGCAAAAGGAAGTGAGTGAGCTTAGGGCTTTGAAGCTTTCTCCACACTTATACATGCACATGAAACCTCCCACTACTCTCACTATGTGCCCTTCTTGCGAGCGAGTCGCTGTTACATCATCTTCGTCATCTGTGGCTCCTCCTGTGATGACTTCATCGTCTCCGATGGGACCGATGAGTCCGTGGGCTGCCATTCCTCTCCGGCAACGACCTGCTGCTGGTTCTCATTAGAGTTTAATTAATCTAAAGATAATTAGGTTTGGTGATTTGTTTTTATTATAATGTTAAAACGATCTTGGAAGTTCTTTTCAAGAGTTGGGTCCATGCTCTTCTTTCCTTTGTTTTATTCAGTTTCTATTTATAACTGAATCGCGAAAAATGGAAAAAATGTACTAATATTATTGTCGAATTATTAGTTTGGGGAAAGATTTGCGTTTATATTATTCTTTATTGTTGTTTTTGCATTTGCAGAAAAGTGGAATTGCTGAACTTACATTATATGTGTGTTTTTCACCAAATCCAGAGTTCGATTTTAAGGCCATCGAACCATGAAAACGAATGTTGCATAAACTAATATTAGCGAGCGTCAATTAGTAAATTTGTAATTGTTTAATTGGGGTTTTCTATCTTTTGCTTGGCACTTAAGAAAGGGATTTTGTAAAGATGATTATTAATTAGAAGATTAGTTAGAAGTATAAAGTAAAAAGAAGCAATGAGGGCGTTGTGATTGATAGAGCAAGCGTGTGTTGTTTGCACATGTAAAGTAAATGTTAGCCAATACGAATATCGAGATATGTACGTGACATAACATAGCATTTGGTCTGTATTTGGAGATTTTTGGGTCCACATAGACGAAGTCAGACCATTTAGAATCTCTTGCAGAACACTGAAGATACGATATTTTTTTCTTCCCTTATGTCAAAAGATCTCAACCGACAGAGAAAGAGAAAATGAGAGGTACGACGATGATATCTCGATGCTTCAGTTTTTGGCAGACGCAAAAAAAGAGATATAGAACAGAAACTAATAAATGGGCCTTTGAAGTTTGAAGGCATGCCTCTTCCCACATGTGGCTATAGAGTATATAGGCTTTAGGTGGACAGTTAACTCAAAATGAGTGTTAACCAATTTTGTATATAAGCCCTAGTTGCTTCTATACACTCCATACCAATCAAACTGAATCACAACCAAATTGAAGTGGAAACAATTTTTGAATTTATGTTTGATAACGAGATTTCAAATTAAAAACGTTAGAAAATAGTTCATGATATACTAGCGTTTGATGACAAATCCCAATAGTTACTTTAAACCCGATAATGCAGCCAAGAAACTGAATTTTGAACCAGAAAGTTAAACGGGATTGGTACGGTGAAACCGTGAAAGTCCCATACCAACCATTACTTCAAATTATGGAAAAAATGAAAAGAAATGTCGATTTAATGATTCTTATGTTGAAGCGATTGCAAAATAGTGGTGTCTCAAACTTGTGGAGGAGGATTAGTGCATCATGTGACTAGTGGACAACTATCGCTAAAACATCTCAGAAGCTTGCTTTGAATTGAAGTCTCTAAAATTGGAGATTCGATTTCAAATAGATCAAAATTTTTGGCGATGTTCTGTTCTAACCAAATTTTAGTAACATTTTTTTTTAAAAACCTCAAAACTAAACCAAACCAAACGAGAACACTTGTACTCTTCAACCTTTCCCACCAACAATGGACAGCCCAAACGTCGACGTTTAGGGCCTAACGATACACACTTACTCTTCAACCTTGCCCACCAACAATGGACAGCCGAAACGTCGACGTTTAGGGCCAAAATGATACGACAACGTTTATGAAGGGTTCAAACGATACGGCGTCGTATAGTCCAGGATTGAATAAAGCCAAGGTCAATTCCGTAAATCTCGGCAACGGACTTTTGTGATGAGCGGCTTCGTCTTTTGCTTTCTGCAGATAGTTTCCATTCTCACTCTTTCTCTCTCTCTCTCACAGACACAGAGCTTTATTATTATTATTAATGGTTAGATCTGTCTTTTACGTCGCTTCGAAGTCTTCTTTCTTCCCTTCTTCACATACCCAACGAATCCACTCTAATCCCTAATTATCCAATTCCAATCGAGAGATCTCTATTTCGACAATGGCGTCTCCCAATCCCTACTCCAAGCGTCGCTCTCCGCCTAATGTCGTAGTACCTCCTCCGTCTACACAGCCTCGGTCTAAATCCACCGGAGGAGGATTTTTCTGTAAGTCTGTTCTATTTGCTCTCTTTCTCCTCGCCCTGCCGTTGTTCCCATCTCAAGCTCCTGATTTCGTCGGTGAGACTGTGTTCACTAAGTTCTGGGAACTGATTCATCTCCTATTCGTCGGCATTGCTGTTGCTTATGGTTTGTTTAGCCGTAGGAATGTTGAATCCGGTGTTGATTCAAGGATGAATCGTGTAGATGAGTCTTCTTTGTCTTATGTATCTAGGATCTTTCAGGTTTCTTCTGTTTTTGACGAAGAGTTTGATGATAATTCTTGTGAGTTTGTTGATGTGAGGAGTGAGAGTGACAGTGTGAGTGCTCGAGCTTCTGTTGTGGGGAAATCTGAGTCGTTTGTTGCTGATAGGGGCGAATTGGAAGAATCGTCTGAATTTGGTGAAACTAATGAAGTCCGAGCTTGGAATTCGCAGTATTTTCAGGGGAAATCTAAGGTTGTGGTTGCTCGACCAGCTTATGGTCTTGATGGTCACGTTGTGCATCAGCCATTAGGCTTGCCGATTAGGAGTTTAAGGTCAGCTTTGAGAGATAATGCTGCTCCTCAAGATACCTCTTTTACTGATAACTGTGATGGAGCTGTTAACGGGGAAGCTGAGCCATTATTGGCTGATAATTTTTTTGATGAGGTCTTGGCTGTTCCGGCTTCACCTGTTCCATGGCAATCTAGACCTGAAATGATGGGAATGGGAGACAACTATCCTTCATCAAATTTCCAGCCTCTATCTGTGGATGAAACCCAGTTTGCTACTCTTAAATCCACATCTTCTCGGTCTAGTGCTTCTTCTTCATCTCAAACTAGTTTTGCATCCCATATTCAGAACAGATTCTCGCCTTCTCGATCTGTTTCTGCAGAGTCACTAAACTCAAATGTGGAAGAGTTGGTCAAGGAAAAGAGTCTTCAGGGTTCATCACGGTCTAGTTCGCCATCCTTGCCCCCATCACCTTCACTGTCTCCATCTCCACCATCGCCAGAGCTAGTGATCGAGGATACTCGCAGGCGTTTGCCAGAATTAGTAACCGATGATACTCACAGGCGTGCCTCACATTCTCGGCATTACAGTGATGGTTCCTTGTTAGAGGAAGATGTAAGGCGGGGGTTTGAAAATGAGTTGGAGGGGAGTAAAGTCAGAGGCAGAAAAACAGAATCCTTCAGTAAGAAGGAACGGGGATCTAAATCGCTTAATTTGGCAGCTGAAAGTTCCCGGAGAGGGAATAAGTCTCGCAGATCCTATCCTCCTGAGTCCATCTCATCTCCCATTGGTGGTGCTGATGACTCCACAACTAGAAGACGGGATTCTCAGCAAAAGAGTGATGTCCATTTGCTTGAAGACAATATCGGGAAAGGACAGGAAGCTGACCATAACAATCTTAGGGTCAAAAAGGGAAGGAGTCATGACTCTTTGGAGCTAACAGCAGAAGACTCTGCAAAAGATGAGAAGTTCAGTGAATCTTTTCCTGCTCTTGATGTAGTGTTCCAGCCAACAAATACTAAAGCTTCAAGGCGTGCAATGCATTCTTCACAAGGGGGACGTGACACTTTTCCGGAGAAAGCTGTCACAAGAAACTTAGAGGATGACTCTGAGGATTACAATAAGTCCAGGAAAAAGGACCTTCCTGGTAATGATAAGGAAGTGAAATCAAACAGTCCAAGACTTGAACCACGTTCTTGGAGAGCTTCCAGTAATGTATCATCGAGAGCAAAGTCCGTGAGGACCATAAGATCTGATCGTCATGGGAAAGGTTTAAAGACAGATGGAGATTCATCTGAAGACCGGACAGAAGCTAAAGTAGAAAGCCGAGGAAGTACGAAATCGAGAAGACAACGACAAGAAGAACTATCAATTGTACTACACCAGGAGAAAAGTTCAGAAACTCGCGCTAAATCCGAGCCAGAAGAGGTTGCTATGGAAGAGCCCGAGGCCGAGCAGCAACCTCAAGTAACTTTGGAAGAGGAAGAAGAAGCTGCTTGGGAAAGCCAAAGCAATGCAAGCCATGACCATAATGAGGTTGATAGAAAAGCCGGTGAGTTCATAGCTAAATTCCGGGAACAAATTCGGTTACAGAAACTCATATCGGGTGAACAACCTAGAGGAGGAGGCACTGGTATTTTCAGAAACAGTCAATTCAGATGACACTCACCACCATTTATTACTTCATTACTTGTATTATTGTAATTTTAATTTATCGGCATTGTTGATGAGAATCTGGTTGTCACTCTCTTTGTTTGAAGTTTATATTGTTGAATAAAAAATGAAATTTTACTTGTTAAATGATGCTCGGAGTCATTGTCCAAAAAACACCAAGTTAGTTTTTCGCTCATAATGATTTCAGAAAAGTCACCTGTAGCATAGCATCCAGCTTCTCATCCTTAGCACGAATTATTTCTCCCAATTGGCATTTATAAAGAGCCTAATTGAGCCAACGGACTAGACAAGTTTCATGGAAGAATCGACGACAACAATTTAGGATTGATCGGTCGACACAGTGCCGGTCCGGTAAAATCCGGGATCAAATACAAAAAAACAATTAGGGCCTTTTTAAAAAATAAGAACTGCTACTTTTATTGTTTTTTTTACTAATTATGGGACATTCATAATTTTTTCTTAATTTTTAGACAATTTTGTTAATTACAAGACTTTTTTAGTGGAGTATTATTTTTGTTAATTATGTGGCATTTTTGCTAATTTTGAGGGTTACTAATTTTGAGGTCTAATAATAAAAAAAAAATCTCAACAAAGTGGGCTTCAAAAATATGAGGCCCAACACACATGTTTCATAGAAATTGGTTAAAGGCCATGTCTGGGTCGACATCTCCTTTAGACAATAGCAATTTCTGTACGAAAGAAATTGGTTCAATAAATACCAAGTTTCAAGGCATTAGGCGGGTTGGTGATCAAGTTGAAGTTTTGCCTTCAAATTAAACTAAACAGAGCGATTAAATCTTCAAATATAACGCAAGATCATGATGTGAAATTACAAAATGAAGATTTTTCATGATAAAATAAAAGATTTGGTTAGACAATGCATAACTGTGCAAATGAAAAAACGAACCCCACATGCCAATTGGAACCACCAGAAATGCCAAATGCATCATTTTCATTAACAAGAAAAAGTAAGAGAAATACATTGTTAAGAGTCCACATGTAAAGTTAAAGATTAAATATTTTGTGCATCCATCTACTTAATTTCAAGTTGTAAACCATCAACCTCTATTTCATATATGCCACCACACTTGCAGTTGCAAGCCAGATTCTCCACAAACTTCTCTCCATAGTAACGTCGCACTGTAGTTAAAGCCTAGAAATATAACACTTCTCTGCTTGCTAATAATTTGTAATACCGGCCACATTTGCAATGTACGATTAGTATCTCATAACCATCTTCCAAAGAGTGTGATACCATGGCGTCTTCAAGTTTTTCAAACCACCAATTTTCAGTATCATCCTCCACAAACATCGTTATCAAATTTTCTTTGCTAACCTTAGCATCGACCAGATCTTCCACTGCTCCTCCGTCGGGTATTTGGTAATGTCAGTCACTCGCTTGAAGAAAAGCTTCCTATTGCTTGATACTGCTTGGTATTTCTCACCGCATATGCAGTCCAAACGCTTACTTTGTATTTTCACGGTAAAACAGCTCAATCCGGGTTTTTTTGCCTCATCAACGAAGAATTTTTCGGTCAAAGACTTAAATACGTTTACCATCGATTGGGTCGGTGACAGTGGAAGTGGCGGTAGCTGTGACGGTGAAAGTGGCAATGGAAGTGGAGATTGGGATCGATTGCGCTTTCTCGGAATAGGTCACTTGGGCCTTCTCGGAACCTCGGAATCCATGTTGACCTAAAATTTAAGTTAGAGATATGTGGAACATGAACCCAAAAATAAAGTAATGAACAAGTAGAAACCACTATTTATCTAAAACACTAAATGGGTTCTTCTATTTTTCTCTCGATCTCAGTAATTTACGCCGACCAGTAGTGTAGTTTTAGTAATACTAGGTATATGTAGTCACGCTACGCGTGACTTATTGTTGTTTTTGTATAGATTTTAATAGTAGTGTAAACAATCAAATGATTCGACTAAATTTAATTATAAATAGGAATAAAATTACATATATATATATATATATATATATATATTAATATGGTATTTAAACTTTTTGTTCGTTTGTTCATGTAAAACTCGTTTGATTGATTTACAATAATAAAAAGTTAAATAATTTTTGAGTAAGAACTATATATATATATATATATATATATATAATATTTGGAGAATAATTTTAAACTATTTTCTTTCTTTCTCATTATCCCACACAATTCAAGTTATATTGATAAAATTTATTTTAGATATTTCACCTTTATAAAATTTTTACTACTAATTAAGATTATTGAACCGTTTTAATTAAAATTAAAATAATAAAGATATTATTAACCACAAACCTTGAATAAATAAATAATATACATATGTTAGATCATTATGCATATATTAAACTTTTGAGATATTGGTGGAGGAAAATGAAAGAAAGATTATCTGTAGGATGATGAGTGTTGAAAGTTATTTTTAGAAAATAAATACATTTAGGGAGTTGCAGTTTTTTTGTAAAATTAGTAGGAAAACCATTCAAATTAAAAATTATGGTCAATGATTTTAGTCAAGAATAAATGTATTTTAGTGGGGTTTTGATGTTCTTATAATTATTTTGTATGCAAATTACGTATAAATTTAAATGTGAGTTAATAATAGATAGTATTATATCATAATATTAAATATTTGAAAATATTAAAAACCAGAGAGTGAAAGTCATATAATGTATTTTCTAGATATACAGGAAATGTTGTTACACTATTATTTATTTTAATTATACAACATTAAGATATTTATGTTAAATATTTTTTATATTCAACTCAATTTAAATATTTATATGATTTAAATTGCTAGGTTGGATTATAAATTTTTGTAAATAAATTCTTTTATTTTAGAAATTAACTTAAACCACAAGCTTTGAAGAGAATAAACATTTTAGTTAATGATTTTTATATAATTATTTATTGGATCACAAAAATTAATCTGATGAGTATATTAAAAATAATACAAAACATTATTTGAGATAAGAAAGAAGTATGTAAAAAATTTAACAAAAATATTATTTGATATTACAATAATTTATTTATTGTAGAAAATAGAGATGGATCTTCTCAACTTGATTTTCTTCTTGTGCAATGGTTGAATTGATATTTGAAAACTTCATTGTTAAATCTGCAAAGTATGTAATTTTGAATTAAGATCAGAAATTATAGCCATCAAATTTATTATTATACATTTGTAGTTTTGAACTAAAAATATGAAAATTAAAGAAAGAATAAGTATATTCAAGTAAGACATTAGAATAAAAATAAAATTGAAAACAATGTAAAATATATACCTTATAGTCTCTAAAAACAAAATTTATAATCAAACCTTTACAATGATGTCTCAATTGATTTTTCAAGTCATGCAACAACACAAAAACAAAGAAAATATTTAGGATTTGAGATATGGTGGAAGAAGATGTGAGAATGATTATTTATAGTATAGAAAGTGATGGAAGTTACATTTTGATAGTAATTAAATCATAGGAGTTACAATTTGAATTTATAGTGTGTTTGAATGACATTGAGTGGGGAAATACAATTAATACACCATTTGTATGATGGTTACAATTTGGTATTAAATGGTAGATTAATGTATATGAATAAATGTGTTGTATTTGTGGTTTAGTAAGACATAAATATTATTATAATTTTTTTGAAAAAGTGAATTGCCAAGTGGACCAATCATGGGAGAGTGAAACCCTACTTTTATATGTATGATTCTAAATAGAGAAATAATTGTAAACTTTACTCACTAATTAAGTATGGTTTTAGATGGTCGGATTAATTACAAGAAATTTGAGTGTTATATTACAAAAGGAATTGTGGGTCCAAATTATAATAAACTGAAAATAGATGGTGTAAAATGTAATTTATCTACAAAATTAAACGTTAGGATAACATTGGGATTTTTGCAGGAATCGCCGGAGGGAGAAGCTATGGTGACGATTCTATCAACTCCTCCTCTCTCTCCAAGACTTACATTTCTCTGTGAGTTCTTCTCTCTCCCTGAAAACTCTCATTGATCTTCCGATTCAGGAAGCTGGTTTGATAGGATTAAGCTTGTAAAATCTTGTAGGTGAAACAAAACTGTCATTATCTCGGAGCAGCAAACGCTCGGTATGTTGTTCATTGAGTGAAGAACAAAAAGACCAAAGGTAAAATTTGCAATCTTGAGAGATGATTATCTTCCTTTTTGGTTTGATTCTGGAGATAAAGCAAGGTCTTTTAATTGCAGCTTGAGTCGGAGAAGTCTTGTTTATGTTTTGGTTGCTTCGCCGTGTTTGTTGTTTCCGGCGTTATCTTCATCTGCGAAGACTAAATCAAAGAGCCCTTATGATGAGAGACGGTTACTAGAACAGAACAAGAGGATACAGAGAGAGAACAATGCTCCTGACGAATTTCCTAACTTTGTTAGAGAAGGTTTAAGCTTTTTATTGCACTGTTTCTCGTTTTTTGAGTATTGATTGTTACTGGAAGAAGAATATGGGAACTTATTGTCCTTTTGTTTGTGTTTATGTTTTTGCTGATATAGTGCAGGTTTTGAGGTTAAGGTAGTAGCTTCAGAGAATTACATCAAGGCTGATTCTGGCCTCATATATCGGGATTTCGATGTTGGTCAAGGTGATTCCCCAAAAGATGGTCAGCAGGTACTTATTTCTCTATGTTCGATTAGTTAAACTTAGGATCTGAAGTTAGAGATCATTTATGGAATTGGTATGCTCTTCACTTGGATTGAATTGAAGACACCATTGAGTTTTATGATTGTTTTTTTACAGGTGACTTTTCACTACATTGGCTACAATGAGTCTGGAAGGCGAATAGATAGCACTTACATACAAGGCTCTCCTGCTAGAATCCGCATGGGAACCAATGCACTTGTTCCAGGCAAGTTAAAAGACAGTACCTTTCCCTTTAGTATGATGTTAATGAAAAATCTTCTTTGACAGGAAACAAATTGAGGATTTTTAATACTATATGGATAATGATGATGCAGGATTTGAAATGGGAATTCGTGACATGAAGCCCGGTGGGCGAAGAAGGATTATTATCCCTCCAGAATTGGGACCTCCGGTTAGTGTTTTTACTTGATCCTTACATACATTGTTCTGAACTGTAAACTTTTGCTGAGCCATTCATTTGAATATACCATCACCTCTAATCAATCAACAATGTTTCAAATGGAATTACTAGCATGAGTGTGCTCCTTTAGGACATTCGAAGCTCGTTTAGGGACATGTGTAAACCAATTTTAAATTAGTCTTGCACTGTGTTAAACTGTCTTCACCTTGGTTGATCATACTTTTGACAAAACAATGTTCATTTCTTGATCATTGGGCTCCTAACAGGTGGGACCTTCGACCTTCTTCAGCTCAAAGCAATTTGAAGTTTTCGATGTGGAGTTGCTCAGTATCCAGAATTGTGAGAGGAGGACAATAATAGGTTTCTACTCAGACGTCACATGCAGTTAACTTCTAAATGATGGTCACCACTAAGCTTCACTGAATCTACTCGAAATTCTAAATCTGCACGGCAGATGAGAACTGCAAAGAAACAAAAAGAACAAATCTTCTTTGCTTAAGCATTTATCTTATGGGTTTCATGCAGAGGTGCACAATTACATAGAGAGAGATAAAGATCATGTAAAGTCTCGACCTTTCTCATAATCGTAGTTTACTTTTGTTGCTTGGTTGATCACGTTTTAAGCGTTTGGAGCTTTTTGATTTCTTCTGTCTCCTCTGTTTCTCGTTTCCGAATCTGTGCGTTTCTCAAGTTAAAAGCAATGCATTATTTCGTGAATTTTATATTTTCTACCCCAAACTTTTGGCACTCTTTAGGGAAACACCCCAAACAATAAATAAATTGTACAAAGATACATTGAAATTAGGAACGGTAGATGTGCAATAGCAATGCAATGCTCCTCACATTTGGAAAGTTAATTACCAAAATTTCATCTAAAGACGTTAAGACATAATTATATGTGGAAACTATAGTTTGCAAGTAAAAGTAACGAAATCGATAAAAAGGGTAAATGTGTCATTCCGACATACCCACTAAACCCTTGGCCTTAGCCAGCGGGTTCGGTTTCAGTTTTCTTTATCCCCAAAAAACCCTAAACTCTTCTTGTCGCCGACTTCTGCAACTCCTTTCAAGAAATCAAGTTTCAGGTCATCGGTGAAATTGTTGTGTTCCCGGCGAATTCAACTTTCAACTTTCATCTTTCTCCTCGACGTTGCTAATTTCTACGGTTCCCCTGTATTTCACGTGAGAATCTTTGGCTGTTGTATTTTCCTTTTCGTTTCGTCGGTTCAGTTCATAGTTAGGTTTAGAGTTGAGAATACTGGATTAGATTCATACTTCAGATTAGGGTTTCAGTTTCAATTCGTTAAGTTGATGAAGTCAAGTAGCTTAAGATCATGGTTAAGCTCTCTTAATTCTAACAGTTTGTGACTGTAATTGCAGCGTTAGAGCAATTCCAAGATGTCGTCGCTGCGTAATGCTATTCCACGTCCTGCTCATAAGGAGCGATCTCAACCGTAAGCTATTATTGCTCTTGTCCTTTGTTCTTTCTTCGTTTCTCTTCTTAAAGTTTGGATTTAAACGTAAACAGGCAAGCGAGGAAGAGGTATGGCCTCCTCGAGAAGCATAAGGATTATGTTATCCGAGCTAATGCTTATCACAAAAAGCAGGAAACTTTAAAGGTAACTGCTACACTCTCTGTTTCAATTGCATCTCTCTCCTATGATTATACTGTCGAGATTATGTTATGGAGTCTTTCAAGTAGACATTTGTTAGTTCAAGGGATTGATTGATATCTGTGAGATAGCTAAGAAACTGAATCGTTGAGAGTTCAGCTTCTCTTACGCCGTTTTAATTCTTAATTTACTGCAGATACTTAGGCAGAAGGCGGCATTCAAGAATCCAGATGAATTCAACTTTAAGATGATCAATAGTAAAACTGTTGATGGATATCATAGACCAAAGTAAGCATATCGAAATTCTTCGTTTGTTTCATTTTGATTTTTACTATTTTTTTGCTACTCTCATGGATTCTAGTTTTCTTCTTGGTCTGTAAATTTTGACAAAGTTATTGTTTTCAGGGATGAGGTAAATAAATACTCTGCGGAAGAGCTCATGATCATGAAGACCCAAGATATTGGATATGTGTTCCAAAAATGGCAGAGTGAGAAAAACGTAAGTTATCTTTCCTCTTTCACACTCAAGAGCTTTCTGGTTACAATCATACTTATCCATTTTTCTCTTTGTTCCTTCTTATCTTTTGTAGAAAATTGACAAGCTGACTGCATCGCTGCAATGTACTGGGGGTCAGTCAAGCCGTAGACATGTTTACTATGCTGAAGACAGGTTAATCCCAACATTTTAGTCCTTTCTTTACTTGGTGTAGCTTTCATGATTTTCTCATTCAATTTGAATGTTTCATATGGACTCTGGGAAATTGATCCTCCTTACCTTAAGATTTAAAAGACATAAGCTGCTATATGCATCACATTGTTTGTGTTTTCTTATGATTTTTTTTTTTAACTCTGGTGTTTCTTTATCAGAGAGGAGGCTAGAGAACTGGAGTTACAAGGTAGAAGCAAAAGTGATATCTCTGCAATAGAGATTCCGAAAGATATTAAGAAGTATGTATCTGAAATGAATTAGATGTCTTTGAAGGTATCAAATGGACAATTGATAGTCATTATCTTCTATTTTCTTAAAACAGGAAAATGGATAGGTCCTATAGAGACCTCGAGGCGCGGAAGAGCAGGGCTAAAGATTTGGAGAAGTTATACACAGATATGTCAATGCAGAAGGAATTACAGGTTATCATCAGTCCCTCAAACAAATAACTGTTTCTTGGTATGCAACTCTTTGATTAAACTCTTTTAATGGACAGAAAAAGGGTCGCAAACGTAAGCTGCGTGATGACGAGCTACTCAATCCAAATGGTAAACCGGTATACAAATGGCGCGCCGATAGAAAACGCTGAAGAGAAAAGCTTTCATGGTTGTGTAGCTTGACATCATTTTTCTGACCTCTACTAAAGTTTATATAGCAGAGAGTTTATTATAGTTTTTATCTCTAGAACCTGCAGAACTTTAGATAAAATTTTGGATGGGACAAATTTTGTTTACTTTAACTCTTTGTTGCGTATCTGGAAAGTCTTTTTAATTTGATTGGCGAAATTTAAACACATGAATCTAAAATAGAAGATTGAAGACTTCAATTTTTTACCACTAACATAAAGTTCGGCGTACAACAAAAAAAACTGTTTGTAAATAGTAATTAATGGGCCCTTTTCTTCTGTTTGGCTTTTACCAAAAATATGCAAATCTTACTCAGCTTTTAATTATTATTTTGGTTTTTGTTTAAGTTTTAGATTTTGTTACTTAAAAAGACAAAAAAAAATATTGTTTCAGCCTTTTTAATTTATAATTTATTTACTCTATGTAAAGAGAGAAAGAAAACAAAAAGCAACGGGACTTTAAATGATTTGGTACAATTGCTGTTTTAGTACAAGTTTAAATTTTGAATCAAATCCTAACTATTAAAGAAAAACAGCCATCTTTGGCTTAAAACACATGGCATTCATAGCTTATGATATTTGCTGTTTCTACTAAAAACAAATTAGTCTTAAATTATTTTAAAAACATCATAAAAAGCCATTTTAATTAAAGGGAAATTAAAGGCATAAAACACATGCCACCCCTGTGTTTATGATATGCGTTATTAGTACTTCAAAAATGGAATAAAATCTCAAATTAGTTACAATTTGTCAGAAACCTATTAATTGTCTATATAAAATAAACTTATAATTAATTATGTATTTAGCAATAAGATTTAAAGTATATACATTTTGAAATTATTGATTAAAAAATAAAATGACTAACTAAAAAAAAGGATGTGATACACCACTTTTCTATACCTCAATAGAAATATGCCAAATTTTACCGTTTATCCGTTAAATTAGTTATATTTTCAACTATAGTTTAAATAAATTTTAATATAATATACATATAAACGCGCGAAAACTCTGTTAATACTAATCAACGTTACATTAGTTTTCATAACAAGTCATCGTCATATTATTGTTAGATACTAATTTATCACCGAAAAAACGTCTGTCGTATTTTAGAACACTGGTTAGAACATAAATTATCTATCAAATTTTTAAAAAAGAAATGGCAATATTAAGAAAAAATCTAATTTATTAACTTTATTTAAAAAAAGAGAAGAAAAGAGGAGTGGTAATTGGGTAATATATAATGTACCGTGCAAAGGAGGTGATTGAAGCTCTTGTTACAATTACAATGCCTATATGAGCTGTGGTTTCAACACCGCCCTCCTCGTCTCTCTCTCTTCACCTTCATTGCCCAATTCCTCAAATTCTTCCTTCTTTCTCTGTCTCTCGGAATCAGGGAAGATAAAGTTCTTCTTTTTTTCTCCAAAGGTGATTACTTTAAGGTGTTTTGTGTTTTTCTTTTGCCCTTTTTTTTTGTTGTGTCAGAACAGTTTCTCTGTGGGCTCGTCTGAATTCTCTCCGACCATCATCACTCTTTCGATTGTTATTTCCAATGGAGTTTGTCTGAATTGAATTTGAATAGTAAAGGTCTGAGATTTGTTTAAGTCTCTCCTCGTTTTTCTATTCGAGGGTTTTTCTTGTCAGAAACCGGCGAGAGCATTCTCTTTCTCATTCCCAGTTCTTTCTGTTTGTTGAATTTGGTTCTCTTGTATCTGCAATGGGATTTTAGTTTTGGAGCCTTTGAGTATCTAAATTTTCCAAATTGGGGAGTTGTTTGATCTTATGTTTCTTCTTTGTTCTGCAGGTTTGGATTTTCTTCTAGGCGGAGTAGGATCTGTGTTTATTGTATCATTAAGGCTTTTATAAGCAAAGTGCTTTAATTTTGGTAGCTGCAAGAGGATTGATTACTCGTTAGAGTGTGTATTTATATATTTATACATCTGATCAAGAAATGAGTCGTAGGGTGCGGCAGAGAGTGGAGGAAAAAGGAAAGAATAAGGTTGATTCACCAAGTTATCCTCTGATTGGAGATGAGGATTTAGCACCTAAGGTTCAAGAGTATGCGGATTGGACTAGTTTGCCTTATGACACAGTGCTTTATCTGTTTACTCGATTGAATTATCGCGATAGAGCTAGCTTAGCCTCGACCTGTAGGACATGGAGAAGCCTTGGTGCTTCTTCTTGTTTGTGGAGTTCATTGGATCTTCGAGCCCACAAGTTTGATCTTTCAATGGCGGCTTCTCTTGCAACTAGGTGTGCTGATCTTCAGAAGATTAGGTTTCGTGGTGTTGATTCTGCTGATGCCATAATTCATCTCAAAGCAAGGACTCTGCTTGAAATTAGTGGCGACTATTGTAGGAAGATTACAGATGCTACATTGTCTATGATTGCGGCACGCCATGAAGCTCTTGAGAGCCTCCAACTTGGACCAGACTTCTGTGAGAAGATCACTAGTGATGCTATAAGAGTTATAGCCTTTTGCTGTCCAAAACTGAAAAAGCTACGGGTTTCTGGCATGAGAGATGTTAGTTCTGAGGCAATTGAATCTTTGGCCAAACATTGCCCACAGCTCAGTGATCTTGGATTCTTAGATTGCCTGAACATCAACGAAGAAGCATTGGGAAAAGTGGTATCTCTTCGCTACCTCTCTGTTGCTGGGACATCAAATATAAAGTGGAAAGTTGCATTAGATAATTGGGAGAAGCTTCCGAAGTTAACCGGTTTGGATGTCTCAAGAACCACCATTGACCATATTGCAGTTTCCAGGTTGTTGAAATCATCGCAGAGCTTGAAAGTTTTGTGTGCTTTAAACTGCCCTTATCTCGAAGAGGATAAAAGTTACAGCTCCAATAGATTCAAAGGAAAGGTCTTACTTGCTATCTTTACCGATACTTTTGATGAGCTAGCTTCTATATTTGCCGATAACTCAAAGAAACCAAAGGATATATTTTCTTACTGGAGAGATTTGATAAGAAAGGATAAAAGCACTGACGAAATAATGCTTTGGATTGAGTGGATCATTTCTCATACGCTTCTACGAATTGCAGAGAGCAGCAATTCACAAGGATTAAACGATTTCTGGCTGAATCAGGGAGCTACGTTGCTTCTCAGTTTAATGCAAAGTGCACAAGAGGATGTCCAAGAGAGAGCAGCCACAGGACTTGCGACTTTCATCGTTGTTGATGATGAGAATGCTAGTATAGACTGTGGAAGAGCCGAAGCTGTTATGCGAGATGGAGGGATCCGTCTTCTTCTAGAACTTGCTAAATCTTGGCGAGAAGGACTTCAGTCAGAAGCTGCAAAGGCTATTGCAAACTTGTCGGTAAATGCTAAAGTTGCAAAGGCTGTTGCTGAAGAAGGAGGGATCAGTGTTCTTGCTGATTTGGCAAAGTCTATGAATAGACTTGTGGCTGAAGAAGCTGCTGGTGGGCTATGGAATCTCTCTGTTGGAGAAGAGCATAAGGTAAGGTCCCCTTGTAAAGAGTTAAACACACATTGACCCTTTTGCTCTTTCACTAACATTGTTGTTTCTTTTTTTTGTTCTTCTATTAGAACGCGATTGCTCAAGCTGGAGGAGTGAATGCGTTAGTTGATCTTATCTTTAGATGGCCAAATGGTTGTGATGGAGTTCTGGTACATGCTTGCGACCTTTAAAGCCTCACACATTTGATTTGAAAATATCCAAAATTAACACTTCTGGCTAATTATTATCATCTGAAAGATTGATTATCAAAACTAGTACTTGTTCACACACGGTTAGAATATTTTACTTTAGTTTATCCTTTTGTGTTAGGGTTTTAGATTTAATAATTATGATAAAGTTGTAGAGACAAGGTATCTCGGTCATAAAATACAAAGATTTTGCTAGATTTGGTAATTTGATTATCGTGGTGCCCGTTACTATGTTTTTAGTTTTATCTTTCTCTATATTTGTTCTTTCTAAAAAAGAGAAATCTACTCTTTTTGGTGATTAGGAACGTGCTGCTGGGGCATTAGCAAATTTAGCAGCAGATGATAAATGCAGCACGGAAGTTGCAAGAGCAGGAGGTGTGCATGCCTTGGTGATGCTAGCTCGGAATTGCAAGTATGAAGGAGCACAAGAACAGGTACTTCCTTGTTTCCGAATGCACCTCATTATTTTTGTATCGATTCTATGCTTGTGGTATTTTAAGTTACGGATGGTAGTGATTGTGTGAATTGAGTTTGTGACAAATTGTCTTATTTCAGGCGGCTCGTGCTTTGGCTAATCTGGCAGCTCATGGCGATAGCAACGATAATAATGCTGCTGTTGGACAAGAGGCTGGTGCATTGGAAGGTCTTGTTCAGCTTACGCAATCGCCTCATGAAGGTGTTAAACAGGAAGCTGCTGGGGCTCTTTGGAATTTAGCATTTGATGACAAGAATCGAGAATCCATTGCTGCATTTGGTGGTGTTGAAGCCTTGGTATTATGTTTCCTTTTATTTTTCCTTATGTCATTTGTGTGTTTCAGCTTCACCTTCGGACTACTTATCACTTGTTTCTGATTATAAATTAGGTGGCACTTGCGAAGTCCTGTTCTAATGCATCCACAGGTCTGCAAGAGAGAGCAGCTGGTGCTCTCTGGGGACTATCTGTCTCAGAAGCAAACAGGTGCAACCCTTTGAATTTATTTATTTATTTGTTACTGCATGCGTGCATATATATCAATGCAAAACAGGATTTACGTAAAACCTTGATGACAATCTTTCCATTTTTGTTTGTTTTCTTGATATTTTTCTATCAGCATTGCAATTGGCCATGGAGGTGGTATTCCGCCTCTAATTACTCTTGCACTATCTGAAGCTGAGGTAAACAATTTTTTTCCTTATAAGTTCTCATGTCCCACTCTTTTGGGTTAATCTGATCCAGCTTTTGCTTTTTCCAGGATGTACATGAAACTGCTGCAGGAGCTCTGTGGAATCTTGCTTTTAATCCTGGTAACGCTCTGCGGATTGTAGAGGAAGGGGGAGTTGTAGCACTTGTTCACCTCTGTTCGTCTTCTGTTTCCAAAATGGCTCGTTTTATGGCCGCATTAGCATTGGCATACATGTTTGATGGAAGGTACGTAAAGCTTAATTAA